TACAGTGTAGGGCTACAACTTTCGTTTTTTGACCATTTTAGGAAATTGGTCATGTGATCACCCTCCCAACAACCCATGTGATACATATCATCATCATTATCTATTTTTGGTAATGAAAGTGCCAGGGAGCCTAATGAGAAGTAATGAAATCATCAAGGTGCTCAATGAAATATCCTAATGAAAGTGCCAAGAAGCCTAATGAAATATTCTAATGAGAATTCCATGAAATGGTAATGAAAGAGTCAAGGAGCTGAATGAAATATCCCAATGAAAATTCAATGAAAATCTAATGAAAGCGCCAAGGAGCCTAATGAAATATCCTACTGAGAACTGTAAGAAATGGTAATGAAAGGGTCAAGGAACATAATGAAATATTCTAATGAAAAAATTCAATGAAATGGTAATGAAAGGGTCAAGGAGCTGAATGAAATATCCCAATGAAATTTTTAAGAAATGGTAATGAAAGGGCCAAATACCTAATGAAATATCCTTATGAGAAATGGTAATGAAAAAGAGAAGGAGCCTAATGAAATATCCTAATGAAAATTCTAAGAAATGGTAATGAAAAAGCGAAGGAGCCTAATGAAATATCCTAATGAAAATTCTAAGAAATGGTAATGAAAAAGCGAAGGAGCATAACGAAATATTGTAATGAAAATTCCAAGAAAGCGAAGGTGTCTAATGAAATATCCTAATGAAAATTCTAAGAAATGGTAATGAAAAAGCAAAGGAGCATAATGAAATATCCTAATGAAAATTCTAAGAAATGGTAATGAAAAAGCGAAGGTGTCTAATGAAATATCCTAATGAAAATTCTAAGAAATAGTAATGAAAAAGCGAAGGAGCCTAATGAAATATCCTAATGAAAAGTCTATGAAATGGCAATGAAAGGGCCAAAGAGCTTAATGAAATATCCTCATGATATCTCATTATCCTTGCCTATATCTTATGAAAGATTCTAGTGATAAATTGAATGAAATAGATGGGCAATCCTAATGAGATGCCTTTCATAAAACCTGTGGCAGTATACACATTGCCTCTTGGACAGTTGTCATAGATTAATCATAAATAGTGGTAGCCACTAGTGTTTATAGGGAGTGGCGGGTTTGGATGTGTTTCCTTTTCTGGTATTAAGGGCGGGATTGGTCGCGTGGTCGTGAGACATGTGCCCTGTTTGTCCGCATTTAAAACATTTCCCTTTCTTCATATATTTGTTTCGTTCTTTGATAGTTAATCTGTCGATATCCATGGCGTCTGGATCTCGAGGTCTGGGGTTATAGGATGGACGAGGAGTTTGGCGAGGCAAACTTCTAGTTGGTTGCCATCCCATTACTTTCGTCTTCCATGCTTGGTTCTTATAATACGACTTGTCGAATTTCCTAGCATCTTCTATTATGACTCTGAGTGTCTCAGGTGGTTCTTTCTGTGTTTCAATCTTTTCCCGTAACGAGGGATTTAAGTGTTCGAGGAAAAGCTGAGAGAGGACCGGATTTTCCGTGTTTCCTGTTAAAACATATCCTGCTCGATTGGCGAGTGCGGTAAAGTCGAGAATGTATTGCTCGAGTTGTCCAGGTTTATGTTTAAGGATTGAGAGGTCTACTCTTGCTTTGTCTTTTGTCTTTCTGATGTCAAATGTTTCGTTTAACAATTTGACAAAGTCTTTCCACGTTGATGCTGTGGTGAATACTCCATCGGTATTCATGTGGGTGTCTGTAAAGTGTTCTGCCCAGTCGGCAGCTCTGCCTGTGATCATAAAACTGAGGGCGAACTGGATCTTTTGTTTGTCGGTGCTGAACAAGTGATTGTTGACCTCCATGTAGGTCTGTATTGTTCTAAGCCAAGTCTTGTACTTGTCTTCATTTCCATCAAAATCTTTAGGTGCGCAGCATCGGTCGCCTTTGGTGTTGGTTACTTCAGCCATTTCTTGTCTTGGTTCTGTCGGGTTCTCGGGTTCTACTGGTGTGTCGGTTTGTCTGGGAGTTCCAGGTACTGCTGGTGACTCAGGGTACAGGTTTATCGCGAATGTGTTGAACTGTTCAACTGCTTCGGTTCTTTCGTCGGTAGGTGTGATACCTAAACTGGCTAAATCTATTGGTGTAAATGTTGATGTTGGGATGATTGGTCCTAGTAGCGGCTGTACGCTTCTGCTGGGTGTTCTGGTGATCGCTGGTGATCCTCTGGGTGTGGTTCGTCTGCTAAAGGGTGATGGTAATGGTCCTAACCCTGTTATTTGTCTATATCTCTCTGTTGTTGATACAGGTGTTGATGTTCCTGTTACTGGTGTCTGTGATGCAGGGGGACTGCTACCCTTGTCTGTGCTTTCATGCTGTTTTTCACCGGATGTGAAGGTGTCGGTTCTTGGTTCGGGTTCTGAGTCTGAGCTTTCTGCTGGTGCTCGTAGTGTCCAACAGTCTGACTCTCTTCGAGCAGCCGTGATTTCTTTAGGTAGGAGGCGAGTCTGACACGCCTTCTGTCAATATGATGATGTCTTTGATTCTTTCATTATATTCTCTGATGAGACTTATAACATCTTCGATTCTGGCGTTATACTCTTCGGTAAGACGTATAATCTTTGTTACGTTGTCCAGTGTGTCTGATTTGGGTAGAGGGCGGTGATGCACCTTCTGTTCTGGGATAAGCTTGAACCTTTTGTTACGGTTGTTAAGCATAACAGGCAGTTATGTTAAGCTTTCGAGTTCGATTGTTCGTTCGTCTACCACAGTTCTCGTCGTTGAGACAAGGTGGGTCACTACAATGTTTGCTTGGCCCTTAAAGCGACACGGTAGGTTCTAGTAGCCTTGCGCCCGAAGGTCAGTCCAAGGTTCTATGATATGCTGACTTCTGTTAAGTCAAACATGTATTAAGTCTTCAACGTTGAAGACTTATTGTCAAGGTTTCAAAAGAGGCTCTAAGTCGAAAGACTATAGAGTTTAGTGTTTGAAAGTTAGGTTAGTTAACCAGAAAATAACCGGAAAATAACCGGACCTAACCGCAACACTAACCTAACCACGGTTAGGGTTAGTTGATTTCGAAAATGGAATAACCGGTTATTTTGCAGTTAACTAACCATTAAGTAACCGGTTATAACCAGCCCTATTATACACCTTCAAAACGCACTTGAGAACGTCAAAAACGCTTAAAATTTGACTAAGTTACAGTCAAATCTCTAAAATATCATTCAAATGTGTAGACTTTCAAGGATAATTGCATAAATATGTCAATTCTTCACCGATTTTAGCGTTCTTGGGCTCGTTTTAAAGCTAGAATATGCAGAAATAATATCTATCAAGATACATATGAGCATATTTGCCTTGTTATAACCGATTCTTTATTTTTTGGTCCTAACCGGTTAGTTGCGGTCCGGTTAGGTTATTTTAGGTTTCGGGACAAAGGCTAACCAGTCTCAGTCTCGGTTAGAGCCCCTGGGCACCCAATAACTGGACCTAACCAGACTTTCGAACACTAATAGAGTTCGAGGGCGATCTTAGTTTCTGAGGGTCTGATGAGGGAGAACTAAGCTTAGATTGCCTAGGTTCAAGCTACCGAATACAAACGAAAGTACCCTACTTATATACTAAGGGTATGAGTCAAATACAAGTCAGAAGTATGAGTTCGTATGACTTGTATAAAGTCATGCAAGTCATGTCCAGTCTATAGGAGTTGTAAGAGTCATATGAGTCATAAAACGGAATCTGACTGGAGTGCATGTCTAGAACTGTCCAGTATGGTCTAGATACGTCTTAGGAATATGTAAGTGTCTGTGTGTCATATATGTTTGTAAAAGAAAAAGAGTCTGTAACAGTATTTGGCTATTTCCGAAAACAGTCCATTTTGTATCCTCCACAGTTTTGTCAATGCTGCCTCAATTACATCCAAATTATGTACGGCAGTAGATATGAGTTTGTACTACTTGTTACAACTTGTTTCGTAAAAATCGGTCAAGTATTGAGTGAGATATTGGCTAGTCAAAAGTGTATCAAATGGGGGTGGTGTATCATTAAGGGGTGGATGACTGTAAGCGCAAACAAGAGCAACGTGACGGAAAGTATCTTGAGTGAGGAAAGAGGAAGGAAGGAAGAGACAAGCCTTGCTATGCATCTAAATACCCCTCGCGGAATTGTATCGCTGGTCTCCGAGGTGAGACCAGGCCATCTCAGGGAGAGGAGATGTTGTTTCGTCCCCAGGCACCTGTGCGCCTCGTCATCTTGGGGAGAGGAGATGTGGTTTTGTCCCCAAGCACCCATGTGCCTCGATTAGACTATAGTAAAAATAATTTTAAACTCAATTATTTTGGCCATGGTGCCATGTCTGGAACCAAAAAGATGCCCGATTTGGACATAATTCTCAAAGCAGTAGTGCCATCAGACCCTATTTTCCATTTCAGAATTTATGTCTATATCCGGCTTATTGTGAACGAATTAGGCATCTTTTACGTGTGACACCTTCATTACTAAGGCTTATCTTCTGTCAGCAACTATAGGCGCCTGTTGAACGATCAGGACGGCTGTAATCAAGCATACCATCTAATGACGGAGAACTCTGTGGTGTGAACGTGGAAAGTTGAAAGAATCATGTAGTGAGGAAGCCACAAAGAGTCAAGTACCACGATTCACGGCCTGGCAACCCGCTGGCCAGGAAGCAAATACGTTCAGCAAAGAAAAAAGCAGGTCCAATTAACGGTCAATGAGAGGATTGAACGCGCAAGGGCGTAGAGACATGTCTTCCTCTCATCCAAATCCCAATTTGCGAACTGATTTCGTACTCATTGGTTTGGAAAAAGTGCACTGAGCGGATACGAATTAGCGAAGTGATGACTAGATGACGCACCTTCGGCAATGCAATACCCAATGTAGTTAGAGGGGAAACGTGGCCGACCCAGCCTCCATTTGAAAAGCGCTCTGTTAGAATGCGAGTCATAAAGGTCAGGAACAGTGAGCGCAGCAGACCAATTTCGTTTGCGCAGCACGCCACAATTTCAGATTGGACAGGGCAAGAGCACCAACGCAAAAGAGAAGGAAGGTGAATTAATTATCGACGAGAGCACCTAGGTAGGAACTGATCAAGAATCTTCTGCACTGCTTACAGAGACAGGACACCGGTATACTCCTTGACGTTCCTCGGGCACTTCTCCTAACATTAGCTTCACTATTTGCAAGCGCATGCTCATTAACACTGTAGGGACATAAGAAGCATGTCATAAGGTAGTAAAATCTACGCACGGTCATGATTTGGGACCTGGTGTTCATGATGAGGGCGACGATAAGTCCTGATGGGGGGTCAGCTACGTTCACAGAGATTTCGTGCAGTAAAGTATACCGTAAAGACCCAGAACTTCGGCAAAAATGAGGATAAGGATCTATTCGAGCATCGTTAGTGTAGTGGAGATGCTATTGTATCGCGACTGCGTACCATGCCGACGAAGAGCCTGGGCTGTTGTGCTGTTCCCCTTACTCCAGCGTCTCCAACGATACCGATAGCAAAGCCAGCAGCAAGACCCGCCAGGCCGACAGAGAGACCTGCACCGAGCTGCACAAAACCTTTGGCTAGGGACATGTGGACGCTCACTGCAGACATTCATTGAGCGCAGGAGATGAATCGTAGGTGATATAGACATACGGTCATTTGCAATGAGAACCGACACGACAAGACCGTAGATCTAAAGAGACGAGGAGTGTCAGGACCTACCAAGGGAACACTGGGAAACAATGGGGAGGGGAACGCTTACAGCAATGATACCAGCCATGATAACAGGAACGACACACTTCATCATCATGTCGGGTCGTAGAACTGCCATTGCTGAAATACCAACACCCGATTTCGCGGTACCATAACTGTTGACATAGATAGGTAAGATGGGCTGAGTTCCAGAATGGACGCAAACTCACCTTGCACCTATGCCTATCGTCGCATAGAATTCAGAGGTAAGTATATGCTCCTCTATCCACACGAAGCGGCAGCAGCTCCAAGCTCACAGGTGAAAACGATGGCGCTGGTGACACCCTATGATATGATGACGGTCACCAACACGTCGCGGCAAAAAGGTGGAAGAGGGCTCACCATGGCGCTGAAAAAGGGGGCATATACGGGACAGAGGTCGGAAGACATATTTAAAAGTGACAAGTTGTGTAGAACGGGGTGGGAGATGGGGAAAGAACGGTGACTGTTGAGCGACGTAGTGGCAAAGTTACGGACAGCGCCAAGACAGTTCGATTTTCGGTTATTTCCGGTAGAAATTCGCCCGGAGTCTCAAAGTTTCCTCTCCATGGCCGAGCAACTTCGACTGTAAATGTTCATTGGTATGTTTCCCCCCTGTACTCTTTTCCATGAGAGTGATGCCATCTAAGCCATTATTGCTTCAGTTTTTTTCTTCTAGCGTCAAAAGATGCCAACGGGTGCATCATGGGTCGTCCTGCTTCTACAAAACCAGGCCTTCGTAGACACGGGTCCCGAAAAAAATTACCTGTGTCGATTCTGAAGAGCTTGCCCTGTCCCGAGCTCTGTTCTTGTCATTTTTTTCAGCCAAAGCTTGACTACTGCACCAGGCTCAATTACTGAGTATCATGTCCCCACATGGATGCAGGGTGTTGATGAGAACGAGCCACTTGCCATTTTTTATACTCTTCAGCCTTGAAAACGTCACAACGTTATAGCATTCAATCCTCTCCCTGCTAACAACTTTGTCAGGATGCTCTCCGCTGTGGCCACCATTCAGGCTGAACCACATATTTGCAGACATAATCCTATGTGGTCCCGATTTTTTTTTCCTCAGCAACTCAAGCAAAAATGACCAATGCCATGAACCCATTTGTAGCTTCTGACGGCAAACACCTGCTTGGTACCACCCTATAAGGATGCAGTGGTTTTCCAGAAACGAGCAGCTTTCAGCTGTACCTGGTTAAAGGCCCTCCTTTTATCATGCACTTATAGCTGGAGCCCATGTGAAGACCATCTCAAAACATCTTCTCAGCTTACCCATCTACCATTCATTTTATTTTTTGCTGGAAGGCAGCATGCAAGTTGCGTCTTTCGAATATCTTATCCCTGCACCAAGATGCCAAGACTCAAACAATTTACATTCTGTGTCGACTGGCTGCCAGCAAATTCTATTCAAGTATGTCAGCTGTTCTAACTTAATACAGACATACGCCCTCAAACAATTTATGAAGTGAAAGCCGCAGTCGAGCCGCAGACAATACTTGAAGGCGACAGATGAAGCGCAAGCTCGCTGCCAATATTGCCGCAGTGCTTTTACTGGGTGCTTAGCTTCTGGAGGTCGCCACGATAAAATTCTTTTGGTACTAACGCATCTTGTTCGTCATGCGTACCTCGGAGCCAAGGGCGAATTAAATTTTGTGAAATGGTTCGAGTCGGTAACTATGTAGATGACGTAACTTACGACTGGCTGTTGCTTGGATATGCATTTCCTGCTATTTCTTCTCAGACAAACTGTTCTGGGATCGTCACTTGATTAACTTCTACCGTCAAAGAATGATTATTTTCTGTATGGCGAGGCACTGACGATGATAACGCAGCAGCCAACTGAGTGTTGGCCAAGACGTAAGTACGAGCATGTCGGATAATGTTCGGTCCCCGGAAAAAATGGATCTAAAAATAGAATGCGCATTATCCGACTCATCCATGGGTCTTTTCCTTCAAAAAAGTGTTCTTTTGCAGAAATAATGCTTTCTCAAAGGTGTACTGCTGCGCTTTACTTTGGAAATTGAAGCACAGGATTGGTGATTGTCATAACTCCAACTCAGCATCATAAACTACGTAATTCGAAGGGTTGATACCTCCGAAACTTAAAAAAAATGCGACCCTTCTATGACCTCCCTGACAGACCTCATGTTTCATTCCCGATGAACATCCGAGAGCGCCTCTTAACGCCCAACCACGACGTCCGCACGACCTTCCCGATCCCATGCTCCATTCCCAATACATCCCAATCGCGACCAAAGCCCATCCTAAACACTGGCGGCTTTCTGGGCAGCTGAACACGTACAACGCCAGTTCTCGTTTACGCCATTTGGCGATTGGAGCTGGCCTTTTGATTCTCGCTGCTTTTTTGTATTCGAGCCATTTCACGAAACACTTCGTCGCGCCCCTTGACCTTGACCAACCACCCACGTATGAGAAGCTGTGGAAGTGGGAGAGGGACTTGCCCCAGCATAATCTTGATTTGCCATTTCCTGAGGGTCGGACGGGGAGGTATGTGCTGTTTAAGAATCAAGTTCAGATGTTGGGATGGAATAACCATTTGAACGAAATGTATGCCTTTTCTTTCCTACTTCCCGCCCCATTGTGTGTTGACGGTTCGTGTAAGCCTTATGAACGCGCACCTGGCGTACAAGTCAGGCAGAGCCTACGTATTCCAGGACTACATCTGGAAGCCTGATTATTACCCTTGGCCACAAAGTAAATTCAGGATCTCAGTCCCCCACACGCCTCTCAACGCTCTCATGTCCGGACCAGCAGCAGGCGGCCCTTGGGATCCCGAGGATCCCGCACCTCGCTCGGTATCTGAAAAATGGTTCGACATTGTTTGCCCAAAGTCCGAGCGCCGCATCATCAACACGCGCGACGTCAAGCCTGCGATATATTGGGAGAACGGGGACGTCATTTTCGAGCATTGGGAAAAACTCCTCAAAGATGCACCAGAGAGGTGTATTGAAGTCCAAGCAGAAAGTCGATCGAAAGACGGTTTCCCCCAGACGTTTGATTTATACCTCTGGGGATCTTCGCGCGTACTGCCATTGTGGGAGTCGTTCAAGAACTCACCAGTGTCCCGATTGCTCGCTACTTCCCCCATCGTCCAATCCGCCGTGGACAGGAACGAGTATCTTTTCCTTCCCAGAGGTCCACGGGTCCCTCGTCCTGCCACAAGGGATCCTTACGATCGGATGTTGGCTATACATCTTCGACGGGGAGATTTCAAGGAAGCCTGTGGAAGGCTAGCGACGTGGAACTCGACATTCTACAGCTGGAACCTCCACCCTTTCCTTCCAGACAGCTTCACCCCCCCGCCCGGAGGCGAATGGGGCAAAAACACCCCAGAAAACGAGGCGATATACATGGAACGATGCCTCCCCACCGACGAGGCTATCATCAAAAAGATACGGGACTCTCGCGCGGATTATCTTCGCGCGTCGCCAGCGGGCAAGACGAGGACGTTGGATACGATTTTTTTGTTGACGAATGATAAGAGTGATTGGTTGGAGAGGTTGAAGGTTGCTCTTAGGAAGGAGGGGTGGTATACGATTGCTACGACGTGGGATTTGGAGCTTGATCAGGAGCAGAAGGATGTGGGGATGGCTGTTGATATGGATATTGCGCGCAAGGCGGCGGTGTTTATTGGGAATGGGGTAAGTTTTTTGTATCTGAAATTCTTGATGGGTTTTGTGCTGATTGGTTTTGGGGTAGTGGTCGTCATTTACGAGTAATATCTTGCATCGACGCTTGGTCGATGGGAAAGAACCCATCAGCAATCGGTTCTATTGATTCAACGTCAGGGAACATTATTCATGGTTCAACAGCATTGACAAAACTAACCTTGTCCATATTTATACGTATGTAGAGAGGAATGTAGATCTTGTATCGCAGCGAAGTAATAACGACCGTAATGATGGGAGTGGTCGACAATGATCTTGGTACCGGTAAAGATGTAACCGAAATTTATTCATGCACACACGCCTTCGAGTAAAACGTTTGTAGTGGTCATTTTACATAGCAAAGCAAAAAATACAAAAGGTGCAGAGAAATTTGAAGACAAGAAACAATCTATAAGCTATACCCAACCCCTAGCCGCGCCCTTCCCACCACCATGCCCCCTCTCCTTCTCCACCACGAACATCGCATCGCGCATCGTCACCAGCGTCCGCGTGTCTTCCTCCACAGGCGTCGACGCAACATCCATTTTCTTCGTCGGGACATACGGCCGTGCCCACGAACTCCCCCCTGCACCAGGAGCACCAGCAGCTGGAGCCATAGTGGTCGCAGGTGACGGAGCCAGGGGAGTTACAGGACTAGCAGAGGTTACTGCAGCTGGGGCAGGGGTGATGGGAGCAGCAGCGGGGGCAGGCTTTTTAGGTGTAGCGTTGGCAGCTGCTGCATTTGCCGCGTTCATCCATGCGTACTTTCCACCCAAACCAGCTGCTTGTGTCGCAACGGCATTGGACATTTTCTTGCGCACGTCTTCAGACATGTTTCGAGCTGTCACGCCCGGACCTTCTTTCTTCCTCTTTCGCTTCGTGCCTTCCTCGTCTAAGCCACCAGCTCCGCCAGCTAAAGAGTCCCCGCCTAGTCCGGCGCCTGTAGCTTGAGCTGCGAGTGCAGCAGCGTGCGCAGCGGCCATTTCCATCCTCTCTTTCCTCTCTTTTCTTATCTTGATTTCTTCTTCCCTCTCCACTTTCTCCAACGCCGCTAGCTGCTTCGCCACATCGCTCCGTACCAAGATGCTCCACATGGGAGTGACCCCATCTTCGTAGAACGACGCTGGCCGGTCAAACTGCGTGTCCGTGCGATGTTTGGATGCGGTGATCATGGCTGTGACGAGGTCTTGTAGTCGTGCACGAAGGGCGAGGGCGAGGTAGTTGACCGAGTCTTCGGGGATGCGGGTGATTTTATGTTGGGTGCCCACGGCGCGCATGGTTGTGCCTAGGATGCGGGTGTCAAAGGCGGGTTTGGAGGGTTGTTTGCGGGTGCGGTCTTCGTAGGACCGGTAGGATTGGCTTTGGTCGTGTGAGCGTTGCAGGGACTCTTCCTCTGCCTGCAGAAACTAAGTACGCAGTATGTAAGATTATATAGGGAGAGTATACGCGTACCCTGAGATCTACACCTGCGCTTCCCAATGCATCGTTGAGGGTGGCAATATCAGCCGTGTCCATGCCACTACTCGCAGATTGTTGCGCTTGGGCAGCCGGCTGTCTCGCCGCCATGACAGGTTGGTGCTGTGCTTGTTGAGGTGCATATGGGTAATGCGCATATGCCGCCTGTGGATAATGGGATGTATAAGCTTGATAATGTTGGTATGCGGTGGTTGCTGTGGTCCTGTATGGACATATGACTCAAGAATCGTTGCGAGATGAGGTTTGGGATTACTGTGATTGTTGTTGAAGGACTGGGTCGATGGGTATTTCTGTGAATTGAATGTATTTGTGGTGGGTGAACGAAATTGAATAAAAAGCCGACGTACGAGTAGTAGCCCATTGTGGTGCTGCATAAGTTTGAGTGGGCGTCGCTGACTGCGACAACGACGCAGTGGGTGACTCTTCTGTTTTCATCGCCATGACTGTCGTGGTGGCAAGCCGATGAGATGAGAGAGCGAATGAAACACGTGGGAAACAAGAAACATCTCCTCAAGACCACGACGACCTCCTCATGGATTCAGACCGCAAATCCAACGTTTCCTCCTTTTACAAGGGTCGGAAGTCCTCACTCGACGCTCTCAACGCCGACTTTCCACCCCATCAACCAGGTGGAGCCAGAGTACGGGACGATGCGTCGTCATTCTTCAACCCCGAACGCACTTCAATTGACGCCCTCAATGCCCCGCGCACATCTTCAGCGGGGTATAACCGAAATTCATTCTTCCATGCTGGACGAGAGGAGCCTTTGAAAGGAGGCGTGGACGAAGAGGCGGTTATTGGGAAGGACGATGCTTGGGATGTGTATGCCGACTTTAACAATGCAGGACCGAGGTACAGTGAAGCGTACACCTCACATGCCCATCCTGGGTCAGTACTTCCTCTCTGAATTAAGATGCACGCAAGTTTAAGTTCGCGTTCTATAGATACCAACAAATTCGCACCCCGTCGTCACCTCTACTCGACCCGATTCAAGCACCAGGGGAGAAAGTCGAGCTTGTCACTGTGCCTGCAATGGGTGCTGAATGGTCAAAGGAAGAGATGCGGATGATGACAAAGGCAGGGAGGAAGGAAGGAAAATCCGAGTCGAGGAGGGGTTTCTGGAAGGCCTGGTATCGGGACCAAAGGGGTCTCTGTGGAAAGTGGTTTACGCGGAGGTTCTTGGTTTTCTTCCTCTTTGGCTTGTGTGCCGCGTAAGTTCCTTTTCATTTTCCCTTTGACCTCTTCTCACCAGAGCCTTTGTAGAATTGGGATTGTACTAGCATTCACCATCCCGAGAGTGCCAGCCTTTTCATTCAATGTTCAAAGTCCTCTCGTCAACGCAACTGGCGCTTGGGCTAAAGCTATCCCTACTGTTTTCTCCCGTGCCCCTGCCAACTTCACGTTCGCTGCCTACGCTTCTCTTCAAGCCGATACCACTGCCAATTTCCTTCCCCTTAACTTCAAGCATCTCCGGGCTCAGATTTACGACCTCGATACCAACAAGCTTGTGGGAACGGGTGACTGGGGGCAGCATACCCTTCCTGCGAAGCAGTTCCCTAAATTTATGGTGCCTTTGAACTTTACCTATGTTGCCACGAATTCGAGTGACCAGACATGTCAGTCACCTCCCCATCCCGTCTTTCTGTTTGACTTCTAACTTATGCGTGCACAGGGCTCAACTGGTACAATTCATGCAAAAATAAAGCACTGTATGCCGACGGCAATCGTCAAGGTAAGCTCATATGCAGCAATCCAGCTTTCGCTCATATGATGTTACTACAGCTCTCAAATTCCGCATTGTGCTCGACATGGGCATCCTAGGGCTCCCCTCAGATCACGCTGCGTCTACTCAAATATCAGACGCGAGCTGTCCAGTCGAACTCCCCATAAACGCCGCCTAAATTCCCTCGAGTTTTAGAAGCACGCTTTTGACCATGGAAAAGAACTCTTCATACCTATATATCACGGACTACTCGAACTTGGTTACTCCGTTAATGCACGACGCTCCTTTCTGAAACTGAACTTGATTTCTCTTCAAAACAAAATTTCATCCATCCCTGTCGCTCACTCGCTATCCATCCGTTTCAATTTATCTATTTTCCATGAACATTGTACCTAACATGACATCTATACTATAGCTTTTCTCATTTTGTCTTTGGCACCCTCAAACTTTTCAAAGCAGTCGGGATCAAAATTGAAGACAAGTGCGCGTGGCGGCTGACCATTTTCCATCCTTTCCTTAGGTCCATCATGCCCCGCCAACCATCGTTGAGGGTCTCTTCTTCAACGCTTAGTACCGTCCGTCGACGAGTCAGTGCTCAAGAGCCTCCCCATGAAGAAGACCGCGGCCCTCATCGCAAACCCACCATCAAGCTCCTTCCAAAAACCCAAGAATCGCTTCCACAGTCCTTCTCATCGTCATTTCTCAACCTCCCCTACGAAATCACAAGTCCGGAGACATACGCACCTTCTACCTTTCCGGACCCAGAGAGCCTCGTGGTGCCAGAACCAGAGAGCCCCGTGTTAACTCAGGAGCAGCTGAGCAATATCCCCTTGACACCTCGCCCCGACCCACCTTCCCGAGCGTCCACAGCATGTTCCTGGGAATCTACGGAAACGAGAGTATCTCAAATCTCACGCTTGCCCACTCCGGATTTTACGAACCCTTCACAGTCCACTTTACAGAGGGGTGCTGGGTCATTGAGGATGTTGTTACCCAAGAGGTTAAGTTATATCTCTTTTAACATTCCTCAGACCGCTTTTTGGTCTGGTGGCAGACCGGAGTTGAAAGCTCAGTCAGAGGCCCGTCACATTCCTCCTCAAATTCCATTCTGGGCTGGTATCAGGCCAAACTTGAACGCTCTGCGCAACCAATCAGAGGGGTCCGCCAAGACGCGGATTACAGCTCGGACGACGAATTCCGTCGACTCTGGCCACCATGCGCTTATTCCATCTATCGGAACTACGGATAAATTTACACACAAGTGGCCTAAACCCCAGTCGTTGAAGTATCTTAACTCTCGGACGAATAGCACCAGCAGCAACGGCAGCTCCGTTCACCTTGACCAGGCAGCGTCACTTGCTTTGGAAGAAGGCCAGGGACTTGGAGTAGGTAGCGTAATGAGGTGGACGACGTTCAAGTGGTGCCTCGTGCTCTCCGTCTCGACCGTGTTTGTGTATGGCGCTGCTGGATTGGCATGTGCGATTATGACGTGGTTCAGGAGTGAGTTGTCGTTTTCTTTCGGCGCTGATGTCAAACATACACTATGGAGAACTCGGAACTGATAACATTGATGTTTCTTTTTTGCAGCATGGGACAAAGCGGATGTGATGTCCGTAGCCGATGGCGATATCCTTATTCTCATCACCCTCGCGGCCTCCATCCTCCTCTTCACCTCCCTAGTGGGCATGTCCGGGACCCTTCTCAACTCCCGCCCCATCCTAGCCGTTTATACCCTCTTGTTATGGCCCGCCTTGGCCTCCCTCCTGGCAGTCGGCTACATCAGCTACCATCGCGCCACCTTCTCTCTCGATCACAAGCTCAACCTATCCTGGAGCCAATATTACACCCCCCTCGGCCGGCTTCTAATTCAAAACTCGCTGCACTGCTGTGGGTTCTACAGCGCGCTGCACGAAGCCACGTTTAGCAAACGCTGTTACCCGCGCACGTCCCTGCCAGGGTGTAAAGGGAAACTGTACCGGTTCGACCGGGAGAATCTAGCTGCGATATGGATGGCGGTGTTCTCCCTTGTTCCTTTGCATCTGATTAACATTCTTGTGGCGCTGCTTTGTGCGAACCATGTTACGAGGACGTTTGGGAAGGGCATAACACCGAAACGGTATCGGTTGAGTAGTGAGGATGTTAAGGCAGATGCGGAGAGGATATTGAGTGGGATTGATGGAAGGGGTACGGTACGGCCTGTGGTGCAACCGGAGTATTCGAGGGCGGGTTCGAGTGGGGTTTTTAGAGAAGATAGAGAAGATCGTACAACTTTGTTGAAGGACGAGGATTATTGGTATACATTATAGCTTAGTTGGGGGCGATTAAAATACAACGAGCGCTTACTCTGAGCTCATGTCAGCCAGGGAAGGAAAGTCGGTTGCCAAAATAGGTAGTAGTACAATCAACGGGTCCGGGAACTGTCCAAGAAAGGGTGAGCATTACTACCGTTCTCGAAGGTAGGATAACATTTCGAACAGTATAAATACATAGATGGGATTTCATCCTGATCGTCACGGTGATATCTTTACCGATACATAGATTATTTCTGCGAAGCTAGTGCATGTTCATGATCTTCATTATGTTCTCCTGCGTAGAGTAAGGTCAAAATGAGCTTGAAAGTATCATGATAAAGCGGTTAGACCTGGGAGATGTGATCCAACACCCTAATGAGGGGCGTTAAAATCCAACACCAACAACTCAAGCCGTGAACATATGTTCAGACGGCGGACGAGCCATGACAAGTTGTCCCGTTCTCCACGGGTAGCTGAGCATAAACTGGCAACCATATGGGTATCGCCTGTACCGCAGGTCCCACTGGTTGAGGCAAGACTGAGAAGGGGGAGGATATCACTCAGTTTCTCCAATGTCCAATCGATCGAGCTACTTCCGTGAATCGCTTACCGAAAATGTCATGGTCGGGGTGATCAACTTTCTCGATACCAGTCAGGGCTGTGAACTCAGATGGAGTAATTTTTCTGAAGCTTCGTGGGTCAAGATCCTCAGACGTATACATTCCTAGGACCGATACGCCCTCGCCTTTTCCTGGCTCGCCTGCAGACAGCGAGACCACGTCCCATGGATGATATGGCTGCCATTGTTGTGATACACGTCTGCGTCTAATACATGCGTACACAGTTATCGCCAATATCGTAAGGCACAGTGCGAGAATGGCGCCTAGGATGAGGCACCACCGTTAGCAGGGAGGACGAGGAGGCGGAAGGGACAATCACTCGCTGATTAGAATTGCATCGAGAACAGTGTCCTGATGGTTATCCCGTGGATGTTGAACAAGCATCTGTGCTGGGTAATAGGTCTGTGACATTGAGGAGGAACCGCACAAGGGAAAAAGTGAATGTGAATGCTGTGTTAAGGGAGAACGGAAGAAAGGAAAGGGACTCAAAGAGCCTTGACTAACCTTGGGTGGACTTTAAATCACGATTGGCGTCTGGATGAGTCGATCTGATAGGAACGGTTCAGTACATCGGAAATGTGAGCTTGCGAGCATTACATGTCTTCTTTGACGCTCTTTACAGCTTTTTCGAATGGAATGTTCCTTGCAGAACTGGAGAAACGTGCGCATAATGGGGCCGACTAAACAAGCCAACGAATCTGTCAACAGCGGTGCGATATAGGTGTGGTCTGACTCACCACAGGCACAGCTTTATGGTTTCCTGATAAGATGGTGTATTTGGAATGATGTGCACAGGTAATTCACCACAAGCACAAGTATTTGTGGCGTTGCCACAAGACGGCTTCTATACGCGAATGAGATTAAGTATCTCCATGACGGCACAAACAAAGCGCCTGGAGATTTCGTAAAGTTCATTGTTCAAAGATTACTTTACATAAAGCTGGGATTGAGATGTGATCCAGAGGCGACTCTTCCACAATATTATCTTGGTGAGTAACTCATCGGAGGAAAGGCCTCGCGGCTAGACTTTTGCGCCACTGTGGGCGGAGCCAGATGCAGAGGGGAACTGTCTCCCACTAAATTGCTCCAATTAATAGAATGAAAGCCAAGGTAACAGGGGAAGGCACCTCGAGGAAAAGAGCCAGTGGAAGAATGGCTTGGTGACCTCGAGAGTCTGAGAGATGGAGAATGTGACCGAGTGATTTCGTCGGTGGCTCCGTAGTTTTGAAACGACTGTTGAGCTGAACGTGGCACATGATGAAAACTTCACACAAAGACAGTTAAAGCCTACACGTACCTTGCAATCTGCGCGACTCAGCCATCTTCAGCTGTAACCACCTATCCCAGAGAGCTAGCGCATAAAAGGAGAGGAGGAAGAATATCAGGATGACTGTAAATTCTGCATCAATTAATCGAAGGTACTAAAAGGTGGGGAAGGCACTGACGTCCGGACCAACTCCCACCATTGTCGAGGTATGGAAGGGTAGAATCATCGATCTCTCTCGCGGTGACATTCTTCTGGGCTAGTGGTATGAACATGACTATTTGTCGGGATAAAACTGATTGCAAAAAACGGGGAGAACGCCTGGTATCTTCGGAGTGAGAAATAATATTCAAAGACGGTGTACTGGACGAAGTTCGATAGAGGCTCTTCAGGCCAGTTACAGTTTCTCGACTATATCTGAAGTGGTAGCAACCGTGTTAGACATTCTTCTGCATAATAAATTATAGGCACGTACCTGCGCTGATAGAGGGTGTGCAGGTGTCGAGCCAATTAGAAGAATAAACGGAGAGGGGAAGGCGGTAATACTTTGTTGCACAGCAGCCCACAGCCTCCGGAACATCTTTGTTACCAAAAAGTTGTGGCTGGGACCTTAGTTGGGGCGGAGACAATAAGCGTCTAGATAAGAAAGGATTCGAGATTTGGAGCGCGAAATTGAATACCCGTAAGGCGAGGTGGGCTGAGAGTCCCGGGATATGGCCCTGTCCTTTGCTTGAACTCCGTAGGGTGTAGACAAAAACATGGTTTTGCGGGAACTTGAGGAAGGTGAGAAATGTTGGCAAAATGAAATGGAGCGCGAAAAATATGATAGTTCATTTGCAAGTCAAAAGCAAGTTGAACGATTCATTGCGAATTCGTTGATCATTGAAGTTGGTGACTAGGAGGTTGTTTGGATTCAAAGCGCCTACTTACCATTATACGTCATAGCAAACCCAGTTGGGAAAATCCTTCTACACACAATCGACGATTCGCCAGAAAAAACGATAGCCTTTACCCAAGGACAAGCGGGTACTATTAGAGTTTGGCCCTAAAATTACACAACGAGTTCGTACCATGCATAGGAATATTACCGTTTCATTCGAGAGAAAGGTCAACGCACCCCATCTGAAAGAGGAGTCGAATCGAATCAAAAGTATGGTTGAAACCACGAGGGGAACATATGTGGCGGGAAGGGTCTGAAGGCCTCTTGCCTCGTTCCCTGCTAACTTAGGATGGCGGTCCGAGTACCTCAGGGTAGCTTACAACTGACTCTCACAACTTGCTTGGAACATGCAGGTGCTGCAGGCATGGAGGCTAGCTTCTCCTGGCAGTGTGCTATCATGAGGTTCGTACACGCGATCCAAGTGGCGATTTGCTCCACATGAGATTGATCGACTATCATCAACTTCATATCGGAGTCTGACATCGGGAGACTAGCGATTTGCCGCACAATCGGCTCGCTTCTGACCAGATGTTGTCTGTAAGAATGTCGAAGATGAGAACCTTATCAAAAGTGAATATGCACCATTCTGAATGATAAGTTTGGTCCGAACAACGTTTTGAGACGAACGTGTTATGTGCGAAGCTGAAGTTTAGTCGAAACATGGCATACTGTACTTGATGAGATCAAGCCAGTGTTGGCATCGGCCACTTTAAGGTCTCGAAGCATACTACTGAGCAGTTTCCGCGCTTTGTTTAGGTTTGGGTGGTCGAGTAGCGCACATTGGTAGACGAAAAAGGTTGATATAACCTCCGTTGATCTTCCGGCCTTGTTGTGGTCAAGATTTATTGGCGCAAAATATAGTCTATTGATAAAGAGCAAAAATCCTTGGTTGTATTAAATGTATGTCTGGATATCAGAAAGAGAGTGCTCAGAAATGTTGTGAAAGGGAGACAGGGTGGGACTCACCTGAATGATGATGATGATGTGGTGGGTGGATGTATATGTATATGCGACGATCAGGTGGACGTAGACAAAGATAGCATCGACAAACAATGGAACAGCAGAAACGATAGCATCCTGAAATATCCGTCAGGTATTTAATTACCGCGAGACGTAACTGTCAGACGTACTTGATTTATCGGTACAGGCTTTCATTGTTGGTGAAAGATGAACACACGAGGACCGTTGTTGGTACCAAACCAACGAGCGTATGTTGCAGGCTATGGAAGGGATGTTGGTGGCCGTACAAAAGAGGCAAGAGTGAGTAAGAACTTACCGAGTAGAGTGGAAGGAGATGGGAGGTAGCGTGAGAGGGCTCTGGGGGAGTTAAAATAGGTATTGGAGGAGGCTCTCCAATCGCAGGGCCGTAGACGGCGTTGTTTCCAACGTCTCCGAAAGAGATGTTAGGGGCGAGAGATCGTCGTCTCAAGGAGGGAGTCTGTAGGACGTATCCAAAGAGAAGGAAAAGGGCTGAAGGCCTTGTTTAGAAGGGCAAAGTCCGATCAAACAATTCAAGTATCTCACCGATCACGATAAAGACAAAGACGACGAAGAGCCACGCTAACATTGGCTCTGTCGAAATGACAATAATGATATCAAATTCGAGTGCAAGAGGTGAGAGGTAATGGGGAATCGACCACTTGTGATAGTAGTAGTAGACAGATCGTGCACACCATTTCAAAGACCTTATACGTTTCCACTATTAGTTATTGTGTTGCAATCGAACGAGCAGGCATACCTGTATGCACAGCCTACCGTTCAACAGCTTTTACTGTGCAAGAGATTCTGCGACTTTTGACTCAACAAAGACGCCCAAAGCTTCTACTCGCTCAGGTGGCATCCACCATCATAAACGCGGCCTTCAGCATCTGGGGGGAGACGAAAAGAAGCTTGCAGCTCGGGAAAGTGGGAAAGATTCATTGCGGCGTGACCGTGACACGACGATGTCACTCTACGACTTGAAGTGACTGTCGCGCAAAGCGTCAAGTTCAGCTGGCGCTTGGAGGCAGTGATACCAGGTGATACCTGGTTTGCAGCTGTACTTGAACGAACGTCCTACTGGTTCAAAATCGCAATGAATCGTACCTTAAAACGGGTGCGTCGCGTCTTCAAGCTTCAAGCGTCATAGCTCATGAGAAGTTCTCAAAGACCATTGAAATCAAGGCACATCTTGCAGGGTACACTTGACTGCTTCGTAAGTGCCAGAGATAAACAATGTAATATGTTGGAAAAGACAAAGTGGTCGCTGCGAGGTTGCGCCAAGGTTGCTGGTGAATGGAAAATTGTGACATGTGACTTGTTGCACGAGTCACACGTCGCGCGTTCAAATTCCGCTCATTGGATGCTCGCAGATGAATGAGAGAGTGAAGCAAACCTTCGCAGTTCCGCTTGCATTCCCAAATATTTCAAGCCTTCGGGGCGTTGAATCAGACCCATCAGATTACAGGAATATCGTCGAAACCAGTCTTCTTGATGCGCGACCGACGGTGCTGCAATGTTGGTCTCATTCGCCGAATGATGGAGATGACGAAGGCGGCGGAGTAATAGTTGGATGCGATGATGGAACGCTGTATGTCTTTCATCAAACGTGTCAGCCGATCAATGCTCTTGAGTCTGTTGAGACCATTCAGCCTTCTCAGCAACCAAAGCCATCACGTCGGCCTCGTCGCATTTCACGATCGGGAACTCCCCCTACTCCGGCGTTTCCTCTCTCTCCAACATTCAACGTCTCTGCTCGTTCACGCGTCGTCTCTGGTGTTACCACGGACCCAGTCGAAGCACCAAAGAATTATGTTGATTTCGATGATGAGCCCGACAAGCTCAAGGACATCCTCAAAGGCAGAACTCCCAAGGAGAAACAGGGAGTTTCGGACTCAATTGCAGAAAAGAACGGACGACTGGTGAAGTCTCCGGCTGCCTCCATCACGGAACCTGCGTCTTCTTCAAAACATCGGAAACCAAGGTCTCTACTGTCAGCCACAAATTCCCCCGCGCATACACCCTACTCTTTCTCGGTTCCTGCATCTCCTAAGGGACAAGAATCATTCACAATCACAGATCCTCCTCATGAAATGTCTCTGCGATACCATATCATCCCATCGAAATCCGGCTCGGGGCGGGCTGTGAGATCTGTCCGGATGTTACAGGACAACAGATTCATCGCCGTTCTTCACGAGACTGGGTAGGTTCAACAATCACTTGTTGGATTTATTGTTCTAAAGACATCCCAGTGACCTTTATGTGTTTTCTTCGGAAGACGGAATTTGTGTCGCCTGCGTTCATGCCGGGGGCGTTGGTTCCCCAATGGGAGTGAAGGATAGAGACGTTCCTGATGACATTTGGGAGTGGTGTTCGCTGAGTGTGGCATATGTTGAACAGGTATTGCTCACGATGCTCCTGCGAGAACTATAGTTAATATCCTTTGAAGTCGACGATTCTTCTTGCAACCGCTGCAACCGATGCCAACACTTCTGCCCCTACCCCAGATATGGACGAAAGTTCAACAGAAAAGTCACAAGGTATCATGCTCGAATTTTCTGCTGGCGATGAGGTTGGTTCGGCGGAAATAAAGCTTTCAATACTTGGCCAATGGGAGTTCGATGGGCCAGCCAAGGGGCTCGGTATTCACATCGAATCTGATAGTCGGTCACCATCATATCTTATATTCATCTCATTTATCTCGCCATGAGCAGAAACATCAACATTGTACTCCATAAATTCACAAGGTTGCCTTCACGTCCGCCAACTCTGCCTCCGACCTCCGCCGCCAAGTCCACCTATTCCAGCTAATGCTGAACCTGAACATCACCTTCCTATCCCAAACCCCTTCAAGGGGATGATGTCGCGTTCAACAGAACACCTCTCTCACGAAAAGCATTTGAAAGACGCACCAAAGGTGACGTTGGACGAGGTTCATAACGTGGGGCGTCTTCTGTCGGATTCCACACTGTCAGGCCTATGTACGAGGGATGTTGAAGGGAGACTGTACGGTATTGCATGGGCCCATAGGGAGATGACGGTCAGTTACTAAACAAAACCAAATCGGCAGAAACTCCACTGACTTGGGAATGGCACGACAGGTCTTTGTGTACGAAGCCAGGTCATTAAAAGTTCTCTACCAGACGTTCATTAGCTCTGTGGGGAATGTAGAGTGGTTAGATGAATCGACTTATGCTCTTACATACGATGTGGGTTTGGTCGTTCGTTTCGAGCATGACTTGACGATTATGTTTGGTTCTTAGGATCGGGTGGAGGTATACCAGCTCAAACATGTCGCAACTGAGACTGAAACTGCAGACTCAAATACTGTCAAAAACTGGTCAGGGTGTTTCCAGTAAGATTTCGGATGATACAACCTTGAACCGCACTCACGTCTTGTTGCTCTCTCAAAGTCCAGACCTACTCCGGACCTTGCCTATAGGGCCGCACAATGCAATTACGCTAGCGTCTCCTCCAAACTTGATTGTAATCAAAGTCGTGGATGGCCAATGGCAGCTGGTCTCATTCAATGCAGTCCCAAAACCAGGTGCAGAAACCCCCGAGGGTGAATGTTCGCGGACATTATGGCACTCAAATCCGGCTCCTTTGAATGGGGAACCTAAGATCACGCTGACTTCAATGTTTCCGCTTGATTTGGATCGTATTGTCCAAGGTTACTGTTCGTATACTCCAACGGTTCTTCCATGTGACTTTGCTAAGTTTGGTTTCAGCTGATGGGCGCCTACGCCAATACTCTATACCTCAAATGTCGAGGAAGGGTGAGAACCCAACCACACTAACATCTTCGTCGACGAAAATTTCAGAACCGGCCTTGAACGGCTACATCTCGGCTCTACATCTGGTTCAAAACCAACGGACAAAAGAAAAGTATATTTTGGGAGGCGCGGATGATGGCTCCATCGCGTTTTGGTCAAGCAGGTTTGCCCATTTTGCGTAGAGAGAAAGAGAGGGATAGGACTAACAACGGATCAAACTTCTTAGTACCTTTGAGCTGTGCGCGAGGTGGATCACATTCACCACGCCGTTGGTGAAAGTCCTCACTTTTGAAGGCGAGACTGTGGGTCCACTGCGCGGATGTGTATTGTGCATCGCAAGAGATGGGACTATTGCGGTCATCGCCGTTGATGGGTTTCAATTGTGAGAGTTTCCGACCTTAGTGTTCGTCTTGTTACTCAGGTTAATGAACAGTCTGTACCTCGTCCCCGGGGCTGCGGCACCGCTTCAAAGAGTCTGTGTAGGGGGTAATAGCTTGTTGCTCATCTATTCGGACCGGAGGGCAAGATTATGGGATGCACAAACAAAGGAGTTTTGGCGATCCATGGGACTTCAAAAGGCACAGGAAATGCTGGCGCAGGGAGAGTGGATCTGTCTGTAAGTGGTTATGGGAGATCTCATGGCTTCATCGTTTCTTATGTGGGCATCAGGACCATGGAACAAGACACGTGTATTCCAAGCTTAGCGTGGGCGAGCATTGCACCTTCTTTTGAGGGTAGGGATGCTGGTAGGTGTCCTGTCTCTTGAAAGCAAGCTATAGCTCATATCAAATGTTTCAACATAGTTTCGACCCTTTCTCTTGACTTGGAGAGACTGGTCGTCGATTCCGTTGCCTTAACGAAAACAATTAGCACTAGCCGGGACGAGATACGCAATATATTGCTGACACTGGATAGGCTGCGTCTTATCTTATCGATTCTTCTGACTCCTGGACTCAGCGACGACGTCGATTCAATATGTGATGGTAAACTGAAAGTCATGCCGTCCTCTGCTACAGTCGGACTCTCCAGGTGCGTTTGTTTCGAGTGTGATATGTGTCTGCCTCACTCAAGAAGTGACGTTGTAGTGATGGTGCAACTGTGCTATACCCAGTCACCCGTCCCGGCGATGTTTGGTGCATTTCGGGGAACGTATCTGCTGCGCGTGCTTTGAGCATCATCCTAGTTTTGAGAGCGATGAGTCTTTTCGAAGGTAGATACTACAGTTACGATATCTCCTTTACTAATTTTGAGTGAAATAGAACTTTCGGAAGCCACGAATACGGTCATATCATTCTACGCTACCTCTATCGGGACATGCGTTGGCGAACGGTATCAACCTCCAAGCTTAGAGTATCTGGCAAGAAGATGGTTCGCTGCCTCAAGTCTGGCTTTGTTTCTTGGGCCCCTTACTATTGAGCCTGACCTGGAAATGTAGATGAGCTCCGCCAAGCGATAAGGTTGATCTTTGACGCGACACTTGCACGATTGTCAGACGAGGAAGCTATTGCCGTTGCGGAGAAGTGGCAACATCATGGTACGCTCTTTCTTCTCTACTATCTGCTCTCCATCGAATTGTTTGCGTTCCAGTACCTACTCTACAACCTGATGCTGAGCGGGAAACCATAAACGCTGCTTTAGCTCTATTCATTTGTGGATGCGTCGCTTCCGAGAAGTATACCTTACTTTCGACGAAGTGGGTTCTCTCGCAGATTTACCCTGCTTCATGTTACGCTAACGATCATCTCCATCAGCTCCTTGACTGACATATCTAAGTCGATCACATTGTACCTCCACGATGAGTCCTCCGTTTACCGAGTTCTCGCTATCGACTTGTGTTCGCGTGGATTTCACGTCTGGCAACATTACGTCGATACAATGGAAATCCTTAGGTCGCTTTTCATGCTTTCCACTAATGTTCGAAAGGATTCTATCTCCATTCAGAATGTGAACAGCCAGGCCAGATTGGCTATTCTCTCAATTGCTTCAAACAACATTCAGCTTTTCATATCAACATTGTGTTTGGATATCCTCACACCGCCGACTTTAGAGAACCGGAGGTCTGTCATGCAAATTGTGGCATTCTTGATCCGAAAGGTATGGCTGATCTTCACGTTTGCCCTTCGTCTCTTTTATAATGACTCCTGGCTTTCAGCGGCCTCACATCCTCCAACCTACCCTCCCAAGACTCTTGGAAGCTGTCATCAAATCCTTGGATCCGAATTCAACAACAAACCGCGATGCAGTATTAGATACCGCGACTGAGATCATCGGTTATGTTGTCAAGACGTGAGCCAACCCTTTGATCTATGCAGCCTTTTATCGACCATATCTTCCCCAGGTTCCCAACGGTCGACTTTCATATGGCAACTCAACGTCTTGCCGTTGGTTCGAACGAGGGAGCAGTGGTGATGTATGATCTGAAGACGGCAATTCGTCTATACGTCCTCGAAGGGCATACGAAGCAGATCTCGGGCTGTAGCTTCTCTCCCGATGGCAGGAGGCTAGTAACCCTTTCTCTTAGTGAAAGTCTGCTCTTGGTTTGGAAGGTAGGGTCGAGCTTTGCAAGCTTCTTCAATCCGGGAGCTCCCCCACGTCAGGGCCATGGTGGATCCCAGCCCTTCAAAACTTTGAATTTCAACATTGGGAGTGAATGTAAGTTTTTTCATGCTCTGTTCAACCTGGTTGGCTAAAGCATATTATGTCTATAGCAGATATGTCGCTTATAGAAACACTGGAGTTGGTCAACTTTGAGTGGGTCGCTGACCGTACGGTCAGGGTTAGAATACGTGAAAGTATCTTGACCTTTAGCACATAGAGCCTAGATCTAGCTAGTTTGTGGCCTGTGCTTTTAGTTGTATACTATCAGTGACCAGGAGTTTGATATGCTTCAGGAGTTTGAAATCCCCGATTTCCTCTCTTAATTTTGACACAGGCTTTCTGGTATTTTTTTCTGGACTAATCATGACTCTTACAAATATGAATATCAACCTTTTTTGTGCAACAACCGAGTCTGACGAGCTCAGGATTTTAAAAGGTGGTTTTCGGCGCATCAAAACCGTGATGTATGCAAATGATTTTCAAGATCTAATCCGATCCTTTGCATTAGGGTATCTAAAAATTTACAAGCATGTACTAGTAAACGATGCGACTTCAAATACAAAAAATCGAGCAGAAAGGTGAAGAACTATGCTTATAATCCAATGAATTTCGATTCTTTGTCTGCTGAGCGTGACAGACGTGATTTTGGGCTGCGTGGTTTTGAACCCTGACAGTCGCATCACCTATCAGGCTCCAAAATGCAGCCGCTCGTCTCGCTCGATGAGCCTCTAAATACTATTAGCGTATGACAAATGTGATCATTGATGGGAAAGAACAAATAAACAAAGGTAAGGGCTCGAGCTCGCGAGAGAGCGGCTGCCGGAAAAGTCAGTCGGGAAACTCCGAGACCATTGATTAACCCTAACGTTGGGTCTCAAATCTGTAAGGACCCAGCGCGTCACATTTTGGTCACGATATGCTCGAGTGGAGCGCACACTGGCGCACAGTGTCGAGAATAGTGTCCAGGTCCTCGATAATCGACGAGTGTGAATGGATGGCCTTCAAAAATGTTTTTCAATAGAATTTCGTAAAGAAATTGGTGGGCTGTGATCTCTGAATCCTCAAAGGCCTTCACTCAAAGGCCTTCATAGATCTTACTTCATTGAGGTATTGTAGATTTGCCATTGGGTAGTTGGCAAACTGGAATCCCGGGCCCTTATGTAGAATACAATACTGCTTTGAACCTTATGCAGGTCTTGTGTATAGACTTGTACATATAAAGTTTTGGACTGACATGACATTGGTGAAATGTCCACATTGGAGACTGGGCATGATGAGTATATTATTGTGGTTCTGCTGCAGCACAGTTCTGGACCTTTCATCGTAGGGTACTCCATACCCATTCACTGTTGGGTTCGAGCCCCAAGTCCAAACAAAGATCTGTCACGCAGGTCCAGAAAGGCCTTGGAGTTGGGACCCAACGTTAGGGTTAATCAATGATCTCCGAGCTCCCCGACTGACTTTTCCGGCAGCCGCTCTCTCGCTTACCTTTATTTGTTTGTTCACTCCCATCAATGATCACATCATAAGATTAGTCATACGGCTCATAGTATTAGAGGCTCATCGAGCGAGACGAGTGGCTGCTTTTAGGAGCCTGATCACCTATCAAAATTCTGACAGTTGGATGTGACTTGGACGTGACAGCCATTTCAATCTCCCGAAACAATCGACTTCGACGACCGGTAAGCCTCCGTCAGCTTCCACCACTGTTCAATAAAAAAACTAAAAATATATTCATGTTCATGAGATACACATTCACCACCACACAAAATTTGGAGGCCCGGAGTGTAGCGGTTGTGGCATAATTCAGCCAAAGGTCAAATCGTTTCAAACTCCTGGTCACTGATAGTATAGCAGCAATAGTGGCTGTCTTTTATTCAAGCCTTTGGCATTGCTGACTGTCCCACTATATAGCAAAAAAAAATCCTGTGCACAGGGTTGTTTTATTTGGTTTTGCATTCAATGTACTGGGTGCCAGAAGAAAGCAAAACAAAGAAATGAAATAAAATGAAAAGCATCTGCTCAGATATTTCTAACACCGCATTGTGCCAAGATTATTTTTTATAAAGATGGCTTGGGTGCTTCTAGAGATAAAGCAGCTTGGATTTGGCCAAATTTTTCTTTGTGTGCTTTTGGTGTGCTTTGCACGCAGATCAACAAGAAAACTAATATAATGAATTCTGCTAATGATTCCCCCTAGAACCTTTCTATCTGAGCCCAAGGTGCCTCCTCTCTGAGTTCCAACATTTTTTTTAAAGTCAAAAATTGTCTGTGTATTGTCAATGTCAATGATGGTTTTTGGGGTTTCATGTGCACATGACTAAGTAGTGTTTGCAGGTCCGGTTTTTTGCTCCCAAAACAGGCAACTGCAGACCACAATCAGTCTAAAACCAACCCAGATATTGAGGGAACCAAACCAGACCACCTAGGACAGGTCTTTTGTGGTCCATGGAACTGGTTTAGACCAATCCAGACTGTTTTTTTGCATAACATTCATCATACCAATGTAAACCATTTGTATCTCAACTATCACTTGAGACAGGGTCTAATGTTTGATCTAGGCAAAGGTACCTCCATAATTGTCAACACATGTAGAATAATACATCCCAAAAACATTGAATAATAAATTTTCAAACTGATGAACAATAAGAACATTAGCCATATTGACTTGCCAAATCCATTATTTTATTCTTCAACATATTCTTCAGCTGAGTGGTGTTGCCATGACTACCAAGACTATTTCTCAAAGAAATTCTTTGAATATGCAAATTATTGCCATTTGCAGTGAAGTTGGTGGTCATGTGAAATCCCATCAAAACATGCAAATATGATCATCAAAGTTCCAGTCAAAATTTCTCCACAACAGCTGGGCTGTTTGCTATGGTCTTTGGTGCATTGTAATCACATTGATGAGGAGATGTGCGCCCCACCAAAATCCGAGTGATTTGGTGGAGTATTCATGTAGTTACAAAAAGTAGCCTATTAGCACTGATAACGCGAACTTTTGGAAGAACAGTGGCATCTACAGACAATGTAAGTATATAGGATTGTAAATACAACTGTACAAGGGTGTGCCCCAGCAAAAAATTGACTGAATTTGGCTGTGTTTTGCCAAAACAAAGCCATCTTCTTCTCTCAATGTCACACATCCTTGATCAAGCTCTTTATCTCCATTGTACCTACCAATACCCATCCTTCCCTTTGAATCTGACATGGCACATCAAGGCAAACCGCTGTCTAGTGTTGTGCAAGGGTTCATAAACCCGCACGGGTTCACGGGTAAGGGTTTGTGGGGTAAGGGTAGAGGTCAAGGTTTCGGAACCCTCAACGCAGGTGGGGGGTTACCCATGGCTTTTTGGAAGGGTCAGGGTAGGAGACAGTGGTAACTTTTCTCAGCCCAGCATGATGTATAGGCAACTGTAATTTAGAAAAAAAGATGGAGGTGGAGTGCCTGCAGAGCTACTAAAGGAGACTAAACCACTGAATACACCGTGTAACATTCTTTCCTGTCCCAGTTTTCTTCACACTCTACTAGTTATGCAGGTATTTCAACAATTTCTTGACCCAAAATTCTACCGCCAGAGCCCCATGTGTGCACCCCCTTCAACTCTCCTCTTTGAGATAGTCGGTGACCAAAAGAGAGATGCCAAAGATAAGTACTATAAGTACAGCCCAACATTAGAAAGTTATATCTAACAAATGGCACCCACTCACAGTAAACCCATTCCTGAACCAAGACCTCCTGGTGCTCATAAATGTGTCCTTGCTGTGAGTCTCGCTTCTACTGATAATATCAATGTTGCTGCTTTGAAATGGCGTAAGCTCGAGGCCATGGCTGCGGAACACCAACAACGCCAACCTTCCATTCAGGATGCCGATGCCGACGACGACAACCAAGATAACGACCACACTGTGAATACTAGTCTTCAACCACAAAATGCATCCTGTATTCTTGAGGCGGCGGATGGAAGTGATGATGTTGAGGCTGATGTTGCGATGGGTGGGTGGGGTGGTAGCTCTGATGACGAAGAGATGCCTGGTTTGGAAGACATTGACACCAGTGACGAGGAAGATGAAGACGATGCGGAAGACGAAGACGATGAGGAAGGGGAGGTTGAAGAGACTGACCATCATCCTGATGTCCTGTTGAATGAACCCTGACAAGCAGAATCATCATTATGTTGATTTTCTTTACTTTTCTAAAATTTCCTTTTTTGGATATGTACCCTGAACCCAACAACAGCTATTTTTTTCCTGATTTTATTGGTATTTTTCATCTGAAAATGTAAAACTTGCCATATTTGGGAATTTTTAGTATTCATTCCAGTCACTTCATTCCAGTGCCATTCCATTCCTGTGCATTCCAGGGACTGTTCCAGTGTAAATACCAGAATAACAAGGTTCTGAAAATTTGGCTGGTAAATTCCACTGGAATGGCACTGGAATCCACAGGAATGACCAGACTCCAGCAGGAATCAGTGGGGCATGACTAAGACCTCAATTGATTAATTGAAATCCATATGGTTATGGGATTGGTGATGCTGCATGTTGACAATGAAGGAATACAAAGTGGGAGCCATTGAGTACGAAGCACATGGAAGAGACTTGCACATAAACTTTAAAAAAACTAACAAGTGCCAAGAGTTGCAAAAAGAACAAGAAAAATAGAATAAAATAAACAAAACATTACCAAATGATGAGTGTATCATAAAGATAGACAGGTCCTTTGAAAGAGTGCAAGTCTGTTTTGTAATTACCACTCTACAGAAGAGGTCATGTCACATGTGCAGAATCAGTCACATGGTTTCGCAACAACATCATGTGAATATGAAGCTATTCAGGACCATAGCATGCTACCAAAAGAATCTCATTTTGAATACTTGCTGAATGATACTTTGCCAAATACTCACAATTATACATAGGTGGGAAGATAAGTTGAGAGGTACTTATTGATCTATCTCATGAGTTTGCTGCTCTAGCTGCCTCCTTCACTTGACTATGACAAGATTGTGTAAAAAGCCTTTAGAGTTGCACAAGGGTGCCAAAGGGACAAGGTCATAATGGAAGGCAATTGTTCTAGGAAAGTGCCTGCACAGCCAGTCAATCATTGGAGAAGAACCTGTTGGGGTCATCTGTTTTCAAAGCTTGGCAATAATGGGTCTGCGGCAGCACAATTCTGGCCTGCAATAATGATTACCAGGGACTCCTCCATAGCTTGGCCAACCCACATGTATTGATGCAGGAGTTCTCCAGCAGTTGTGCAAGGATTGTGTGAGCTTGGAGGTCTGTGCAGCAAACGTGCCCAAAATTAAGTTCTGAATAGCTCTCAGTAGAATTCTGTCACTAATGTTTCCACCCTGATGCTCTTAACTCTTCAACACTTCAGATTACAGCCAATTTCACATCTATGCAGAATTACAAAAAAAAAAATTGGGCCCAAGGACCCCAGAATCAAATGACATAATATTTTCACATGTGCAATTTCTAATACACATCACTTTCATTTAGCCCAGAATCCAGGATGCCTCCTAGAACAGCTGTCGCCCCTCCATCCCTACCTTGGTTCGCACTCTACAAAGGCTCGATTTCTCTCAAAAATGTGTCTCAATTTGTGCCCTCGAGAGACATGACATCGAGTGTGCCGCATTCATGAATACCATTGCCGAAGAAGTTCCACGATGGCATGACCTGATATGCTCATGTTTGTAAGGCTGCACGAAATTGAAAGACATCGGGAAGAACACGAGGTTGGGCTTTAGTTGGAAGGAGATGTGTGCAGAGAAGGTTCTTTGTTCAAGGACAGCGGTACATAGATGCTGTACATGTTCTGTTCTCACCACTTGTTTAGCTGACTTCTCAATGTGCGGCATTTCAACAAATATAATGACTGGTTTCCCCCCAGGTGCAAAAAGTATTGTATTCTTGACTAGGTCTTTGTATTCTTCATAGTTAACAACATCAGGGGCATCACCTTGCCTAGATATCATATCATACAATACATTAGGGATAGGAATTGGAGGCCTTGACGTCCTTCATTTCAAGTTTCTTGCCTTTGCCAGTGGTTCCAGCTTTGTAGAACATGAGTCAAGCGACAACGGAAAGATTGATTTCATTAGGTTCACTACTGCTAGCAGGAGTGTCTAGATCTACCATAATGAGGAACTTGGCAGACGTGACTGAGTGCACACTGTGCAAACACAATTGTGCATTCGGGGTCCCAGCCTTCAGCTAAAGCTAATAGGTACAAACAGCCAATTTTTTTTGGGGGGATTCCACATAGATTTGAAATCGGCTGTAATGTGTCCTCATGGTTCCTCATGTCTTCTTACTCATTGTACAAGTAGAATGATAAGCCAAATCAAAAACAGCTGAGGAGAACAAACTTGTTGAGGTAATGATGAAGGCAGTTCTCTGCAACTTCATAGTGTTGCGAAATATTAATGAAAGCCCGAACATGAAAGTGACTCATCTCAGAGGAAGAGGAAAGAGAAAGAGAACACTGCAACACATTGTTATTACTCTTTGCAATGAATGTCATGACATATTTTACCATGCTAGTTTCCTACCCAAGATCCCAAGTCCAATCAACCTCCGGCAGTGTGGGGAGAATTGTCACAGTAGCACAGGTTTTTGGACACAAAAGAAAAAGGCAGTGCCACTCAGAAACTGGAGCGATGCAAGATATCTCCCAAATCAGAGATTTGAAAGGACTGCAAAGGTGTGGTCAGCTCAGTAAAGTTGCAAGGCTGTCCAGGAGTGTCATTGTATGGAATTGGAGAAGGAAATTCATTTGTTCTTGAGGTGCTTTTAGTGTAACAAGAAAGGACAGCATAAGCAAGTGAAATTACAACCAGAAAAATCTCAAATACTCATTGTCATAGCTATTTCTACAATCTCCCAAATCCAATCTGTGCCTTCCTCTGTTTGCCCCAAACACAGTTTCGATGCTGCTTCTATGTCCCATCATGTTCAAATGTTGCTGGCTTGAAGGAGAAACATGGAAAGATGTGGGATCTGTTTGCTGAAACTGTGAGGCTCCATGGTGGTTCCACAGTATGCTGGAGGCATGCTGATGTTGGTGTTGTGGCTCAGGAAGTGTAGTGCCATCTGCTGTAAAAGCAGCAAAAAAGGGTAGAAGATTGGTAGAATCTGGTGCATCGGGTACAGCCTGAGGACCGATGGAAAATGCAAGATTGCCATAGGAAGGTGCAGGCATGGTGACCAGGAGGAGGAAGAAACAAAGCAATGTGATGCAGGACGAAGAGAAAAAGTTGACAGGGTCTATTTTTAAATATACAAATTTGGTACAGATCTGTGTTTGCCTTCCTTACAGGGCAGTCACTCAAAATGGATATTCTTTTGAACACACTCATCATCAAGACATGTCAAAACTCAATCATCATCGTTTTTATGCTAATTCAAACTCAGCTGTACCAGTCGTCATATCAAGTGGGGCTCATGTGCAGTGTCTGGAGGTGGCTTATGTCCATATATAGGACATAACTATGTACAAATGCAGATGTACCCTTTAAGGCAAATGTCACATGTAACGTCACATTGAGTGTTGAAGAGCTCTTCAACACACTCTCAAAACACAGGCAGTATCTGGATACTGCCCATGTTTTGCCTGCTTTTTATGCTCCTTACACATACCTAGCTCGACTTCCCACTTGCCAGGCCACAAGACGACCGCCGCCAAGATCTCTTCACATCAAGATTCAAGACTGTCCAAATTTCAACCCATCAACACATGAGAAGGACAAGTCATAGACATTGGTTGAGTGGACACGAGCAGAGTCAGTCACACATTGATAAAACAGCTTTTTTGGGTCATTCAGATGCATAACCTACCTGAGGAAAGGAGGAAAGCCTTTCCTCATGTCCATTGTCTTCTAATATCTGTTTTTATTTCTGCAGGACTTACTGATGGCACTCTGACCCATTTCATGCACCAACCACCACTCTATACCTATCACCATCAGCTAATGCACTGCTCGACATGTGCCTGTCACTTGGCATGTGTGTGTCATCTGACATGCTCATGCCAATCACTCAGACCATTCGGCTCCATCCCCATCACAAATGGTGCAGGTACTACTGTCACTCTTGCCCCCTCGATCGCATTTTCATCGCCAACAACATAGCCGCCCATCAAACCGCGTGTGCATGCATAATTGATGCACAGGTGCATCCCACAGTGTGAAAAATACAACATTCCCCTCACCAATATTGTAGCTGCCCATCACACCTTTTGTACATGCATGTGTATTATACAGCATACTGTACAGAAATATATCAGGATTTACATGAATTACATAATTTGGATGTAGATACTACTTGTAAAATGTCATTTGATATTGTCTAGATGTCACTTGATGACAAGCTACATATATTGGGAATAATGTTCTAACTTTTAAGTGGGCTTGTGGTGAAGGGGTTATGTTGTAGTATAACCTTGACTGATTGCCCGAGGTCATGGGTTTGAACACCCAACTTGAAAAAAGTTTTTTTTTCAAGATCACCTCCAGGCATAAGACATGAGCCTCAAGGTTTCTCTACTTGTCTCGTCAACCTCATACAAGGATCGGTCACCGGTCTACCCTTTTACCATCTTCGGCAATTCTCACGACCACCCAGGTAGGGTGGATTTCTCAGATTTCTCCGACGGTACCAGTGACCCCTTGAACTGCCTCTAGCATGGTACCTGGTCAATAGCAAAGGACTTTATGTTAGTGAAATAGCTGTTACTGGGATATGATATATGTCTTTTGTTCCTGTCAGCCTTGAGGCGAAGAATTTCAGTTAGGCCAGAATGGTTGCGTAAGAGCGGTTTCTGTGTCTGTCCTTAGATCAAGTGATAGTTGCGTGGATATTAGATTCTAGAGTGAGCACATATATCTACTATGGGGGTGAGGAGCTGATCAAGGACGGAGAATATGCACTCACAACTAAATACTACCGCCTAATGAAGGGTATTTGGAACCCTGAGACCAGAGCTCTCGCCTTGTCCTGAGCGCCCTGCCCTATCGCATTTGTCACAAAGTGAATATGCATACCGGCCAACTTCGGATAGGCATCCACGTTGACCTCAATCTGGGGAAAGAAGACCATCGCGTTGGCGGGAAGACCAAAGGACACTACACCAGAAACCGCACTGGGTGTATTGACGGAAGACGACTGAGGTGGCAGGACAATCCCGTTAAAGTCGCGCAGTCGCGGGAGCACAAACTCGACGAGCGTCCCGAGGAAATCGTACATAGCCTGCCCCCTCAAATCGACCTTTACGCCGAGAGGCACGCCAGGTCGTAGCCAGCCGCCCACCGACTTCTTTCCCCGAACGATTTGGACGCCTTCCACCGCATGGTGCCCACCACCTTGAAAGGTTTCGCCAGTCAACGCGCGCATCATCATTATGGCACCCAACAAATTCCCCTTGTTCGCCACAGCCTCCTTCACCATGGTGTGTATCTGAATCTTCTCTAACCTTACGACGTTCTCCGGCGTGCACGGTGGAGCTGGTTTCTTACCCAGCTGCGATCCGCCGACTGGGGGGTTGTAACGGTGTTTAGTGTATGGGTCGTTTGGATCGAAGGTGAGCCTGATTTGACGTGGAGGTGGGCGTACACCGGCTTCATGTTTGTAGGTCATGTACATGAGGTTGTCGCAGAGGGTGTTGTGATAGTGGTCCTCGAGTCTGCACGGCGCGAACTCTCGGGTGACGAAGTTGACATGGGGTTGAGGGAGGCCTGTACGTCGGCTTTTACGCAGGTGTTTAACAACTCTCGGTGCGCGCCCAAAACGCACGAGAGAGCGCGTCGTCGACGCTGCTGCCGTACTCATTTTGAACGAGGTTTTCGTTGGCGGTGACCAAGAGGAAAAGTTTTGGGTGTTATTTGGTTACGGCCCGCGTACCTAACAGCTTCAGCCAATCACTGGAGAGCTTCTTGACCACCTCAATCAACTCGAGGAAAAAGCTCTTTTTTTTCTCTTTTCCACTCGTGAAATGTTATAGCTCTTTCAAGGAATTTTTATTTTGCGATAAGGAAATTGTGCCCAATCTTTGGACTTGTCGGCTTCCATGGGTATCTGTTATTGATCAGTTAACGTTTTTGGCACTGACTGGTGACCTCCTATACGGTTTGAGGGATCTCTCGTCTCTGCTTCTCCTTTCTTCGCCCTCGTAGATTAAGGCCTTCCCATTCCCCAGCGTTCTCTTGCTGCTCTTCTTCATATTGCCTTCATTATCCAAAGAGCCTAACCGGAATAGAAGCACTTGTTCACACGCTCCTAAATATTTGCGTTCTGATTTGAAGCCCTGAACAGACACTTCTCGTCCTTCCCCCGCTCCCTCCCTGGCCCTCCACGGCGTCAGGACAAGGGAAGCCTTCGCTGGCTGCAGGCCCCTGACCTTTGGTCTTTTTTCGTATTATGGCACTGACACAGGCGGCCATACTCCCAGGACCCTCTTGGGACGAAGAGGTCGTACCAGCTCTGCGCAAACGTAAGTTCCAATCAGCGTGCCTCGCTAGTCCTTACATGTCCATATGTCTGCTGCAGGTCTGCAAAGCGAAAGCCGGACATTGTCCAAGCGCATGTCCGCTATTTCTTTATCAGAAGCCGACGAATCACCCTATCCCAACTACGACGATTTTACCGTACGACAAAAGTCCTCTGTCAGCCCTGGTTCCCAATCTAGCAGTAGACGTGGTGGCACTCGTCTGCAGCTTGCTTATCAGCAGCCGGATCGTATGTCATCCACAGCCACTCCCCGTGTCAATGGCAGTAGCGCGGATTCATCATCGTCAGCAAAGAACCAGAAGCCTTCTTCCTCAGAGTTCCAGCGTTCAAGGACTTACTCACAGCCTTTCACCACCGACCTACCCAACGGCAACGCTCGGCCAAAGCCTACCACTGCGAAATCATACGATGCGACGCGAGCGCTGTCACCACGACCTGCCGACCTCAAACCTACACGAATACCCGTGGCGTCCCGTGTGAGCTTGTCGAGCAATGGACATTCTCCTCCCCCACTGCCATCTAACGGCTACAGTCCCTACTCGCCAACGCAGCAATTTTATCCTGAATCAACAAGAATTTTGCCAACTACCGTTCGTCTCATGAACGAGTCCCCACCCTTCTCATCCACCTCTTCGATTAACTATTCACAGAATGGACATGAAGAGTATGAAAACGCTCCCCCGCGACATTCAAACGACTCGGAGGAACGCCCTTTCGAACACTGGTATCGGGGAGAGGTATCGAGGAACGGCGGTGTAGGTGAGCTGAGAGTGGGTCGGAGGCAGGAGATGCTAGAGATCGCAAACTACGGACACACCCTTGCCAAGAAGAAGAAGCTGGCTTCAAAGGCGGTCAACCACGCAGAAGACTACCGTCGTCACCGTAAACGTGCGGACAGCATTGCTGGAATCACTATCAAGGAGCGAGAACAGGAAAGCCTGTATCTTGATGACGAGCACGTCAACGAAGACGAAGTCGGTCAGGTGCTAGATGAAAGTCCTCTGACTGACTTGGATGGAGAAATGTCGGATCTGGCATCAAATACTTCCTCTCACCGACGGAGTGGGTACGATCACATTCCCGGGGTGGGGGATATATCAACGACCGTTTCGGACCGCAGTGTTACTACCAAAATACCTCCATTACCTGCACTACAACAGCGGCCGCAGCAAAATGGTCACTATCCCCATCCCACGCGGATTCCTGGCCCCTCCTCACGACGCTCATCAGAATCCCGAGTGTCAACGCCAACACTTAATACTTCCCGAGGGACGAATAACTCTGCCGGGTCTCCGTCCCCACCGCCCCAAGCGCCGGCGCAGCAGACTCCGCCAACGAAGCAAGCTGGTGCACAACCACAGATGTCCGTAAATAAGCGAGGCGTGTCGCCAGCCTCGGCGTCTGCATCCAAGAAGTCGCGGACAGCTGCGTCAAAAGCGACTAGGGCCAAGACCACGGCAGCGAGGAAGGAGCAGGAGGATTTGGCGAATAGGAAGAGTGTGGCTTATTATCCTAGTCCGGGAAGTGAGGGAGATGATGATATGGCGGATGCTATTCCTTCGTGGACGCAGCCGAAACTCAAAGAAGGGAATTGGGATGAGGTGTGTTTCTGCTTCCGTTTTGCTTGTGTTTGGATTTTGAAAAGGATATAACCGATGGATTATAGGTTGTATTGCCTGTTGTTGCGCGTAAGAAAGGATTAGACGACCAATACGAGAAGGCGGATGGAGGTCCACAACTAAAGAAGGCTGATAACACAATTGCACCTGTACTTGCCCTCGCTTTCTTCAATCGCCAATTCACTGACACATTCGTTCCACAGGCTCCAGGTACATTTGGGTACGACCACTCCAAATACCGTCCACCACGTGACGGTGAATCCATACCCATGGATGAATTTGGGCGACAGGAAGATCCAGTTGACGAATACGAGCAGACGGGCGACAAGTTTGAAGAACAGACGTTGCCGGACGAATCGCGCTTGCCCAAATGGCGTGCATCTCCGCCCTCACCAGCGCCTTTCTCCCAATACGCACCTCCAAGAGACAAGAAGACCACGATCTTGCCTGCTAACCCTGTCAATTCAGAAGTGGACAGGATACCACAGCATATGGAGGAAGAGAAGGGCGCGGGGTGCTGTGCTGGTTGTGTGGTTATGTGATTCATTTTGGATGGACAATCTATCGGTTTCATTCGACCTTTGTCTTTTCTGAGGGCATTCGTACATTGGAAATTCCGGCGCCGTAATTACGGCGATCGTTTACGGCGGCAGTTTCCGCCGTCATCACGTGATTACTTTAGCGCTTAGTTCACGAGTTCATCAGGCGGGTATATGGATATTGCAGCTACATTTTATAAGAAAAGTGATTCCATTTACAAATGAATGTATCTACTCAACTAAATCCACACGGCCATCCAAATTGTTTGAACAAATGAAAGTCCCTTGATGTAAGCGGCAATACCAGGTATCTCCCACACATAATCTTGCAATAGATCCCAACAATCATCAATGTCATCGGTAGACATTCCAAGAGAAGCTCCAAGAAAATTCGTGATGGGCGGAGGCAAGGCGGAGGGCAGAATTGATGAGTTATTTCGAGGGATCGGTTGTGGTTGGAGGATGTCGCGTTTGAGGTGGCTGGCAACTTGGCATGTGAATATCTCAACACCATCTACGGTAAGGTTTCAAAATACAGGGTGCACCTTGAGCTTCTCGAGGGCGTTGGAGGCGGGTAGCATTGGCGGTAATGTGATGCGGATGAGCGCGCACGATACAGGCGTTTCAACGCGTTGTGTGGCGGGTCACGTTTTTTTGTCACGGAAAGTGCCGCCGTAAGCGATCGCCGTTATGCACGCCGTAACTTCCAATTCCCAAACTTACTGTCTTTTCTTCATTTCCCTCACTCTCTCGGATTTCGCTTTTTGGATCACGAAACGCATGCTCCTTATAACACTCACACTCTCCCTGTTGGTCTTCATCTTCTCCTAGAGCCTTTTCCCCTGCTCGAATCCCTCTCTTGCTCGCAGTCAATCAACTACCCACGTCTTCCCAAGTTCACCATCACTTTCGACATTCGTTTGCTAGTCGTGTCAAAGCTTAGTTGTTCTTGGTAGATCTCCTACACTGTCGTCACTCCCACAACCTCTCTTCCTTTCTCCTTTTACTACACGCTGACCTATGCACCACCCGAGACCCCCTCATTTTTGTTGCTCTTCTCTATTCTCACGCAATCCCTCGCCTCATTGACGAGTTGTACTACTGCTATTCCCCCACCATATCATTCGTTTACCTCGGAATCTTCAATAATACCCCACATACAGTATATTATTTACTGCTGTTCTGCTGTTTCCCTCGGGTTTGAGGGTGGATGTGTGTTTATACACCGAAATAACACAAGAATGGAAAGGAAGGGGAAACGTGTATACACCGCAAAGACAGTTATCAGCTGCCGCACTTTCCAATCGTAAACTGTGCTCTTGAATACAAACGTGCATCATCCACCCTAACCTCTTCCGTCGCAAACTTGATCATAACCGTCCATCTCCCAACAGCGTCACCACCATCAACCTCCAACTTCGTCTGATTCGTAAACTCCCGTATGGTCCTGCCATCTTTCTTCCATTTGACAATATAGCTTTCCTTGGAAGTGATGCTTTCCGTCCGAAATTGTGCCAGAGGCAATAGTTGGAGGTCGACCACTCGCGTCCAGGATCCGGAACTCTGCTGTTCGCATTGTCCTATTCCTATGTCGTTAATGAGGTCAATGTGACCCAATAAGGAGAGCCAAAGGCCCTCCATGCAGACTTTGCAAAAATGGGGCGATGTGACGACGCGCATTAGGCAATCTTCATTCGTTGGGCGGTAGCTTGTCTCGTTGAGGTCCGAGAATCTGAATGATAAAACAGGTCAGGTTACTACGTCTAAACATGTCCACAGCAGCAGATACGAACGTTGGGAAGATCCCGTAGTAACCTGGCTGGTTGTTGAATCTATTACAGCACCATGTGAGGCGAACCGAAAATGACAAATAACCAACTTACTCGTCTTCGTCTCCAAACTCCAAAACCTCAACGCTACAAAGCTGAGCAATCCCCTCTCTGCTCCCTTCCAATAGAGTGAATTTGATCTCGTGCTCTCCGAGACGTAAACCCCCAGACCGATGGATATCATAATGCCAGCGGTCAACACCAATGTTCGGCTCAGGCACCCATCCTAGATCCACACCGTCAATCTCGACCTTCAAATCCGACTTTTCAGGAAGTCCTGATAAGGAGAATCTGACGAGGTGGCTCGAGTACATGCCAGATGATGGGAACGTAATAGACCAGGGTGAGCTTGAGTTGAGCATTGTCCAAGGGTATGCTTGCATGGGCATGACGGAACGTTCAACGCGACGCGTCTGCTTTCTGAGATTCTCCGGGATGGGCGAGGGGTTGGTTAGCCAGTGTTCCCAAGGAAGGGGCTTGGAGAGATCTTCCGCTGCGTTCATGCCAAAATAGGCAAACCCGCCGTCGTACTCCTCGCCAACATCAATGATGGAGTGCCCTAGTTCAAGTCGAAGTACCAGAGGACCATTAAGGAAGGAGGAGGTCACCACTCTGAAGGAGCGGTGGTATAGTCCTTTCTGAAAGTCTCAACGAAGCAACGTACGTGAACTCCCCGCCCAGTCCTTAAAATCGCATTATCATCAATACCTGGCATCAAGGAAAGTAAGCATAGATACCTCCATACAAATGATCATTGCCTGTGGCATATTAGCATGGTCGAAAAATGAGAGTAAGATTGTATACCTAAAAGAATGGGATAATCGCATTTACTTGCCAAAGATTCACATGTAGCTTTGGCTACTTCCGGTTTATCGTAATACACCCCACGGAGCTCGGTTCCGTCTCTGTAAAGCCCAAATGGTGTACTGACAAACCGAGTCTTCAGGTTCAATGCCAACGGACGTTACCCCAAATAGTTACTCTTTAGGAATGCCACCAACACCGATACCGCTCTAGAGAAATGTGAGACTCTGAAACGAAAACGAGACAAGTCAAAGACAACCTCTTTGCTGGGAGAAAAAGCGGCCCAGAAATTGAGCAAAGGCTTTACGGTATGGAAGGTCTGATTCTTGGAAATGTCGTCCACCAGACGCATAGCATCCTGAATGAATTTATCTTTTTCCTCCTGAAGATCTTTTCAGCCAGATAAATGAAGACAAGCGCTACAGTGACAAAGATCTTACAGCCATCCGAGAAGAAGACCAAATCCACACGATTAGAAGACGGTCCTGATATATGTAGTTGGAGGAGCTCGAGGGGAGGCAATGGGACGAAAGTGTGATTCTTTTGATCAATTTCTTTCGTGTCCTCCGGGTCGGCTAAACCAGGCCTGCGATGTATAGCCTTGCCCCCGCGTGTCCAGCAAGTCTGGAGCCCAGTTCGGGTATGGGAGGAGAATGGTTCATCTTTTGCAAAACGTTGCGCGAAACCTATGGCGGAATCACATATTTGGCTATCCAGGACATCATCATACTGTTGTAAAACATTTTGGGTGCGCGTGGCATAAGAAGCTTGAGTTTCAGAGGCATTTGGGCTGGGTCAACTTTATCATAGTATTTCGTATAATGATACCCACCGATAATAAATGCGCTATGGAACAAAGGTACAAAGTGGAGCATGGCTGTGGCTCGGCAGCTTCGAGAAGGATTCCTGAGTCGTTTTAGCCGTGCTCGTCGCAAAAGCAACGCAAATGGAGGCAAATGGCTCGAAGCTGCCAACCGTAAGTACTTGGAAGCTCTTGCCAACCATTTGCAAACAAAGGTTTTTTTGAAGAACATCTGTTGAACGCCTTGCCCTCTTCTCTGACATGGCCAAAGACGAACTCATCGATTCAAAGGTCTCCTTGAAGCAATGCCGTCTGGCGGTGGAAGCCCTTCACTCTCACGAGTCGAAAAGGCTAGAAAAGCTTCAGGAAACAGAACTTCTCCCTGGGAAGGAACAAAATATCTGGTTGAATGTCACGGTCAAGAAAATTCCCTCTGGGCACAAATTCAAGCCCATAAAGATGTACGCACAAATTTATACTGTCTTATCTTCAATTTCCTTATTCTACCCTCTTCCAGCCCGATCATTCATCCTTTGGTCGATCCTCGCACAACCCCCGTATGTTTAATCACGAAAGATCCACAACGACAATATAAAGACCTTTTGGAATCGCACGAAATCAAGTTTATCTCCCGTGTGGTGGGCGTGGAGAAATTGAAGGGGAAGTTCAAGCCTTTTGAGGCAAGGAGAGCCCTTCTCAAAGAGAACGGGCTATTCTTGGCGGACGAACGAGTGATCCCTTTACTTCCAAAATTGCTGGGCACGAAATGGTTCGAGGCAAAGAAGTGAGTGCGTCGCACATCACCGACTCCCCCTTCTGACAGTTTACTCGAGACAACCTATACCCGTTTGTCTGACTCGCAAAGATCTCAAAGGCGAGTTGGAGCGTGCTATTTCCTCAACTTACATGAACCAAAACCAGGGGACGTGCACGTATGTATTTCAGTCATATTATTCGATCTCTACTGAGGCATCCCACTTCGCAGGTCAATTAAAGTCAGCTCTCTCTCCCATAAACCCGCACAAGTTCTCGCCAATATCCAATCCGCAATTCCTGCTGTCGTCAAACACATTAAGGGCGGTTGGGATAACGTCCAAAGTTTCAATATCAAAACCAACTCAAGTGTCAGTCTCCCAATATGGTCATGTCGTCTCGATGGGGAAGAGGGAGGCCGTTGGGACGGCTTCGCAGCCGAGGACGAGCAATCCGACGACGAGGACAAGGAGAAAGACAGTGGCGAAGAGGAAGAGATGGAAGTGGACGACGACTCGACGAAGACGAAGAAGGGAGCAAAGAAGTCGGGACTGAAGAGGGCGACCAGTTCTGACGAGGAAGAGGAAGAGGAGAAGCCGAGAAAGAAGTCAAAAGGTGTCAAGGGCACTCCTGTAGCCGTGCCGCCTACGCCAAAAGAGAAATCTACTTCAAAATCGACCATTCCATCCCCCATTGCTGCCCCATCATCCGCCAAAACCACAAAGGCGGCCGCCGCTCACGTGGATACCCCCGCCAAATCCAAGAAGCGCACGGCAGCTGCAGCCCCTTCCACACCTGAAATAAAGGATGCCACGACACCAGCCACCACGGACAACGTGTTGTCCACAAAGAAAGCTAAAAAATCGAAAACCGACACCGTTTCTGCTGCTGAGCCCCTTCCCAGCGCTGAGCCTCTCGCAAAGATCACACCAACTTCTGAACTGACTTCCGTCGCTGGGGATAAGAAGAAAAAGAAGAGAGTCGCAGCGACCGTCAACGTTGAACCATCACCCTCTTCGGTCGAAGCTATTCCCAAGAAGAAGGAAAGGAAGGGAACTTCACCGCTCGAGGCCCCGCCCACGCCCTCCGTGCCGATAGCTTCTGAGGAGAAGTCGGTGAAGGAGAAGAAGAAGAAGGCCAAATCAGATCAGGCTGATCCCGCGCCAGCGAAAACGACTGAAGTTGCCGCCGTCAGTGCCGTGACAAAGGAGGAACATAAGCAAAAGCGCAGCGGGGGTGCAGGCGAGAAAAAGAAAGAAAAGGTGGCCAAATTGAAAGGAGGGAAGAGCGCTAAGGATGCGCTGCTCGGGAAGAAGGCTGGGCAAAGCTTGTAGTATTTTTGTCACGTCGTCACCATTATCCTATCCCAGTGATTTCAGGAGGCATTTGGTTTCAACATACATGATGCAGCTTAGATTTGGCTTGGATCCAAATGGATCGTAAAACTTGAAGCTTGAGCTTCACGATCCGTCGCCGGCTCTCGGCAACTCTCCTTTACCGATGAATTATTTACAGGTTACTTCGGTTATTCTTGCATCGACCTTTCCTCTCTACCACCACTATCTCAGGCCCAATCCTGCACAATGACAGATAGAACGTCGACTAAACTATTTATCCCCCATCCAGCTGAGGCGAGCTGCAACCTCGTTGGCATCCTGGAACAACTAGACCCGCGTCAATCAACTCAAGAGCGAAGCATTGCACTGGTATGTACTTGGATCTGATTCATACCAGCGTCCCCCGTTGCTCTTGATACATCTCTGACGTCTCGCTGTCATTTTCGCAGATTTTACACGGTACTCTGGGGTCAATCTATCTCCGTATCTCCGGCGAAGTGGTACAGAGTTGAACAAAAAATTACATCTTCCAGGCACAAAGATTATCTGTACCAAAAACGACTTGCCCGTCGACTACCTTTGGACTCCTTCCGCTTTGATTTTCGGTGTGTATAGACCGGCTGAGGAAGTACGGTGTTTGATTTTTTTTTCATCAAAGCGGAAATCATGAAAGCGGCGGGAAGTGGAAACAAGGCGCACTTGATGAAGACCTTGTTGACATTCAAGTTGTTGTAGATTATCTGAAGGCGAATTACGGATACGTCGTCGACCTTGTCGTTGGCCATTCCCGCGGGTCGATAGTTAGTTTTCGTTGGCTCTGCACCAGTGAGGATGGTAAAAAGGTTTCTGCGTTCGTCAACGCCTCAGGCCGATACAGGATGGGGGTGCGTATGGGCTTTCCGACTGACTATCTTGGACGCTAACTATTGGCATCCTGTCTCCAGAAAATTGTCGGTAAGTGCTGACGCTTTTATACGTCACAGTCACTTTGATCCTCCATCTGTAGAAAACGCGGCAGGAAAAATTTGGCGGGAACACTTAGAAACGCAAGAATCTTACAGCTGGAACGTCTCCGTCGCTCGAAAGATGCTTACCGCTACAATTACTCGGGAAGACCTTGCGAATTTTATCAGCTTTGATACCTCGCTAGTTTGGGATCGCTTCCCTCACTCAACTGACGCAATCACAATTCACGGTTTGTCGGACACGACCGTTCCGCCGTAAGCTTCACTACACTTCCTCTACGATGCCTGCGGTTCCTGAATTTATCGCAGATATGACGCTTTTATTTATTCACAAGCTCTAGGTAACCGAACACCAGGCACACACACATTATGCCTTTTGGAGGACGCAGACCACAACTTTACGGGACGTCAGGATGAAGTAGTTGATGTCATCCTTCATTGGTGGGAGACGCGCAAACGCGGGCAGCTCAAGACCGGGGTCTTAGCGCCGGGGGTCAAAGGCAAGCTGTAATTGGTCGGTTTTCTGCCTCATAGATTATATTGTAGACTATCATCATACCTGAAAAAGGGAAAACAATGATACATGGGTATGGGTGTAATTAAAATTTTTTAAAACTAAGTTCGAAGTCACTAATAATTCTTCCACTCCTTGAAGGCACCTTCATGGGTCGTGACGTCACCAGATAGCACCTTGGTCCCTTTTGTGAGGACTAAATGGCCGGGCTTGTGTATTTCTTGTAAATTGATATGTTGTGAAGACCAGTTGACTTCTTTCAGAATCATTTGATTTTTTGGGGAGTTGAGATTTACAACAAAGCGATACATATAGAAGGAAGTAAAAAGCTAGCGTTACAGGTGTGGTGAGGAGAGTTGTATCTAAGGAAGTAATAATTTAGTTATGGATGTATATAAATATAGATATTGTAATGAAGCTGTTGCGGGGAGGGTCGAAGTGTAGTAATAACGATACAAATAATTGAAATATGAGTGTCCACCACCTCTATCAAGAAGTCTAGCTGGATAAACCGGTTATTGGGCTGTGGAATTAAGCTCTGAACACGCAAAGCTGTTGAGTATTATATGTGGTGATGTTGTAGTAGGAGTGACATTCTGCGAATGTAATTTTGCAGTCGTCGCCGTGCGCTGGGATGTGCGCCAGCGGTATTCGAGTGCGCGTCGGGATCGCGATTCGCGATTCGCGTCGAGAAAATACGTGTAGTGAGGTCGGCGGTCACAGGAAAATATTGTCCTTTTCAGAAGAACACTGCGCCAGTTGATGATGCCCCTCCTTTCACAGATGTTTGCGAGCCGTTGCCACTTCCAGAGCCCGACTTCACAGATCCAGAGTTAGACTGGCCGCTCATATTCGAAGGAGGCGAGGGATAGGTGTAAGTGAGTAGTAGGGCGCGACGAGCAGTTACAAGCAGTTACAAGCAGCGACTGAGGGCAGCCGAAGGCAGATACGATGGAAAAATGAAAGGCTCATCTCAAACTTCCTCTTGGTTTTATAGGATGTTGAGTGATTTGCACAGGAACAAATGAATAAAACCGAGTCAAATTGGAAATCTCAAGACGGGGCCGTTTGAGAATTTTTGGCGCAAATACCCTTTCGCGAACCAGCGCGACCCGCAGAGTAACGGTGCGAAGACGTTCGACGCGATTCAACTGGATCTTGATATTGATTGCCACAGAAGGGGAAATTTGAAGTGAGTTTCGTCTGACCAAAATAATATTCCCACGGTTATTCGTTCTAAGAATCGAAGCGTTTGCCTCAATCTCCCTTTCCTCTCACCTCCTCGTCATCAACAAGTCAGCCGCCGCAGGCATGTGGCTCGTTTTCTCATGCTAAATTCCTCACCTATCAGGCACGCCCGGGCACCGCAGCACAGCCCAATGCACACCTTTCTGACCTCAACCAGATTTTCACCGCCGGACACGGAATGACTCGACTTTGTGTTACAAGCCTGGTTCGTTCCACAAGGTTCCACAATCTCCTCGTCTAAATCCTTTTCATCCGCAGATGATTCATAATTTATTTCTTAGCATGAGAAATTCGGCAGAGAATCTCTGCCGTGACCTCAGAATAAGTCTCGAGCCGGATATGTTGGAAATGAGCCTCTCGCACCGCTTTCACCTCCGACTCGAAGTGAATACCACAAATCCTTTTGTGTTGCTTCTTGGGCCTCGATCTATTGTTCTGGCAAGCTATCTACACAGGTGTAACCAGACATGTCTACGTCTGAACAATTAAGGCAAATGCCAGAGCAGTGCTTAGTGAGGCACCCATTCCAATAATTGACCCTATACTCTAAGCCCTGCCAACAGTGGCACTAAAGGTAAGCGATTCTGCCCGCTATGAGCGCTCTTCGGTGACTTACGTTCTTCTACCATCATTCTCACAGGGTTTAGATCAACGGTCACTTCATCTGCTTAGCACAGCCGAAGAAAACATTAAATCCTCCTTCCCCCAAAGAGTAACGATCTTCTTGTTGAGAACTGTCGTATGAGTCATCTTTCGGGATGACACCGAATTCAGGTCCAGAACCAGGTTACGAAAGTAGCGATGAAGTTGGTGGGAGACTACCGCGAATACCCCCGTCGTGGACATATGTTGAGCGCTTTCTCGAAATCACCCGGTTGTCGAAGGCCAAGTCTCTCACGGCAAAGTTCATGCACCTCATCAGAATTACCCTCCGGAAGGTCACTCCCGGAGTATCAAAGAACATCTCCAACTTCGCTGAGAAGAACGTGATGTATGGCAATTTCTTTTTTACGGGCGAACTGAATGTGACTCGGCAAAATGTAGGGAAACACCAGGAAGCACCGTTTCTTTCCAACTCAAGAGGCATTGTGCAATCAAACTGTCTCAATTTCAAGCGTTTGACGAAAATGGACCGGGCCGCGGCACCCTCAAAGCATCGGCACATGACTCTCCGTGTTGTGCTCTTCGTCTCGATTGCGCTGTCGAAGGAAGAACTTGTTAACTTTGAGCATTACTGTGTTCCTTACTAATCCAGCAGGCTGAATAATGAAAGATGATTGAACGGCATCTGACTCACCACTTCCAAAGGAGCCCCATCACTCTCGGAACGGCAGGAAACAGAACCACCTCGGATATGGCTGATGACGTTACAACTTCAAGGCACCAAGGACGCAAGTATGTAAGTGAGTAAGATTCCAGTGCGGTAAGCTCTGATTGTTTGAGGTTACCTTTTGCTGTCAAGAAATCAGGGTTCCAGCAATCACCACAACGACCAAGATCTCCGAAAATGAGATAGACCTGCGGGTTGTTTGACGCCGGGATCTGTCACTCCGTGTTCTTAAAAATAGAACAACGTGTGATGACGCGCCCATGAATAACTGCGCAAGCGACGCGCCTTATTGAACTTTGCTGCTTTATGGACTGCGCCAACTAAAAATATTCGAATAACGTCGTACAATATGGTTACGTTGAACCAAGTTCTTCAAGTGGATGCGGAGGCTCTATTTCCGCGAGAGATAATTGAAATAATATTATATTTACAATTGAAAGTTTAAAATGGCGATTTGTGACGTCGCCGGGCTGTGAGCGATTCAAGAACCCTACAATTACTGAGCGGTATCGCATCTACATTTCAGCGCTAAGGTGCAGTGGGAATCAACTAATAACTATGACCGGTGCCAATCAGCGGATCTGATGTTTAGGCACATAGGAATGTGTAAAGGATAAGCATTGAAGCTGTGGGCACGCATGTGGACTACCTGCAAGGGGATGGTTCATTATGAACCAGTCAAACGCCTGAAACTGCCAGGACTTTAGAGAAGTTGATACTCAGTGCCTATCTGAGGTGAGATGTTGGAAACAGAATTCCTTAATTGGCGACTCATCGTGATTTCAGAGAATGATTTCGTCTGCGAACAAGAAATAACTCAGTCTAGACTACCTCCACTATGATTTTGCCTCTGTTGTGGACTAAGAATTGGAAAAACTCATGGAAGAATGATGCGACGCACGCATTTTTGTTGGTCTCCATTTCCTTGTGTGCTTCTTGAATCTCGGACCACGGGAAAACCTGTAAAATTTTGGAAGAAATCATCGCAATCTCAATATCTACTCATTGAAAAAACCAACCTTGTGAATGTAGGTCCGAACTGGCCCATCACCGCCTTGCGACGTGATCTTCCCAAAAACTTCTTGTTTGAACCTAGGCGTAGTGGCAATTAGGAGCGGAAGTGAATAAGTAGATATAGTAACGAACTGAGCAATTAGTTCAGCCTGATATTTCAAGGTCCTCGAACGAAGGGTAGACCCTTCAATATGAAGCCGTTTATACAATATCGGGGCTAAGTTTGCTTTATCAACGACCGCCCCTGCCGAAAAAAATGTAGCAGGTAAGCAAATTGATAGATGTGAGAAGAAGGTCAAAAAACAAACCACTCAAGAGGGCAAGCATTGTCATTCTTCCATCCACCGCCATCGCTTCGATATTCTGACTGAAATGGCTCTGCCCAACAAAGTCGATGACAACATCGACTCCTTTATTTTGAGTAACCTTTTTAACAACAGCAGCGAAATCCTCCGTTTTATAGTTGGCGGCATGTGTAGCTCCATTTGGGAGGTTTAAGAGCCAGTCAATTTTTTCTTGCGTGGACGTCGTTGCTGTTACAGTGTGTCTGAATGATCATGTAAGGTCGGCAGCGGAAAAAATCTATTTAAAGAATTACTTACGCGCCGTACACGCGAGCCAATTGGATGGCGGACACCCCCACGCCGGATGCACCCGCGTGAATGAGAACATTGTCACCTTCCGTTACTTTCCCGACTAAAACCAGTGCCTGGAATGCTGTGAAATGACCGTATAAACTTTATTCCTCTCTAAACAGCACTTCTGGCACGTACCCGTTAGGAAATTCTCCGGAATACTGGCAGCTTCGACCCACGTTAAGTGACTGGGCTTTTTGAGCAAATGTGTGTGGTAGACGGCAATGTACTCGGCATAGGCACCCTACAAACCTCAATTGTGGATTCATCTCTGGAGGTGTGAAACATACCCCTCCTACGAGGCCTAGAACCTCATCTCCAACCTTCCACTCCGAAATATCAGTGCCGGCGTTGCTGACAACCCCAGAGAATTCCACCCCTAATATATCTGAGGAACCTGGCGGAGGTGGGTAATGTCCTTCGCGTTGCGATATGTCCATACGATTTAGACCGAAAGCCTTCACCTGTTACCAAGCTGTAATAGCTTGAGCTGATAAGACATGGAGATAAGACCAACCTTGACTAGCACCTGGCCGGGTTGGAGAGTTGGAATCGAGGTTTCCCCGATGTAGAGGTTCTCCACAGGCCCCTTGCCGTCCTTAATGAGTACTGCCTGCATTGACATTTGGAGGCAAACTAGGTATGTCGCTGAGTGTCGGGGACAGTGTGAAATGACTAATGTACGATTCCCAGGCGATTGAATCACATGTATGACGTCTTTGACACCTATGCAAGTCGTGGTTACTGCGGGCACATCGGCGCCCAACTTATGCACTTACTGCTTGTCATCAAGAATTATGATGCGCAGCGGTAGTAGTTTTCTCCAAGATGAAGCCTCGATAGGCTTCGAGGGCGGTAACGCCATTCCCCCTGTACATTATTGATTAGTACAGTACGATTTGAGTGTAGTCCAGATAAAGAAATAACCGTAATGCATTGCATCCCGCGGACAAAGAGGAGACGAAAATACCGCAGCCGGCCAGGGTATGTATGCACTGTAGAGTCCGTACTGTTAGTGGCTCGTGAACCACGGGCATATCCACTCGGAGAACAGAATTCTCCTGGTCCTTTTGGGAGGTCCTCTTTTTTCGGCGAGACCTAATAATAAAATAACGGCGATTCATAACTCGAGTTTTTGATCCTCAAAAATCGGTAGGTCCTTCCGTCCTTCCATGTACCCAGAGGTTATTTATGGAAGTTCACGCTTTGTGAATCGCAGGCGTTCCTATCGCGCAATCACTTTTCATGTTCCAATTTTTCAACTCCAAGAGGCGGTCGAATAATACCGAGAGTGCAGAAGGATCATGATGTAGTTCGATGAGGCCTGGTCATGTGACCGTGAAGTTCTCACGGTGGTCCACATAAATTTTCTTCGATGCTCTCTAGGACTGACTGCCAACCATCTATCTATGACATTCCGCCCGCTCAAGGGACCTACCGACGTTTTGAGGGATATTGCTCAGTGAGTGCTCCTTTTCTCTCTCTCGTTTCCTTGATGAATACAATGCTATGGTCCGTGTTTCCAAGAAGCGACTAGACACCGCTGTTCAATCATGCCGACATCTATCTACCTAGCCTTCTGATCCCTCTTCCCTCGATTGATATCGTACACCCCAGCGTTACTGAATACGCTTTCCTATAGATACCTTATCGGGGCCCGCTCATCTTCGCAAGTTTTTGAAGAAGACAGGTCACGGTTATAGAACGTAAGGGTTCTTATTGCCTTCCACCACTCCTACATGATGATCCCTGCTATGGTCCGTGTTTCCTAGAGGCGACTAGACATCGCTGCTTATTGTGCAGATAACTCTTTACCTAGCATTCTGACTTTGTTCTCTTCATCTGACCATCCTTTTCTGAGACGGCTCGCTAATTTCACTCTTTCAGATTTTACTAAGGTTAGCTATCTGTTGAGATCTTTCGACCAGGTCTCGCTTAGCATTTGGAATTTTGTATGCTGTATCTGCTTTTATGAAACAATTAACTTTGAAGGTGTCTATCAAACACCATCACCTATCATGGGGTAGTGAGTCATTCTGGGGATATCGGACTCAAGGCAAGAACAATAAACCGAGGCTGGCATCTTATCGATTAGACCCTCAACACCCAGGTTGAAGAAGTACATTGAACGAATACTCTATATCCCTAAGAAACGAGTGAAGGCGAAAAGGGCGTAACTAATTCCCAGCTGCAATGGCTTGTTGTTGGGCAACAAAGGTAGTGGAAGCGGCGGGGCAGCCAACACCAGGACCTCTAAGGTTCTGGAGAGTGACGAGGGCTGCTTGAATGCGTGCTAACTTCGAGGCCTTCGAGTTGTCAGTGGGGAACGAAACTGCGACGCCTGGGTTATTGACGGCATGCCCAGCGGCTACGTTGGCACTCAGGGACTGTAGGACCAGCTTAAGAACGGTTACAGGGGGAACGCTTGAACTAATGCTTACAGCAATGAAGGAGTTGCGATCAGGAGGGCAGAAGCATGGGATCTTGACGACTTGTCCAGCCGCGTTTTTGATTCCGTCACAGTCACCGGTCCCGGTAGGATTTAACCCTGCTTGGAGGCCAAATTGGGGGACCAGGTTGGGATCAACACCACCAGCGGGCGCAGGTGCTGGGGATGCTGGTGCCGATGCTGGTGACTCAGGTGCTGGTGCGGGAGACGCAGGTGCTGGCGCTGGTGCGGGTGACCCGGTATCAGGCCCAGCAGCGATGGCCTTCTGCTGAGCAAGGAAGGTAGTGGACGCAGCGGGACAACCAACACCGGGACCCCTGAGGTTCTGAAGGGTAACGATAGCCGTCTGAATACGTGCCAATTGCGAGGCCTTGGAGTTGTCGGTGGGGAATGACACCTTGACACTTGGATTGTTGACAACTTGTCCAGCGGCAACATTGCCGCTCAAGGACTGGTAATTGTTTCAGGGTACAGTTCAGGACGCTTGGAACCGAGACTCACCGCGATAAAGGAACCACGGTCAGGAGGACAGGAGCATGGGATTTTGACGACTTGTCCAGCCGCATTTGTGATTCCATCACAATCACCAGTTCCGGTGGGATTTATTCCTGCTTGGATACCAAACTGGGGTACCAGGTTGGGGTCGACCCCGCGCCTGACCAGCTGAGCTGGTGCACCAGACACGGATGCAACAAGAAGGGAAGAGATAACGAAAGTAGCGCCGACGAACTTCATTCCAGCAGGGTTAGAGAGTCAGAGAGGTGCACAAAAAATGAATGGGAGCGTCGAGCTGAAAGAATGTCAATGAATTGGCGGGTCCTGCGACTTGCGCTGGTCAGAAAAGAAAGAAAATCGACGTAGTCGAGAGGGAAGAAGAAAGAGAGGGGTGATGGAAGGGAAGCGGTGATCATCCTTAAGTTGTGAAGTTTTAAGCTTTCCTTGATTGTTCTGGAAGAAGCCGGCTTATGATAAGCCTGAAGGCGCCTAAGGCCTCAAGGCAGAACTCTCAGGACCTCCGAAGTCCTCTTGAGGACAACCAAAGGATCAAAGATAGAAAGATCGTCGTTGTATACACCACCATTTGTTCAAAATGCTGATGGCATCTGGCATGAATCTCCGCTTGACAGATTACTGATGGAGGTCGCCCCGGCATGGAGGGCAGGTGTGTCGGAGCTTGGGGTGTAAATGTTTGAGCCAGCGGCTCGACACCTGACCCACAGGTTTTCAACTCTGCTCAGGAAGACCTGTACCGCCAATTTTCTTCGGGCGACGAAATGATGTACTTGAGATACAAATTATTCATAGTAAGATAATAAAATGATACATTGAGCACTTCCAAGTTCTTACAGGTAGAAAAGACACGGAATCCTGAGCTCAACATGAAAAGGCCCGTGCGAGAAACTCTCCAAAATTTCCCCAAGTCGTTTAAACTCCGCCCTATGTTTGGTTATTTCCAAACTTCAACCAGAACCAAACTCACCTTCCTCTACACCACAACCGTCTCTCGCCCAGTTGCTTGCTTGCTCCCCTCATTATTTCTTGTTTTCATCTGTGTTCCACTACCAAGTGGTCTGCGCCCCATGTAATCCTCCTCATGTTGTTCCGTTGGTTGTCCTTGTTACCCACCTGTGCGTCTGTGCGCGGTCGCCACCTGTCACTGTTCTGGGCTTTTGTTCCTGCCCATTGCCCCTTTGTAGTTCCTCCCCGACAAGTGGCCACTTGCTAATACTGACTCTCCTGGACAGGTTCACTTTTGCATTGCGCCACGTAGCGGCAGCCGCAGTAGACGCACGCCTATCACCATCATCAAACCCAAGCTTGGCTCTCCAGACAACGTCTCAACGTGGTATCCGCCCTCCGCTACCCTCCTCTCATTCAACGAGCCAGAGGCTCCGCTTTGACGCGCCTTGTTTGTGGTTGCGCATTCGGCGGACAGCGCAAAGGGTGGTCGGGTGGGGGAATGTTTTTTGAACGGAAGAGCAGACACAGGTAGTAATTGGAGCTGCCTCATTTCTCACATCCTTCCATACACCCTATACCTTTGTACTATGCAGCCTGTTTATAATCCTTGCTTATGAAAATGTGGCCAACGTCATCCTCCTCCTTGCCCCTTGTATTTTATGGACTAAATAAGAACATGAACACCTAGTACAAATATGGCCAGGGAGAAATATTGAAAATATAGTGAATTTACGTAGGCTGGGCTGCCAGCTGGTCCCCAGCTGCCCCAGACAGGTAGTGCCAAGATCGACCTGGGCACACCCTGCTATTAGTCGGATTTCGATCATGGTGTGGACTCGGATCATTATTGCCTGACAGGTGGGAAAACATGCCACACAGGGTTTGACTCTCAGGTTTTTCTCACATGCCTGTCATTTGGCGGTGTATATCATCGCGTTGTGTAATTATGGTTGATACATAAATAAAATAATTCTCCACAACAACCACCTGCGCTTGAGTATACTTCCCGGTTGGAACAGATATAATCTAAATCGCTTTCTTTCGTGGACTTACGGTTTTTCGAGCAGCTCGCTTAGCCCTCTTTTTTGGGGAGATATTCGAGTGCTCGAATGGAAGGGGCATAACCTCAGATGGGTGGACTCCGCAATCCTCTTGCGCCTCTGAAGATTGCCCGGTATATTCCCAAGTAGTGTTCAAGCTCCGATTCTCTGACATCGGAGGTGTATAGGGGTGGTATGCGAGCTTCTCAAAGTCGCGGGCAGCCTTTTTGGCTCGACGTTCCTCAGCTCGGTGCTTGGCGCATAGGGGATAGCTAGGAGGTTCTTCAACCTCCTTCGCAGTAGGTTGTGGCCGTTGAACTCGGACTTCTTCTGTATGGGCGACGAGTCCAATGTAGGTTTGCTGATAATCACAGGAACTCCTGGTCTGTGGCAGCCTGACTAGATCTCTGTTGTCGTATTGGGCCTCCTGGGCATCCACGGCTTGCACGGCGTCCCACAGCTCCTGGTCGAGACGCTCCATCTCGGCGATGTCGTCGGAGATGTCGAAGTGTTGCATTTATGAAAGAGCGGGGATTATAGTGGCGTTGGTCAAGAAAAGGAAAGAAAGGATCGTGAGGTGAGTAAGGCTGAGTAAAGAAAACGGAGCAGCGAGAAGGGTTGGGTAAGTAAAGAAAGCGGAGGAGCGAGGATGGTTTATATTTATATTGGCCGGAAGACAATTGCTTTATAGGAAACAATTGCATATGCATGGTGGCCCGTGGCTACCTAAGTGGCCGCGAGAAAGAGGAAAGGAGGGCACGGCGCCATCAGTGGCCACCGAAGAGTGGCCTAGATCCTAGGTCGCATCGGCTAAAGGTCAATTGGATTTCATTGGTTGCGCCCGCCTCACCATCTCAAGTGATATATATAAACCATACACTCTATAATTTTTTCCCCCTGATGTCCTCGGGTTGAACTTAAGAATTGGCTCATCTTTACTCTTCCTCCAGATGAATAAAGCTGTACCGATTTCCAACCCCCAACCGCCAGCAGATGAGCAGGAGACAAATGAGGGTTATTCATTCGTTTAGCTCTCAGCACCCTGAAATTCGCGGAGCACTGGTTGTCAAAGTCGCGGTGCCCGGTCCCCACCTGAACTACATTCGCCTGTCAATAGAAACGATATCCTTATGCCCTAGCAAAATAAAATTGATATGACGGTGGCAGACTGCCGTCATTGTGTCGTCTTTTTCTCGTTTGTTCATTGCTCCGCCTCTGAAGATTGAATGGCTAGGTGTATCGTTCCACGAACGAATCATTAGCTAGCATTGACAAAATATACAGATCAATCGGTACACGGAAAACTAAGACAACAGCGAAAAGAAGTATATGGCACAGCGGTGATAAAAGGATATATATCTATGTACAATGGCGGAAAGAAAAGGTGCGGCGGCCAGAAAGAAATCAGACACGATATAGATAGAAAAACGGAATACAGTTCACCACAAAGGGTGGATGGTGACGTGCTTCGGCCGGTGCAGAATCGTCGCGGAATATAGAAGTATAGAAGACTCAGAGGAGATATCTCTGACGGCGGAAGCGGCGGTGGTGGGAGGAGACGCATGAATGATCTACGTGAGTGACGGGAGAGGCAGGTTTGGCAGAAAAGCAGAATCGTCCCGGGCTACAGAAGACTCAGAGGGGAGATCTCTGACGGCGGAAGCGGCGCTGGTAACGCTGATCATTTATGCGTCTCCTCACCGGTAGGAGGAGACGCATAAATGATCAGCGTTGGTGACGGAAGAGGCAGGTCTGGCAGGATGACGTCGTCCACCAATGTAAAGCGTGCAGCTCGGCTTTGAAATCTCAGCCAGCCCAAAGCGTCTTGGATAGACGCACAAAGGGAATCACAGACACCAAGGTTTGTAGGCGCCCAACTCTCCGTCGTTTAGAGCAGAGAGATGGGAGAGGGCAAGGGAACGGCTGTCCTCGTTGTCAGCCGCTTTCATCTCACCCTCGTCGCCATGAGGATTGGATATTGAACAAGGGAACGGTGGCGGTCGTTGGACCCACCGCTTTCATCTTGTCCGGTGACCAGTGGTGTTGGTTGGTGCTGTGAATCCCACCTAAATATGATGGGCTGGCGAGCTTTCGAATCCAGCGTGGCGAGCCAAGACATTGCGTCATAAGGTCCTAAGGCATTCCTAAGAAACGCAAAAATGCGCCTACTACAGGTATGGCATCACAGAAACCACAGTTCGTGGTATCCCTGCGCCACGAAGTCTTCCGATCGGGTTTATCAGAGGTTGCGGACTCCAGAGGGAAGTGGCCAGGCATGCGACGCTTCTTCTGTGGCTTAGCGTGCTGCGTGTCTGACTCCTGAGATGCCTTGAACCGTTTCGAGTGATCCCGTCCATTCTCTAGCCCTTCTGCGTCCTCAAATGAGTCCTCGTCGTCGCGCTTGCGTCGTTGCCCCGATCGATACAAAAAAGCACTAACGGGCGTCGGATCGTAGACTCCTGAATAATATCGGAGTGCTGGCGGAGGTGTCGTCTGTAGAACGTCTGTAATTGTAGAGAGATGAAGAAGGAAAGTGCAAACTTACGGAGAAAGGGTTGTATTCAGTAATCGGGTAAAATTTCAGGGGAGTTTCTGTGCGAGAGAGAGAAGGAAGTGGTCGAACGCCGCGTTCTGGCTTTGAATTGGATAGTGTGGAAGACGCGACACTATCTGGTGAAGCTGGTTCTTGTTGGAACGGGGGTTCCATGGAAGAACCAAAATATCGACGTTTTTGCTGAAAAGGGTGATGATACTTCAGTGGACGACCTAGAGATAGAGGATGTCTAACTCACAGCCTCCTGTATTTCGTAGTCTTGATTGATTTCAACCCACTTTGACCTCGTCGGTTGCTCGGAAGCAGACTGACGAATATCCTTAACGAAACGCGTTGCACGTAAAGAGCTAATCATCGCAGCGCGGTTCGTGGAATTTCTCAGAGGCTCAGCACGCGCTTTCGGAGCTTGACGCCAGTATGTAGATAGGGTTGGTGCAGGTGGCAAGGATGTCGGTCTAGCAGACGGTGGTTGCGCAAACGCCTGAGGTGTGTAGGGAATTCCCGAATCGCATGGCGAAACCACTGCTTGCGGCAACCAACTATTGCATTGGTCCATTATACTAGGTGTCTTCGGAAGCTCAGGGTCCTTCAAAATAACGAAATTAGTTGTGATTCTAAGGCGTACCAAGTCACTCACACTTCTGCGAAAAGGTGTTTCCTGCATGAACGTCGGTTCGCAGTGGGGTGCATCTTGCTCGAATATCGATCTGTTGTAAGGTGGATTTTGCACAAATGTCGGGGGTTGGCGCAAGGATTCGGTTGGAGGTTGGTAAGATGCTGGAATAAAACTCGGGGGTTGGGCCAGTGGCGAGTTATAAATATGTGCCGGGGTTTCGATAGGCGCAGTCGGTGTAGTATAAGAAGGCGCCCTGACCCCAGAGGGATGATGCAATGGGGGTTCGTGTGGGGGACCTTGATCATCGGTGTCCATGGCGATGTCTTCACCTAAACCGTCACTCTCCAAGAAAATGTCATCGTCGCAGTCCATGGCACAGTCCCCATCCAAACCAACATTCCCCATGGCCGATGGTGTATATTGACTGGGTGTCGAAAATGATGACTGATAATAATCAGAGTGGGATGAGAATTGAGCCTGCGACGAGAAAGGGGGCTGAGAGGCACTAGATGGATGGGGATGCTGTTGCGCCAAAGGAGCGCCAGGTAACGCTTCAAGAAATTGAGAGAGGTCGAGCATAGGATTGGGGTTCGACTGCGTAAACGATGGCATCTGTCCCAAACCGACATTCACAGAAGATGGGATAGGTTGGCCCTGTGTCAAAGAGGGGGGCTCAGTGGGAGGAAATGACGCCGGAGACTCGGATTGCAACTGCGCCAAAAGTTCGTTGTAATAGGCATCAAGCTCTGAAGACGAATAAGGTTGTGACACATATTCCTCCCAAGAATCTGGTAGCTCGCCAAAATCTTGCGGAGGCACCTCGGCCGAGCAAGTCGGAAAATGTGAAGACGATGGGGGATGTTGCACTTGAATATTTATCGCGTCAAGAAACTGGGAAAGGCCGGAGGAATCTGAATGCATGGGTGGCACATCAGGTAGAGTGGGTGCTTGTTCGCGTGCCTTGCCCTTGCCGGAAGTCGAAGCGTACGAGTGGCTGGGGTGTTGCGCCTGGCGTTCACTGGAGGTCGATGCATATGGCTGCTCGTGATACTGAGCTCGGGCTGCACTCGCAGCTGAACTTGATGCGTATTGTTGCGCTCGCTTATCCTCCACTGGCAGCGATGTCGACCCCAATGGGAAAGGTGGCATCTGTAGATTGCTTGCAAGAGAATCTCCAGGCAGACGCTCCTGGCGACCTTCCTTAATCTCAGGCTGCTTGGAGGCATTGTTTTGTGGAATCGCGGGTTCTGGTTGCCTAACAATGTACTCAGATGTTAGCAATCGAGATGTTGTCAAGAAAACCTAGCAGAACTCACCCCCTCGAGTCCGACTCTTTGCTAGCCGCCGCCGTTTGCTGTTGAGGCAAGGATGTAGAAGGCGAGGGATCAATGGGCTGAGAAACAACAGGAGGGGTTTGAATGGGAGGGTTCACAGCAGCCGGAGAGGTGATAGCGGCAGCAATGGTCGCAGCAAGGGTTGAGGCCGCTGGAGCAGCTGAGGCTTTCTGCTTCAAAAATGCCCTTTTCTGTGCCGCTTGTGCGACCGCTGCAAGCTGCTTTCCGCCTTGCAAAGAATTCTTGTGTTTGTTTGACGAAGAGCCTGCTTTAGAACCACCAGGAGGAACCATTTTGAAGGCAAATATATGTATGTAGTCTGGGAGAGAACTGGCGTCGATGCGTCGCTAAGGATTGCTTTGAGGCAGTCTATAGAGGGCGGGTTATTATTGGGAAGATAAGGTCTCCGTGAAATATATAAGTACCCAGCAGTGTGCCCGCCTTGACATCAGAGCCACTCTCGCGTTGACCGGGGTTGCTGTGTTCTTGGTGCAACTTGTCCGCTCGCGTTGACTTTCCTATTGTAGTAGCTGCCCGCCTCGAGGCCCAGTCCGATGACTTTGTGTAACCGTCGCTAGCATTTTCCGGTAATGTTGTTCGACGATTTGAAATAAGAATTCAAGTACAATGGCTTATCGTGTCCGAGGACAATTCAAGACGATTGGAAATGTGAATGTTGTGACAATTTCCTATTTAGGTCAATGATCCACGTTGAGGGCTGTTGAGGGCCAGTCATCTCGCGTCATCCTGATCAAAGCACTACTTAATATCGCCTCCAGAAGACGAAAACCCTCCTGAATGGTAGGAATGCGGGTGCTCATTAGCCTTGTTTTGGTCTTATCTATGATATAGCGCTTCATATACCCTCAGGCTTCAGCCTATGAAAGACATGACATGGCTTGGAAGTTGGATCGTCATGCATCGACTTGGTAATTTGGCTCCTCAGTCAAAGTAACTTCCACCTATCCCTCACGCATTTTCTGCAGCTGCCATCTGCTGCCATTGACGTCACGAGAGTGCTATGTATTCCAAAACTGGTCGACCACATTCACTCGCTCAAATCCCCTGGTGAATAGTACCAACTAGTCGCGGCTGTTGGATCTTCATGTACGCAGCAGGGAAACTTCTTCTCTTGCCAATCCCTTACCAGCTCCGGCAGTTCATCTACGCCAGACGGTGCACATGCGTTCACGACGCAAGTCGGCTTGATCATGATCATCCTTCCCAGGACAATCTCGTTTCCCACCACTGGCGTCGCTTTTACCCCCATAAGGTTGCACAACTCCCAAGCTACTTTTCTGGTATCTCGCGCCCGCCAAGCTCGTTGGCCCCCGGCCCAATTCATGGCATAGCAAATCAACATGCGCAGGCTGCCGCTCTTTCAAAAAGAGGCATACCCCCCATCGGCCATAGATTCTAGTCCCAATCGTCATCAGTCTAGGCTCCCCATGGACTGCCGTAATCCCTCTGGACAGTATCAACGCATCCGCCGACTTTCCTTTTTACCTACCACCCTGAGTGCACATGCGATAATTCAGACGGTATAAATGTTCATCACAGTCTGAGCTGGAATCGCTGGAGTTGAAATGTAGACAGCCATCGGGTTTCGACGCCAGCAAGATAAAGCTCCACACAGGTTCGAAGTTTTCCAGGGATACCGCACAACGACCACACGAAATCCATCAAATTTGCATCCGATCATTCGCAATCTGTGTCACTCTAAAAGGCACAAATCTCGGGCCCCGTCACTTTCCGCCTTCAAAACAGGTTCAAGCAGTCTTTCCAAGTTTTTCCGCTTTCTCAACACCGATGCCAGCAGTGGGTCTGGTCGTGTTTTTCTTCCTGGTGAACATTCTGGGACAATTTGGGTTGGCCGCCCTTGTTAACCGGACCATCGATGATTACTTTGGCGATCCAATTACTGGCACATTTCCAACCTATTCTCCTGCAGGTTTATGGCAGCAGGGCAATGGTTGTGCAGGGTGTACTGTCCGGCCAAATAGCTCATTAGCGTTTGACGGTACATGGCATGATACTACTTATTACATCGGTAACGGTTCGCGCTCTGTATCAGTCAATTTTACAGGTGCGGATTTTCTCCCACCCACGATGCTCGTTTCTGACGTCCTTCAATACAGGTTCCGCCGTTTACGCCTTCTTCATCACTGCACCAATAATTCCAGGTTCCCCTAGTTCGAACCACGAAACTCATCTTAACATTACGCTCGACGGAAGTCTCAGTGGCAGTTTTGATTCTATTCCCAGCGGAAGTAACTACGGTTACAACCAGCTGGTGTACGGTAATGCAAGTTTAAACTACGGAAACCACACGTTAGTGATATCCAGCGGAGGCCCCAGCCGTTCCATCTTGGAATTCGATTATGTTATGTATACGTGAGTCTCCTTGAATTCTAGCGGATATGCACTCAAATTTGACCATAGCACTGACGACGGGACAACAGCATCCTCTACAGGGCCAACTTCTGCTACCTCCTCAGCAACAGCTGTCACGACCTCATCCCCCACCGTCACCCCTGGAGCCATCGCAGGCGGTGTTGTTGGCGGAATTGTGATCATTGCGATCATCATGCTCCTTATATGTTTCTATTACAATCGTGACCGTGGCCGCACGACCGCCATTGCCAACGAAGCAAAAGACCAGGAGGCTGCCGCAGGTCCTCAGACTCTCAGAACTTTCATGCCTACAACCAGTGAAATAAATCCCTTTGTTGTTCCCTCAAATCGGACCTTTTTTCACGGAAATTCAAAAGAAAAACGACCGTTGCAAAACCCAAATACTGCACCAACAACGGAAGCAGAGTTAAACAGACGAATACAAGAGCTTCAGCAGGAAATGACTGTACTGCAGCCGCGGGATTCACTCTCCTTGCAGCGTCCTTCTTCGAGCAGGGAGGGAACGGATGATTGGAGGTCGAACCTGGAGGTGCTGCGCGCAGAGGTCAGAAGGTTGAGACTTTTGATGCTCTTGCAACCTCCGCCAGAGCAACCCCCAGAGTACGTTCACAGTGTTAGCGACGAAATAACGTCATTGGGTGGGCCGGCATGAAATTCTAGCGAGTGACCACAGACCACACTCACTATTTACCCTCCTTTGGATATGTACTATACTTACGTGACTCGCTTATAGCATCTGTCATCTGTAGCGTCAACCCGATGAAGAACAGATTAAAAGTCGCCTCCTGCTACACTGTGTTGTCAGATGATTGCACACGATGTGTCTTTCACGTTACTTTGACACTTGTTCCGTTTGGACAAGCGTCCCTCGAGATGATCAACCAGCTTAGTACGCTTTTCCTTCAAGTTCTGCAACAACATCACCCAGTCGAACTGCGTATGCTCTACGCGCGACTCGGAAAAACCAGCATTTTTGGATTCGAGACCCCTTATCATTCCCCGTTATTGGATTGTTCACATGCACACGGCGGATACTTGCCACCTCCGACCCAATGCATGCACTATGCGATAACTTGAGGTATGTCCACCCATCAGAGTCTGGGTTGGAAATTTTCCAGTTGAGTGATACAGACAGGAATTGGACCCTGCGCCAGCAAGATAGATTCCTGAGCTCAACGACTTGAGTTCTTCCACCACTTCCGTTACTTGTGTATACGTAATGTCCACATGAATTCCTTCCATCACTTCGAGCCCCATTTTCTCTGGGCGACGTGAGTCCCATCGAGCTCCGGACTCAATACAATCAAAACACCTGCTTCTTGTCGTCAAGTTTGCAGTCGGAGTCAACCCTTCCCACACTCTTTGACGCTTTCTTTACATCGCCCCCACCAATGGCTCTGGTCCTGCTGTTCATCTTGCTCAATATCCTGGGGCAATTTGGGTTGGCCGCCCTGGTTAATCAGACCATTGATGATTACTTTGGCGATCCAATTACTGGCACATTTCCAATCTACTCCCCTGCAAATTTGTGGCAGCAGGGCAACGGTTGTATCACATGTGTAGTTCGGCCAGATACCTCGATACCTTTTGACGGAACATGGCATGATTCCACTTTTTTCGTGGGAGGCGCTACACGTTCTGTATCAGTCACTTTCACAGGCAAGTTTTTCTTTTTGTCGATGTTGTTTTCTTATATCTTGGGATACAGGCTCTGCTGTTTACGCCTTCTTTATCACCGCACCAATAATTCCAGGTGTCAATAGTTCGCTCTTTGAAACCCACCTCAATATTACACTCGACGGGAATCTCAGTGGCAATTTTGATTCTATCCCTAGCGGAAGTAACTACGGTTACAACCAGCTAGTGTACGGGAATGCAAGTTTAAACTACGGAAAACACACGTTGGTGATATCCAGCGGAGGCCCGAGCCGATCTATCTTGGAGTTCGACTATGTTATCTATACGTGAGTTTCCCCGGATTCCATTGGATATACATTCTAACTTCCGAGACAATAGCACTGACGATGGGACAACGTCATCCCTTACAGCCCCAGTTGGGTCACCGACTGGGATATCGACAAAGTCGTCTTCAAACCCATCCTCTGCTACCTCATCACAGACTACCGTGCTTCCCAACGTGACCTCATCCGCTACTGCAACTCATCAGCCTGCCCTGATCGGACCTATCGTAGGGGGCGTTGTTGGCGGAGTCGCCGCCATTGCGCTCGTCATCATCTTCAGCTTCTACCGTAATCGTGACCGCTCGACCGCCCACGAGGTTGAGGCAACGGATCAGGCCATTCCTGTAGGCCCTCAGACCCCCAGGACTTTGATAGTCACACCCGCTGAAATAGACCCCTTCATCATCCCACCTAGTCAAGCCTCTTTCTATGGAACTGCACAAAAACAACAACTGCGTCATACCCCAAGCTCTACCCGAACAACGGTTGACCCTCGCCAAGTAGAGCTGAGTAGACGAATGCAGGAGCTTCAGCGAGAAATGGCCTTGCTACAGTCACAAAATTCACCCTCCTCACAGCACCTTCCTTTGAGAACTGAGCAAGGGAATGATTGGAGGTCGAATGTTGAGCTGCTTCGTGCTGAGGTTGAAAGGTTGAGGCTTGTGATGCACTCGTCGCAAGGTTTGACAGATCGGCCCCCACCAGACTACGCTTATAGCTTTAGGGACGAAATAACATCATCGGGGGGTATGTCGTCGTAAGTTATAACAATGGATTATCGCCGGACAATCAAGCGGGTTGCTGCAGGCTACATTCATTTACGCTGACTTCGTTTAGACCTGTATTATTTTGTAACCTTCCACATGTGTTACCCGTCGACGCCGTGCAAATGTTGTAACCTCGATGGGGACGAGTGGACACTCAAAATCCCTACCTCTGTAGAAAAAAACGGCGCTGGACCAAGAGAACACCAAGCTGGGATATTTGGTTGTATTCAGCATTACTCTACTAAAAGAATGGGGCCAACGGGAAGCTAATCAACTAAAAACTTATCAGCAATTGATGGAAATGTGAATACGACCCCGTCACGCACCCCTCTAGTACATCATGCATCATGGACGACATGTCCGCACGGAGACGGTTGCAGTCAAGAAGGCCATCGATACTTCCAACCGCGGCGAGGGCGAACTGAGGAGAAGCCGAGTCAATTACATTATCGGGAAAATATGCCCCACAGGTATTGCACAGGTATTTCTGAGTGACGCGTTTGGTCTCATCAATTGTGACGGCGTCAACTGCGGACTCGATCTGCTGGGGCGTGAACGAGGATATACGTACAGCAGCACACTCCCCGAAAGGGGATAAGGCTCATCTTCGACACAGTGTCGAAGATGAGAGGACGTGAGCTTGCAAGCAACACAGTTGAACACATCCCAATCGGGTGGGGTGACGAACGCGGTGTCACACGTCACTACCCCTCTCTTCTCACTACCCCCACGAAAGGCAACGAGCATATACCACGACCATCGACGATTGGCCACGAGGACCAACCACCAGGATCGACGGACGACGGTGAGGCCCCACTAACATCCACAGGGCCCACCACCAGGATCTACGAACGACCACGAGGGCTCCACCACGATCGACGAGGGCCCACCACCAGGATCGATGAGTGGCTACGACTGCCGCATTCACGATTGACGAATGGCCACGACGGCACATTACCATAACCGATGGCGAGTGCCCACCACAACGAACGGCCACGGGGGCCCACCACCACCCCCCGCAAACGGACGAACGGCCAAGAGCACCACCAACGATCCCCCAGCCCGCCCCCATCCTCCACCCCCGCTCTCTTCCTTGCAGGCCCCGCCTCGCATACCCCATATCAGCAGACACAACGCGAAACTTCCACCCAAACACGGACGCCAGTTAATGCAACTGTGAACAAACACAAACACCAGCCAGATCCACCGACAGCGAGTGCGGCCGCCGAGGACTCATTATCGGGGAGAGGGCATGCAGCTTTGATAGGGTAGTGCAGGGATTGCCAACTATAGATTAGCAAGGGGTTATTGAAGGGGACAGGTGGTGTCCCTACCTTCCTCCTACCTTCCTACTTCTACATAGTTGGTATACCTTCCCATATAATTGTTTTTCTCGTACATAAGGAATACATATCATTTGCATATTATACTGCCATTTACCGAGGCTCGAGCACAGAAGAACTTGTGAAAAAAAAAATGAAATGAAGTTGCACACATCTGAATGTGTCGAACACACGTAAATTCGACACACTAACGAGGAGCAACACATCAATGTGTCGGCAATTCACCTTATGTGTCGCTTCAAGACCCTATGTGTCGCTGACCCGATTTGGGGAGTGTGTTACTTTTCGTATACACTGGGCGTGAACCTCCTGCCGCTGGTCACAAGTTGCTTTCCAATGTCCTCAGCAACAGCAGTGGTGCCATCAAGACTGAGAAGTACTTAGTCCAGCCTTCAAGTTGTGCTGGCTCTTGGCCCTCTCGACTTCAACTGAAGTAGCTTGAGAGTAAAGTGGATAAGGTCATCCAAGTTCATCAAGTTCTCCGAAACGAGGTGAATACCCCACAGGCCGGTGTCAGAGTATGATGTGGAGAAAGACGGTGACGTCATTCTCGGAGTCGATGTGGGAGAGAGTTGACAGAAGATGACTAGCGAGTGACCGCAGACTACACTCACTATATTATGCTTTAGCGGCGGGCGAGCCCCCGACTCTTTTTTTTAGATAGGTAGCTACGGACCTTACTAGCACTCCTCATCATCCCCGTTATTCATGCATTCAGAAAGCCGCCAACGACTCACACAACCACCCCACATCCCTAATCACATACCCCTCTCCAACCTGCTAGATAACATTTGCTGGAAACTCGCGAGAAGAAAGCTTTTCTCGAATCTTAGACATAGATCTCTAAATCTGTGAGTAAGCAAATTCAAATTTTGATTCCGAACAAAGATCACGGAGTCTTCCAGAGAGCCCAAGTCACATTATGAACTCCGACAATACAACATTCCCATAGATAGACTCATTTTAAGATCCGACAGAAGTTTCTAGATGATGGTTTTGGAGCTATACTATGTTTGTTCAGGATATTGAAACTTTTTCAGTGTTGCACAATTGTTGGCTCACCACTTTGTCCCATCCTTTCAATTTTTTGACCACTCGATGTACATTTTTGTCTTCTATACAAATATCGACTTTTTTTTACTGTAGATGTGTTATGTTCGCTGTCGGAGGCGATCCGGTACTCAGGGTTCAAAAATATCAGGATATTGAAACTGTTGTCACACCAGATCACAAGGACTTTGGCTGGACGATGATGACAGTTTGGCGTGCGTATGTCACGCAAATGTCACGCTTTAACGCTGTTTGCGAGCGAAATTTTGTATTTTGCACTCCCGCCCAACAGCACTTCATCTTTCTCTCTAGAAATTTGTATTTGAACTCTCACATATCATTTTAATGTAATTGGAAAGTGTCAGAATAAACAATCAAGCCGATCTGGAGGGATCTGAGAGAACATTCCAATACTTTTGTTTGGCTGGTGTAATGAAAACCACAAATCCATGTCTTAAGAATGCAATTCTTTGAATGCATCTCTAAAAATTTAAAGTTACAGAGAGAATACACAAATACACTGGTCTCCAGAATTTGAGAACCTCAGAGTAAGTGGATGCAAAGATAATCCGCATTTTCAATATCCCAACGAGTTTCAATATCGTGGGCAAACATAGTAGAAATACCCATTCCAGCTGATTGCAAAACGATATGGTGCACCAGACTTAGTCACCACTACTTTTGTACAAAGAAATTTAAGGGTCCAAAATTTCACCTTTTTCTTATCCCTCTGGTAAAAATGCTTCTTTTGCAGAGGCGAACAAAACTACCAGACCGATTTTTATTTGCATCAAAACTGATGGAGATAAAAAAATTTGACGGCTGGGATTTGGCCGGATTGCTATATATGGTATACAATTTCTATATTTGGGTAGACCCTGTCAGGGGTTACCAAGCTAATATTGAGTGACCCGTTGTCTAAAAACCCTCAGTAACTGTGTAAAGCATCTTTTTGGACAAACAGAATGTGCAAGGAGCAATTTCCACCCATAAAAGAAGAGATATATTTTTCAAAAAATTTTGCCAACCAAATTGGCCGCTGTACAAATGTAGCGGTGACTAAGTCTGGTGCACCATAGGCCAGTTGTGATGGCGGTTGCTCTTCAGTGGTTTGTTTGTTTGTTTGGAAGGCTATACTGTGCCTGATCGGGAACCTGGCCACCTTAATGTTTGAATGCATTTATTCGAGCTAGAAAGAGATCTTCAAAAAAAAAACTGTATATTCATGTTGATCAAGATCTCAGTTATCAGTGTTCCAACTCTTGAATTTTTTGGAGACCTGCTGAATGTGCTACGAATATTTTATGGACATGGTACCTGTTTTGAGCCATAACCGGGAACCTGGCCACACGTGAGAAATATTTGATGTGTGAGATTGCGCAGATAACAAAGCAATAAGTCAACCTCTCCCACCTCTATGCCCAAGCTTTAATGAGTCTATCTACACCCCACCACATCGATTTCGGAGGCCATAACAAGGAGGAGGAGGAGGAGGAGGGTGAGAGGCGTTTGCGTTACCTTTACTCCTTCCACGACACATTGGTGATGCTGGCAAAGTAAGTTCCTTGTCTTCCTCGGCAACGGGTACAAGATTCAATCCTCTTCGTTTTCGACGTGTAGGGGTTGCTGGTGGACTCGATGATCCACCCTCGAATGAAGGCGCAAATGTTACCCCCCTACCTGCTTGATTGCTGCCGGTGGGTGTAACCGATTGGATTGATGTTGGACATTTGACGATGGAGCCTGGGGATTTGGAACTGGGGTGGGCCATTCGGATTGGTGTTACTGGGGGATTTATAGTGAATGACAGGGTAGGTTGCATGTTATCCTGTGTTGTACAAGTTTGATGAGCAGGCCCAGGTGTTGGTAGTCTCTCGGCGCTCCCAGCAACATGCGCAGGAGGTTGCGACTTTTTTATTGGTCGTGGTCGAGGTCGCGGTCGAGCAACGGGGGTGAGGGGAACCGGGGACAGCCCTTCGAAGTATTCTGCGTCTGAATCCATGGTGCTTGCGGCTCTAGCCGGGGTTGCCTGCGTGTCGCAACTCTTGCTGGTGTACGCAATGCCGCTTCTTCTTCCCTCCACTCCTGGGTACGTTTCCTTTTCTCTTGAATACGAACTGTCTTGACCACCTTCTTCTGCTTTGGGTCCTCCTTTGTCGCCTTCACCTTTGCCTGGTCGAGCGCATATTTACCGAGCGCCACCATCTCCTTCAGCCACTGCACTTCCAACTTCTCTGCATCTGCTGTTGCCTTCTTCAGCCTCTTCTATGCTTCTTCCATCGCCTTCTTTGCCCCCTTCTCCGCCTCCGCCAATGCCCTCTTTTCCTGTTTCTCTGCCTCCGTCGCTGCCTTTTTCGCCCCAGCCGTATTCTGCTTCTCCCTGGCTTTCTCTCGTTTTTCCTCATCTGCAATATCCTTATAGTGCAGAACAATTCCCTTCTCCTGTTCCTTGAAAATATCTTTCGCCTGCTTGAATACATCTTTTAGTTTTGACTGCCAGTCCAGCTTCGCCAAGAGGTCGAGGACCTCCACTGAAGTCATGTGCCGCACCTCTGATGTTTGTCACTTGTCTTTTTTCTTGTTATCTTTTGTGTAGAGCCTTTGCCGAAGCTTGCCATTCTCGTTGTCCATCAATTGTAGCTGCGCATAGTCTTGCTGTATCTGCTCCATCACAACCTTCAGAACTGCAAACAGCTCAAGGTTTTGTTGTTGAAGAGCCTGCCGTGATGCAGTATGCGGCAATGACTTGGGGACTTCTATTGTGAAGCGGGTGGGAGGTAGTAAATCAGATGGTGGAGTTGTGGGGTTAGCACTCGAAGTGGAAGTGGAGGTGAAATCAGGGGTGGTCCTAGATGTTGCGGGGAGTGTGATTGTTTCCGATGTAGTTGTACTGGTAGCTATGGCTGCAGAAGATGGGGACTGAATAATAAGTGGTTCTGCCGGATCAGGTAGAGGTTGTGCTGGAAGAGTTGTTGTATTTAAAGCAGGTGCGAAAATGATAGGGTCAAGGATGTGTCGATTTGGTGGCCATAAACCTGTTTTCGAGAAGGCCTTGCGTATTGTCGTCTCTTTGAATGCCCGATCTCGAGCTCGGGAATAGTGCTTGATCAGGTTGCCCTTCATAATTGAGACATATTGACCAGAAGAGATATTGACCTCACTCTTCCAACAACTCGCAAGCGGTCCAAAAACTCCAACATCACAAGGCTGGAGAAGGTGTGTAGTATGGGATGGAAGGCAGATGACGATGATATTATGGGCTTCGGCAAATTTGCAGAATGCGTATGTGCAATGCGAGTTGTGGCCATCTAGGATGAGGAGGCAATACCCTTTTGAAACGTTTCGGGCAGCAGTCTGGGGCTCAAAGTCACGTTCAAGCCATTTCGCACCAAGCTCCTGGTCTGTCCAACCATTTGGAGAATGAGAAATACTGATAGATGACTGCGTTAATAATTTAGATTGACAATTTGTTCAAAAGCACTCTACCTAGCATTGCAGGGATTTACTTTTCCCCAAGCGAGATTGGTCCTTGCACCTTTGAAGATGACTGATGGATTTAAAACAGTTCCATCCGCGCACACTGTTTCAATAATGGTGACAAGTTCGCAATTTCCATCTTCAATATTATAGACATTCTTCTGGTCCCTGTCAATAATTGTGGCTACGCGCTTCCCTACACTGAGTTGAAGACCCTTTTCATCCATGTTATAAATGTTCTCTGCTGGGATGCTGTACTTCTCAACAAGGCCCTCATACATATCGTAGAAATTATAAACATTGGCGTAATTGACGTTGGAAGCTCGACATCTCTCAAGGCTCTGTGTCCACTTTGTTTTGAGATCAGGGTGGCGCTCCATGAACCTGCGTGGCCAAGATGCTCTGATGCTTCCACCAGCAATAGCCGCGGCATGATCGCCAATCGTAGCAGGGGAGACTGGAACACCACGTCGACCTTGGGCTTTAATCCATTCAACCAAAACCTTCTCTTCAGCAGCGGAAAGCTTTTGTTGGTGAATGTGAGCTTCCTTCCAAGGAAGTGTTCCCTGGAAATGGCTTGCTAGCGTTGAGCGCACAACCTCAAAGTCTTTTGCTGCCTGGCGAATGGAGAGTTCCCGTCGGCCATCTTCTAAGAGGGGGCTTTGGTTCATTGCCTCAATTGCGAGGGACATACACTCCTCGGAGCTAAGATTGGTGAGGTCGGGGACTGTATATGTATATGACATTGGCAGTACTCGATGGCTGGTGAAGGGTGGGATGTGGGTATGAATAAAACTTTGGATCGCTTAGCCACTATCTACAATTGATGAGAAATTACAGAATGAAGGTTAGGAAGCTGTATAACTGCCAAAAAATCTGCACTTCAACATGATGTGATGAGATGTGATGTTGTGACATTTCACCATTTTAGGGCTTTTCAAGACACGCAAAAAATAGAAAGAAGACAGCCTGTGAACTTCAAATTGCCTGGATATATTAAGTAGACCCCAGAGGACGGTTTGGAACAAGTTTCATCTTCAGAACCCCACTAGATCTTGAGAAATTCATTCACATATTACAGACACCAATTGAGGGAGACAAATATGTATGATCTCAGAACAGCTCCGAAAAAATCGCCAAAATTATGGGTTAGGCTTGATAAGGACCACTTGTATGTGGACATCATTACCTGTGTATTTTTATATCCTCTGACATTTGTCCTCGGCCATGATATCTGATCCTGAGAGCTATAGTGGGCTTCATGAGCTCACCAACATCTACAAGTCAAACTAGCAATGAATTATCATCTAATCCATTTGAACCTCACCACGGTCCACTTAATGAAAGCCTAGGATGTTTACTACTAGCCCACAATGAATTTTACACCTGTAAGTGCGAGACATCGGTGTTTAGGTGGGTCAAACTATTTTTGGACATATCCCAGATTAGGAAATTCGCACTTTTTACCATCACACACTCAGTCCATTGGGTATTTCATCACTAGAATGATAAAATGAAGCCGTAAAAATTGATGAGTCTGTTGGTAGAGCCTATTTCTACCCGTTACAGTAAAAAAAACTAACTCAATCACCCTTCTCGTTGCAGACGAGGCGTTGTGGCCAGCTTCCCAGGGTGGCCAGGTTCCTGATTACATACAGTAATTAGAAATGTCAGAAAGAAAGCACGGCGGCCCTCGACGGCTCCTGCTGCTGGATGTTGTTTGGTCCAGCTTCCATGACACTCCATCAATGCACAAATAAACGGCTGAGGTGCAACTGGCCTATCATTTTGCAATCAGCTGTCAGTAGAGCACATTTGCGTTCAACAGAACCCTCCTTAGAGTCAGGGATTACTTATACTCCTTCTGGACATGTATCATACTTACCTAACTCACTTATAGCATCTTTCGTCTGTAGTGTCAATGCAGTGAAGAATAGGTTAAAGTTGCCAGGATGTGCCTTGGTGTCAGATGTGGATTTATTTAATGACTTTCCCCAACTCTAAGGAGGGTTCTGTCAAACGCGAATGACCCTCTACTGAATTGTTTTTGAATAGCTCCAAATCCGTCTTCTAGAAACATCTGTCAGATCTTAAAAAGCACCTATGTATGGGAGTATTGTGTTGTTGGGGTTGAAAATGTTACCTGGAGTCTCTGAAAGAATCTGTGATCTTCGTTCAGAGTCAAAAAACTCAAGAGATGTGTCTGAGATCAACGAAACTTCTGGCCTATCCATATGGTACACTTGAATTATCTAGAGAATGCTTAGTTTTACATACAAGTGGTGTCATAAACAATCTAGAAATAGTGCGAGACAAGATTCCACAGATTTGTGGTCTGCTACAAGGTTTACATATGACACTATAAGAAACACAGGAACCATGCTGTGACACTAGGTGACAGAATAGCAGAATGAGGTTAAGGCGCAGGCGATGCAGATGGATGCACAGGATTGGAGTGCGAGTTGGCTGAGGACTGGGTGTTGGGAGTGGTTCCGACTCAAGGGGATCTGCATGAGGTTCGGGATGTGCACAGAGGTGTCATGCATTGCTTATATTGAAGGCAAGGAGGAAGAGGGAGTAGGGGTGGCTGTAATGCAAGAAAAAAAGAGTCAGGGACCGGGTGGGCTTGCCTGCCGCTAAAGCATATATGTAAGCCATCAAATTTACAGATCCTATTTTTTGAACCCTGCCTTCCCATCGTCACAGCCAACGACGAGCACAGCAGTTCACTTTGTTTGCCACCAATCCTTTCAGTTTTTTTTTTCATGTATGTAGATACTACTCTACATTATGTGAATCTATATCAAGAACTCTTTTAATTGCTCTTTCCATAGTAATTTCGAGGAGGAATGGTGACAAGAGGCCTAGGGTGTTGCTCAATGTTGAACACGATGACAAGGCTTTGGGGACATCACATTGTTTGCACATCATTGCCAGTTGCCATGTGATCAACAAATCACAAAAAAGGTCACATCTTATCACAAGAATTGGATCAGATTCTTGTCAGTTTCTCAGTCTGGTCACCTATGGTTACCACATCACGTCTCTAAATAGGCCTGGTCACATGTCGATTGACCCAGTCTAATTGGACATACTTTGACAGGTCCCTAGTGTTCGCAAGTTCAGTTCAGTCCGGTTTTTTGCCCCCAAAACGCGCAACCGCAGACTGCAACCGGTCTAGGACCAACCCAGATGTTGAGGGAACCGAACCGAACCACCTAGGACCGGTCTTTTGCGGTCTATAGAGCCGGTTCAGACCGATCCAGACCGGTTTTTTTGCATATAACTTATTATACCAATATAAACCATTTGTATCTTGACTATTATTACTCTGAAAAATAAATGGGTTATATAAAATAATAAAGCATGTAAATACCCATCATTCTACCAATTTTGAAGAGATTTAATGAAGATTTGACATAGCTATGACTGAAACTGAATTACATCTTGTAGCGACTTGGGTAAAATATGGATTTGGTTATATCTTTCTCAATTCTTAACTGTTTTTGATGAAACAAAAACCCAATAAAAGGTAATAAATGTGGTTACAAGGGTATGTAACACACGTGACTGTTGAACCGGTTGCAACCAATCAAAACCGGTCTTTGAATGGTTTTAAAAGATTTTCGAAATGAGGCAACCGGCAACTGGACCAACCCCAAATTGGGGCAACTGCAACTGAAAAAAAGACCGGACCATGGTCCGATTCAGTTCGGTCCACCGGTTTTTTGTGGTCCTATGGACTGAACCTTTAAACACTACTGGTCCCCCCCTCAGTTCAGTTAATGGTTGAATAGCACTTGTGTAACTTAGAAATATAACACCTCTTTTGATAGGCCTATCCCGCCATCGTTCTCAGGCTATGTACTATCAGTGGTGGGAACTTTGCAAATTTGAATGAATTAGGTGCAGGAAAGGGACTCTGGGCCTATTTTATTGAAGCTTGGAATGGCGATGTATTTTAAAGTACCTATGAACCTAACTAACATAAAATCTGAATCAATAGAGGTGGGGGAGAAGAGCTACAAGGCAAAATACACAGAATGCTCAAATCTCCATACATGGTGTGACGATAGGTGGCCACTGTGACTCAAAGTAACAGAGGTATAGTATCGGTACACTGAGCAAATGGCCTGTTTTTAAGTAAGCATTTTTCTTTTCCACCCATTGTGATCTCAGGGCTTCAGGACAGTGCGAGGGACACCAAGGATACACTTTATCTTTATTAATTAAAGGTATCGTGTGGTTGATAGCTCTTAAGGGTGGCAATTCCGTCTCACCCGCTGTCTTACAGAGAGGTTTGGCGTATGCTTTGCAATAATTTCTTGCTGCTGTGACCTCATCTTCCTGCAAAGCTACTGCACGAGAAGCAATTTCCATGACTGATGGACCAGTGAGTGGCAATGCAACATCACTGCCAATCACCACTCGAGCAGGATTGAATCCTACACACACTTGGTGCTGAAACAACCATGGTGTACCTAGGATCAGGTCATAACCTGATATATTTATAATGTCAAGGTAATGTTCTTCTGAAATCCCTTGATAATCAAGTCTAATCTTTGCCCCAGCATTAATTTTGGAGCAAGAACCTTGAACAGCAAGTTGCAAAGATAGAGGTGAACTCAGTTTCATGCACCTTACATTTAACTGATCAGCCACTGTAGATGCAATAAAATCTCCAAGCGATCCTGAGTCAAGTAAAGCTCGCACAGGATGACCGTCAACCTTTACAGTCACTACAATTGGTCTAGGAACAATGTGGCTAGGGTCCTTGGTAGCTGCGGGATTACGTTGGACTGCATGGTAAGTTCCATGAGGAACTTGTACCCCATATAATCCCAGCTGAGTGTTATTAGCCTCACGCCCTCTGGAACATGTAATTTTTACATGATCAAAAAGTGCACAATGACACCTGGTGCCCACTGAGGTTCCAGCAACAGACACCATTGGCGTGCCTCCATCCGAACCATCATCTGGTGGATCCTCCAAGTCACTTTGGTGCTCAGTAAGTGACTCCAAATCTCTGTCAGCTAAATACTGACAAAGAATCTCCTCTAGCTGATCACTGTACCATTCTGCTACATCAAATTCGGGCAGTTCAACCAAAATTTGAGGTAAGCGGATGAAAACATCCCATAGTAAATCCTGTATTAAAAACAGGTCGTTATCTAGTGGGTCGATAAACACCTCAAAACAATGTTCTAGTGGCGCGATTGGATAAGTCTCATCTGGGCAATAGGGAATACCCTCCCAGAGTCTACAGCAAATTTCTCTTTTGAGAATGCCAGCCATCGTGAGTTGTGTAGTGTCCTCAGGCCAACCAGTGTGCAATTCCGGTGTGTAATGAACAGCGCCATGTGTACCACACTGAGGGTTTGAATCCAGGGTCATGTACAGTTTCAGCTGGTAGATACGAATACACTTGCTGATGTAGATCATGTATATGATCCTTATCATCAGCAATTCACATCACCTCAAAGCAGTGTCCGCCACTATAGTGAAATGGGTGATCACCTGGGTAAGGTTCACATGCATTCAAAATTCGAGCTAACATATTTCCAAGAACTTCACCTATTGGACAGTAAGGTCATTCCCCAGAATCAGACTCAGATTCTAATGGATCTTCATCAATTATAGATCCATCTGTACCAATGTAATCTGTTGCAGCATCATCTGAGGATGACTCCTCCTCAACATCCGAATCAGATATGGACTCAAGGTCTGGAAAGTCATCTGTAAATTCTCACAAATCACTAACTGATTGCAAATCAGGCATTGAGGAGCCATCATCAAATTCTGACTCCGAATCACAGTCAGGTAGGTCTGTAACATCCTCCAATACTTCATTGGGACTGACAATTGCATCCAGGAGTGTTAAATTGAAGTCATTATCATTAAAAAATGACAAAGATACGGGTGAAGTGTAATTCATCATCCACATCTGGGTTACGAGTGGGGTACAAGGTAGGAATTCCACTACGAAGTACCAATGATGCATGATGCATTGTAGTCATACGTGCCACCCATAGTCATAGGGCGGTGCGGCTGTATAAACAATTCAACTTGTTTAGCTCTTAAGCAGGCATACCATTCTTCCAAACGGAAGTAAGGATTTTCCAAGAGTTTAATAGGCACTCTACTAATTTTCTTGGTTAGGTTATCAAATATTCAATACCAATTTGGATCCAAAACAAGGTCGAACACCAAAATGTTCCCTTACACCATGGGTATTTTCGAGAATAATATTATCTCCTGGATATGGCTGTGACACATCAAGCACATGTTGGGCATTCAGGGCTAAGGCATCACCCAGACACTTATGGCAAGGTTTGTATGGATCATAGGAAGCCCAATCCGGGCCATAATCCATCCAACTGAATGGTTCATAATCTAGGCCTATAGTGTTGAGCTCCAGTGAGCCTAAAACTGAGGGTTCGTCATGTACAACTTCAATGTTGTAACTAGCTAGACCCAGGGGTTTATTGCCATTGTTAGATTTAACAGTATTTCCCTTAGGACAATTCCGTGAGAGGTGCCCTTTCTCTTTGCAATTAAAACAAGATCCCAAGGCAAGCAACTCAGCCTTTTCTTTGTCACTGAGCTTCGGAGTATGCTCATGTTTATTATCTTTAGATTTCCAATCTTGCTTATGACCCAAATGATTATTCTGGTGAGCATGGAAATTCCCTTTGACTCAGGGTGATTGGAATCTATTTGTAGATCCACAGGGTTGGGAGCTATTATTCCTCTGCGATGATGAAGGGGCTTGCGAGCCTCTCCATTGAAAATCAGATCTTGGTTTAGAACCAGATCCTCTTTTACCATGGTCTCTGCCATTTCGGTTATTATTCTGGTTGCTGGTATTTCCACCAGAATTATTTTGTCTCTGTGGATCTGATGCTTTTTCAGAGGTTTCGATTATTTCAGCACCACACTGAATTTCATCCCAAGTTGACACTTTGGGATTATATCCATTAGGCCATAAGGTTCATTGAATTGATGCGTGAAAGCCATGTCAAAATTTAATGGCCTTTTCGTGTTCGTCTACAATGCCAATCATATTGTAGAGTTCATCAAGCTCATGGGAATATTCCACAACCGACTTATTATTTTGAAAACAACTCTTCACTTTCTTTCGCAACTCCAAACGGTAGTCACTTGGAAAGCAGTAGTTGAAAAGCTGCACAAAGAATTCATGTAGAGTCCATTTTTTATAATTAATAGATACCTTCTGTGTATAAAAATCATACACCTTTCCCGTTAAATAATAAGAAAGGACAAATGCATGTTGCTTCTTGCCCACTTTGCCTGAGGTAAGGTATTCTGTACCTTCTGTAACAAAACGGTGATACGCTGCTCATGCATATGCAGTGCCATCGTATTCTGTTGGGGGAATAGGTTTAATCAATGTTTTATGATTTTTCGATGATCGCGTATGCCGGTACTTTTAACGTGATTTGGACCTATGCCTCGGCCGTTTCCTGGCTTCTCAATAGTTTTCCGAGCTACTAGACATGTCTGTGGTTGTGTCAGACCCATCACTGCTCCCAAAAGAGTTGTCTGAGGAAGAAGGAGAACTCAAGGAAGATTCTGACCCATCAGAGTCACTGTGATGGCGACACTGACAGTGCGATTTCTTATCAAGTTACTCCAGTGCTTGGCCAAGGTAACTCTTAGGTGCTATCTGATTACTAGGCTCATTTTTTCGAGCTGTTCTTTCTAGTTGAGCCTTCTTGTGGCCATCAACTTGTGGTGTATGCCATTCTGATGCGGCTCAAGACTTCCGATGAGCTTTGACTTGCTCCGGTTTTTTGGAAGTCTTTCTCTTAGGTTCTTTCTTAACCACTGGTTCATCCTCAGCATCAGAGGAATTGTAGTGAACCAGGTCAGTATTTAATTTCTTTTGTGCAAAAGAGTCTAAGGCTTCAAATCTGAATCACTCAGGTCAGCTGCACCCCAATTCTTAGGGTCAGGACCTTTGCCTTTGCGATTTGACAGTCCCTTGCCATGTGATGGAGGCCATTCATTTGGTTCCATAATCTTCAAGGCATTCTCATAACACCTTGAGATTTTCTGTTTCTGTTCTTTAGTTAGCCTTAATTTGGCTTCCTTAACTGCAGAACCCTGCTCCTTAGTTAAATCTTTACTTCCAATAGTATTGAATTCAACTACTTTAGTTCCAGTATTATTCAAGGAACTTAAGCTACAAGAGTGTCTGGGTACGACTCTAATTCAAGGGTTTGGATTATCATCAGGCTCACTAGGGTCACTCAACGACGATTCATTGTTGTGGTGTACCTTTGTTGCAGCCGAGACATCCCTATCGACACTCGTGGTAATCACAGAGTTGTTGACCTCATCCTTTGTGTGCAGCACATTGGAACGAGGGATGGGGTGAGCTGCACCTTGCGTGCCATCATCAGTGGCAGGTGAGGAGGGACGAGATGCCGCCACATCACTATAAGAGCGAACGGGGTTTGTGGTGTTGCTAGAATCTACGGCACGTCGCACTGACGATGCCAGGCGCACAGCCATTGCATCAGCGATAGTGTTTAAAGGTTCAGTTCAGTCCGGTTTTTTGCCCCGAAAATGCGCAACCGTGGACCGCAACCGGTCCAGGACCGACCCAGATATTGAGGGAACCAAACCGAACCACCTAGGACCGGTCTTTTGTGGTCCATGATACCGGTTCAGACCGATCCAGACCGGTTTTTTTGCGTATAATTTATTATACCAATATAAACCATTTGTATCTCAACCATTATCACTCTGAAAAATAAACGGGTTATGTAAAATAGTAAAGCATATAAATACCCGTCATTCTACCAATTTTCAAGAGATTTAATGAAGATTTGACATAGCTATGACTGAAACCAAATTACATCTCCTAGAGACTCGGGTAAAATATGGATTTGGTTATATCTTTCTCAATTCTTAACCGTTTTTGATGAAACAAAAACCCAATAAAAGGCAATAAACGTGGTTACAAGGCTATGTAACGCACGTGACCGTTTGACCGGTTGAAACCGATTAAAACCGGTCTTTGAACGGTTTTAAAAGATTTTCGAAATGAGGCAACTGGCAACTGGACCAACCCCAAATTGGGGCAACTGCAACCGAAAAAAAGACCGGACCATGGTCCGGTTCAGTTCGGTCCACCGGTTTTTTGTGGTCCTATGGACTGAACCTTTAAACACTAATCAGCGATGCCGCACATAGCCTCCAAGGGTATCTGGGAACCAAGAACATTAGTAACAGGGTTGGCAGTCAACAACGTACCTTGCTGGGTAGCTAATCCAGCGTGAGATGAGCAACAAGCCTGGAATTGGTAATGAGTAGAGGTAGACATAAGAAAAGTAGATGGGGTATTGTTGCCAGTAGTCAGGGGTCATGGGCGATCAAGCTGATGGATTCCAGAAGACGGGAAATGAGAGGAAGAGGGGGAGACAAGAGAGACAAGAGAGAGAGGTTGAGTTGAGTTTCTGTAAAAAATATGTGATGATAGGTGACCACTGTGACTCAAAGTAACAGAGGTATAGTATTGGCACACTGAGCAGGGTAGTGAACACAATGGACAGGTTTAAGACTATAATATTCACTGGGTCTTCTCAGTACGAATGAGGCCTTTAAGTACCTAAAGGGATAGGGGGTTTATCTAATAGGAGAGAACTAAATAAGGAGTGTGTAACTGCCAAGCAGTGAAAGGTCAGTAACAGGAAGGAGCGGATGTCCGGTCATTGGTAATAGTAAGGATAAGAAAGGGATATCATACGTGTATGTGCATGGAGAGGTTGATGGAATGTGGAACGTGTGATGAGTCCATTACACATGGGCATTGACTTTGCAAGATCAGTCACATCAAAGTAACGCATTGGCGAGGGCAAATGTTTCCCAGTTTGCCCCTTAGCGGGGTGTTGAAATCGACTCAGCAAGCCTAGTCTTCGCATGATCAAGACAAAATAGGGAATAGGATTTCCAGTTGTCTCTGGAGGTGACAGAGGCAAATGGATGAGTAACTACAGTGCAAGGCCTTGTATATATATGTAGACTACGAAATATAAGGGGGTAAATGTGAAATACCCCTATGGAGCCACAGAAACAATCAATGGAAGGAATGTACCTGAAATCCAACTGAAATCTGAAGATGGGGTGCATTGTGCATGCTTGTAAAGCTCCCGAAATTCCAACACACTCCCTCAAGCAAAGCAATGTGCCCAAGAGCAACAAGGGCACTCCCTAAAACTGAGGAGTCTCCGAAAAATGCGAAATATAAAACAAAATGGGAGGCACTCCCTCAAACCAATAAATCTCCTGATCTCCAACATCCAGACGATGGCCCATGCCTAAAAAGGCTCCAACAAGTGAATGTAGTTGATGGGAATGGCAACGAGCAAGGGGGGAAGCAAGTAAAAAAACAAATCCGGGATTGGTGAGCATAGGCGGCTGCAGAAATCAGCTCAAGCAATCAAAACGGGCAGTGGTCAGCATCGTCGACAAGGGTAATCGAATGCACATGGTGCAGTGTCAACATCTGAAATAAAAAACACCTTCATAAATCCTTCAAAACCTATCCAACGCCTCTTATTCCTTCAAAACGTGCCTCCAAGCCTGAGGACTTCAAATGTGCGCCAATCTCAATGGCGGCTTTCCTTCCTCATCCTGTACTGATCCCCAACAGCGGCAAAAGGGTGTGCCAATCTCGATGGCAGCTTTTCTTCTTCATCATGGCGGCTGATCATCGACAGCGCCAAATACTAATAGTGCACCAATCTTGACAGCGGCTTCCTTCTGCAAGTTTAGGGGTGTTGCAGCCCTCTTCTGCAGGTTTCATATCTGTGCAGACATCTTCTGCCTCAGAAACACACGTGAGGACTTTCTTCAGCCTCCAGCACCAAGCGCAAGGACTTAAACAGGGGGGCTCCGAGCGAGCAGCTTTTCTTTGGCGCTTCGAAATCAGTGCATGACTGTCAGAGAGTGACAGCGAGTGACATCAAGTGCCGAGCCTTCAACTGCAGCGAAATGAGAGGATGAGGGAATGTGTTATGACGGCAGCAAGGGAATGAAACCAGAAAGTGACATGACAGGGGTGTATATGAGACTGACCCACCCCAAGAGGACAGGAATCCATTTGTGTTGAAATCGACTCAGCAAGCCTAGTCTTCGCATGATCAAGACAAAATAGGGAATAGGATTTCTGGTTGTCTCTGGAGGTGACAGAGGCAAACAGATGAGTAAATACAGTGCAAGGCCTCGTATATATATGTAGACTACAAAATATAAGGGGGTAAATGTGAAATACCCCTATGGAGCCACAGAAACAATCAATGGAAGGAATGTACCTGAAATCCAACTGAAATCCGAAGATGGGGTGCATTGCGCATGCCCATAAAGCTCCCGAAATTCCAACACGGGGCTTACCGCCATCACACATAGGTCTGTGACACAAACCCAGGTGTATACAAATGTCCAAGCCTGTATCGCCTTCTGCAGTTCATTTTCTACTGTTGAGATAGCTAGGATACATAGACTACATGTATGAGGACTTAACAATGTAGTTTCATAAAAATCAGTCCATTGTGGAAGCAAGAATATTGTCAATTAAATGGATTTGCAAAGTTAATACCCTTGCAAAGTTCCCACCAGTGATAGTATCAGTCCGCATTGGGAAGGTAACCCTTTAGTGTGCATCACTCTCCATTGCCGAATGTAGACATGTGCCACATCTGCCATGGGTCCGTGCGACTTTTTGTATGCTTGCTGTCCATGACGACGTGCAGTGTTATTCCACTGTTCCCAACCTATTTCCTGTAAAAATTTGTCCCCAGGCCAGTATAACAATCCTATATAGTGGTAATACAGAGTCATTAGCATAGGAATAACCCCCTGTAGTGGTAAAATCATCTGTATGAGCATGTATGATCATCACCACCACCCATGGTCAGCTGTAGAGGGACTATTAGACCCAATAAAAGCCTGTGTTATGTATAATAACTTTGCTTGAGAGTGGGGGCACAAGGAGGAGGCTGTGGGATGACTAGAACATATATATTCTGGAGCTGTAATACACCCTAACTCCCTACCTCTACCCACCCACTCAAAGGGTACCTGCACCTATAACAACTTCGTAGAACTACTCTAGTAGATATATAGAAGAGCTATGGGCATGAAGGGGACCATATCCTGATACCTCCCCCAACCATCTGGTTCACTATGAGCCTATCAGGATAAAATAAGTGAAGGTGAATTGGTGGAAAGGTAGGTATACATCCCTTTAACATGTCTATTGGGTTTAAAGGTGAGCACCTTTACTCTATGGTAGTATTTGAAGGGATGTATGAGGAGGTATACCAGGAATTAGTGATCAAGGCATACCTTCATCAATTAATTTTATTTGGATAATATAAAGGGATAGTTGAATGGCCTATAGTCTCCTTATAATAACCTAGACAGGGAAGATTGCCTATAGAGAGGGTGGTGAAATGTTATTGGGGTAGGAGGCAGGTGGGTGTAAAAAGTGCAAAATCAGCCTCCTGTGAGAATAATATTCCAGTTAAATTTAATCTGAGGACATAGATAGGAAGCTAGTAGTAGGATGAGGAGAGTGTCCAAATTTTGGAGAGATTGGGTTATGTGGATGTGAATGGTATCACCAAGCTTTGAGGGAGGTACATCAATAGGAAGCTAGTAGTAGGCTGAGAGGACCATCCAAAATTTGGAAGGATTGACTGGCTGTAGGGCGAACAATCAAATCCAAGAGCAAAATCATCTTCCAGAGATACATAGCCAAATTTTGATCATAAGTGTAACTATTGATGTACCTCCCTCAAAGCTTGTTGATACCATTCACATCCACATATCTCCCCAATCTCTCCAAAATTTGGACACTCTCCTCATCATACTACTAGCTTCCTATCTACATCCTCAGATTAAATTTAACTGGAATATTGTTCTCACAGGAGGCTGATTTCGCACTTTTTACACCTGCAGGCTAAAGTGAGGGGTCTGGGGTCTCCCCAGCCATCACGGCTGGTGCTGCAATGATAAACAATTTTATTTGATACTATGTTGATGGTAAGTAACTACTTGAGTACTACCAACTTACTTACTACTCGACATGAACACAAACATAGTGGTGTGGGAATAATTCAAACTCTGACCATAGGTGCACAGGTTCAAAGTCCATCAAAATGCACCAGACATAATCTTGGCTCCAGATGTGTAGAGAGGTCCAGTCCAGCAGTCTGCGGAGTTTAAAGTCGGAGGCAAAAAAAGCGAACAAAACATGAACACAGGACCTCTCTACTACATCTGGTGCAATTTGGTCAGTAGGGGTAGGCTCATGTGACAATGTCACAGTGGTCACTCTTGCTCACACCATTCCTCCTCCTCCTCAGGCGACAAAATAAGATTACCAACTTAAATGTCCTTTCTGAAATTTACTTTACTGCACTACCTTGATTGTATCTGAATATTTTTGCATTTTTTTCTCTCTTTGAGAGGCATGCTATAGTCAAATGCTGATTACACAACCACATATTTTACTAATAAATTTCTGAGACTGGTGTGGACCTGCCTGATGATGGCTTGGAAACCATGTAGACTATATGTTTTGGCCTTACGTAAGTGAGGATATGCAAGTTCCCTGCTTTGGACTGTAGGGATGTTGCACAAGCAGATAACATATTTTGCCTTATCCAATGCACAAATATGGGTACTGTGAAGTGCAAAATGCTGTCCCTTGTCATTGTTTTGTATATATGATTAGAGAGAATATTGGCTTTTATTTTTACAAGCTGATTTTGAAAGACTGATTTTGTTTTCTGCACCACTGACCTTTCAGAAGGCTTGTATTCTCCTTCAACTATGTTTATTTGCTCACAATGAAGCTAAAGTGTAGAGCTCAGTTATTCTATACTTTATTGGTGATAAAGCATGCTATAAAATTCGGAAATAATTTTGGAGCTGATATGAAAGATGTAGAGATGATTTGGGATGCAGGACTTCTTGAGGATGAGGTGTGTTACAAACCTGTCACAGGGCAGGATCTTGCACGTGAATTTTCTCCCTCCGACTTTAAAGTCCGCTGATGGGATCTTATCTCCCTCCTGAACAGCGCTTGATCCTGCCCTATAACGTCGGGAACGAGACTACACCACACGTTACAGAGCAGGAACTTGCGCGTGAATTTTCTTTGTTTTTTTGCCTCCGACTTTAAAGTCCGCTGATCAGATCTTATCTTCCTCTCTCTGCGAAGCGCTTGGGTGACTTGACCCTACTTGATCCTGCTCTTTAACGTTTAACGGCGGGAACGAGACTAGTCAACTTCGCAATTTGAGCCAACCCTTCCCACAGTCTTTGCCATCGCTTTCTTTACATCGCCGCCAGCGATGGCTCTGGTCCTGCTGTTCCTCTTGCTCAATATCCTGGGGCAATTTGGGTTGGCTGCCCTGGTTAATCAGACCATCGATGATTACTTTGGTGATCCAATTTCTGGCACATTTCCAATCTATTCCCCTGCAAATATGTGGCAGCAGGGCAATGGCTGTACCACATGTCTAGTTCGGCCAGATGTCTCGATACCTTTTGACGGAACATGGCATGATTCCACTTTTCTCATCGGAGGCGCTACACGTTCTGTATCAATCACTTTCACAGGTAAGTTTTTCTTTTTGTCGATATTGTTTTCTTATATCTTAGGATACAGGCTCTGCTGTTTACGCCTTCTTTATCACCGCACCATTAATTCCAGGTGTCGGTAGTTCGCTCATTGAAACCCACCTCAATATTACACTCGACGGGAATCTCAGTGGCAATTTTGATTCTACCCCTAGCGGAAGTAACTACGGTTACAACCAGCTAGTGTATGGGAATGCAAGTTTAAACTACGGAAAACACACGTTGGTGATATCCAGCGGAGGCCCAAGCCGATCTATCTTGGAGTTCGACTATGTTATCTATACGTGAGTTTCCCCGGATTCCAGTGGATATACATTCTAACTTCCGAGACAATAGCACTGACGATGGGACAACCTCATCCCTTACAGCCCCAGTTGGGTCACCAACTGGGATATCGACAAAGTCGTCAAACCCATCCTCTGCTACCTCATCACAGACTACTGTGCTTCCCAACGTGACCTCATCCGCTACTGCAGCTCATCAGCCTGCTCTGATCGGAGCTATCGTAGGGGGCGTTCTTGGCGGAGTCGCCGCCATTGCGCTCGTCATCATCTTCGTATATTTCTGCTTCTACCGTAATCGTGACCGCTCGACCGCCCACGAGGTCGAGGCAACGGATCAGGCCATTCCTGCAGGCCCTCAGACCCCCAGGACTTTGATGGTCACACCCACTATAATAGACCCCTTCATCATCCCACCGAGTCAAGTCTCTTTCTCCGGAACTGCAGAAAAACAACGTCATACTCCAAGCTCTACCCGAACAACGGTTGACCCTCGCCAAGTAGAGCTGAGTAGACGAATGCAGGAGCTTCAGCGAGAAATGGCCTTGCTACAGTCACAAAATTCACCCTCCTCACAGCACCTTCCTTTGAGAACTGAGCAAGGGAATGATTGGAGGTCGAATGTTGAGCTGCTTCGTGCTGAGGTTGAAAGGTTGAGGCTTGTGATGCACTCGTCGCAAGGTTTGACAGATCGGCCCCCACCAGACTACGTTTATAGCTTTAGGGACGAAATAACATCATTGGGGGGTATGTCGTCGTAAGTTATAACAATGGATTATCGCCGGACAATGAAGCGGGTTACTGCAGGCTACATTCATTTACGCTGACTTCGTTTAGACCTGTATTATTTTGTAACCTTCCACATGGGTTACCCGTCGACGCCGTGCAAATGTTGTAACCTCGACTCTGGGGATGAGGGACACTCAAAATCCCTACCTCTGTAGAAAAAAACGGCGCTGGACCAAGAGAACACCAAGCTGGGATATTTGGTTGTATTCAGCATTACTCTACTAAAAGAATGGGGCCAACGGGAAGCTAATCAACTAAAAACTTATCAGCAATTGATGGAAATGTGAATACGACTCCGTCACGCACTCCTCTAGTACATCATGGACGACATGTCCGCACGGAGACGGTTGCAGTCAAGAAGGCCATCGATACTTCCAACCGCGGCGAGGGCGAACTGAGAGGAGAAGCCGAGTTAATTACATTATCGGGAAAATATGTCCCACAGGTATTCCTGAGCGACGCGCTTGGTCTCATCAATTGTGACGGCGTCGACTGCGGACTCGATCTGCTGGGGCGTGAACCTCCTGCCGCTGGTCGCAAGTTGCCTTCCAATGTCCTCAGCAACAGCAGTGGTGCCATCAGGACTGAGAAGTACTTAGTCCAGCCTTGTGCTGGCTCTTGGCCCTCTCGACTTCAACTGAAGTAGCTTGAGAGTAAAGTGGATAAGGTCATCCAAGCTCATCAAGTTCTCCGAGACGAGGTAGATACCCCACAGGCCGGTGTCAGAGTATGATGTGGAGAAAGACGGCGAGGTTGTTCTCGGAGACGATGTGGGAGAGAGTTGACAGAAGATGATCAACGAGTGACCGCAGACTCACTATAAACCCCTTCCTTCTGGACATGTATCATACTTACCTGACTTGCTTATAGCATCTTTCATCTGTAGCGTCAACCTGCTGAAGCATAGATCAAAGTCGCCAGGACCAGCGCCATGCACCTTACGATGATTGCCCGATCGGCGAATTTATTGAGAGCCAATGCAATCTGACCCGGACTGCTTTCCCGTCGCACCCAACGACGAGCACAGCAGTTCACTTTGTTTGCCACCATTTCTTTACAGCTAACTGCATAATCGTAGACCACATCTGAAATTTCACTTTGCGCCTTTGTCTGTGCGTAAACATCTGTTTTAGGCCGTGGCTATGTAAACCATGACGCCCATTTGCGCGCTCTGCCCATTGCTCCACGTTCTAGCACCGTTTCGGTAGTTGCTCCAAACGCCCCAATCCCGGCCCGCACGTCATAAGGGTGGAGCGGTTGGAACTTGCCAACTTGGAAGGGCGTTCTACCTAATATGGTTGTTTGTACAAATAAAGGCGCACAAAGTAAATTTTAGATATGGTCTACGATTATGCAGTTAGCTGTAATGTAGATACTACTCTACATTATGTGAATCTATATCAAGAACTCTTTTAATCGCTCTCTCCATAGTAATTTCGAGGGGGAATGGTGACAAGAGGGTTGCTCAACGTAGAACACGACGACAAGCCCTGGGCCCGTCACATCGTTTGCTGTCGTCGTCAGTTGCCGTGCGATCAACAAAAGTCAACAAATCACGAGAAAGGTCACATCTTGTCACAAGAATTTCATTCAGATTCTTGTCAGATCCTGGTTGCTGAGCGCTGAACGGACTCTAATTGTCTCTTTCACGTTATTTTCGCACTTATTGCCCATCTTAACCAAGGTCCAAATCTTAACCCCTCTCACAGACCAGCAAACCCTAGGCGATCGTAGAGCCGTTTGGACAAGCGCCCCCTCGATATCAACCCCTCCTACAAGTTTTGCAACAACATTACGCAGACGCTACTTGTCCACTACCACTTACCCAGTCGAACTACGTACTTCTACGCGCGAAAGACGGATTCTGATATCATTTTCAGTTATTGCCAATTGGATCGTCCACATGCATGCGGCGGACATGAAGCATTTGTCATCTCATACCCATTATTTCTGGAATCTACATGCATACACTCTGCGATAGAGGTATGTACGCTCATTGGAGTCTGGGTTGGAATTTTTACAGTTAAATGATACGGACAGGAATCGGACTCCGCGCCAGCAATATACATAGATTCCTGAGCTCAACGGCTTGAGTTCTTCCATCACTTCCGCTACATATGTGTACCTAACGACCACATGAATTCCTCCCATCAATTTGATTCCGGGCGATAGGAGTCCCATCGAGCTCTGTACTATACAATCAATCAAAACCTGCCTCTTGTCGTCAACTTTGCAATTTTAGCCAAGCCTTCCCACTCCTTCCCACAAGTCTTTGACATCACTTTCTTTACATCGCTGCCAGCAATGGCTCTGCTCCTGCTTTTCTTGCTGCTCAACATTCTGGGAGAATTTGGGTTGGCCGCACTGGTTAATCGAACCATCGATGATTACTTTGGCGATCCAATTACTGGCACATTTCCAGTCTATTCCCCTGCAGATCTGTGGCAGCAGGGCAATGGTTGTGCCACATGTCTGGTTCGGCCAGATGTCGCGAAAGCTTTTGACGGAACATGGCATGATTCCACTTTTTTCGTCGGGGGTGTTACACATTCTGTATCAGTCACTTTCACAGGTAAGTTTTCCTTTTGTCGAAGATGTTGTTTCCTTATATCTAAGGATACAGGCTCTGCTGTTTACGCCTTCTTTATCACCGCACCAATAATTTCAGGTGTCGATAGCTCGACCATTGAAACCCACCTAAACATTACACTGGACGGGAATCTTGTTGGGAAATTTGATTCTGTTCCTAGCGGAAATGACTACGGTTACAACCAGCTAGTGTACGGCAATGCAGGTTTAAACTACGGAAAACACACGTTAGTAATATCCAGCGGGGGCCCGAGCCGTTCTATCTTGGAGTTCGACAATGTTATCTATACGTGAGTTTTCCCCGGATTCCAGTGGATATACATACATTCTAACTTCTGAGAAAATAGCACTGACGATGGGACAACGTCATCCCTAACAGTTCCAGTTGGGTCACCGACTGGGATATCGACAAAGTCGTCGTCAAACCCATCTTCTGCTACCTCATCACATACCTCATCACAGACTGCTGTACTTACCCCATCCTCCACCGCAACTCATCAGCCTGCTCCGATCGGAGCTATCGTAGGGGGCGTTGTTGGCGGAGTCGCCGCCATTGCGCTCGTCATCATCTTCGTCTATTTCTGCTTCTACCGTAACCGTGCGCGTGATCGCTCGACCGCCCACGAGATCGAGGTAAAGGATCAGGCCATTTTCGCAGGCCCTCAGACTCCCAGGACTTTGCTGGTCACACCCGCTGAAATACACCCCTTCGTCTTCCCCCCGAATCAAGCCTCTTTCAACGGAACTGCAGAAAAACAACAACTGCGTCATCCCTCAAACTCTACCCGAACGATTGACCCTCGTCTAGAGCTGAATAGACGAATTCTGGAGCTTCAGCAAGAAATGGCCTTGCTACAGTCACAAAATTCACCCTCCTCACAGAACCTTTTGGGAACTGAGCAAGCGGATGATTGGAGGTCGAATGTTGAGCTGCTTCGTGATGAGGTTGAAAGGTTGAGGCATGCGATGCACTCGTCGCAAGGTTTGGCAGATCAGCCCCCACCAGGCTATGCTTATAGCCTTGACGAAGTAACATCGTCGGGGGGTATGTCGTCGTAAATGGACTATCGCTGGACAATCAATCGGGTTACTGCAGGCTACATTAATCTACGCTGGTTTCGTTTAGGCCTGCATTATATCAAAATACTTTGTAGCCTTCCATATGACGTATGTTACCCTTAGAAGTGCACAACACTGTTGAGATATCAAAGGTAGCACAGTCCAAATGCAGGGTAACCTCGAAGCCTACAAGGGACACTCAAAAACTCTACCTCTAAAGAAAAAAACGGTGCTGGACCAAGGGAACACCAAGCTGGGATATTTGGTTGTATTCAGCATTACTCTACTAAAAGAATGGAGCCAATGGGAAGCTAATCAACTATAAACGTATCAGCATTTGATGAAAATGTGAGTAGGAACATCACGCACTCCTCTAGTACATCATGGACGACATGTCCGCACGGAGACGGTTGTAGTCAAGAAGGCCATCAATGCTTCCAACCGCGGCGAGGGCGAACTAAGAGGAGAAGCCGAGTCAGTTACATTATCAGGAAAGATATATCCTGGAGATGCCTACATCTTTGTCCCACAGGTATTTCTGAGCGACGCGCTTGATCTCATCAACTGTGACGGCGTCAACTGCAGACTCAATCTGCTGGGGTGTGAACCTCCTGCCGCTGGTCACAAGTTGCCTTCCAATGTCTTCAGCAACAGCAGTGGTGCCATCAAGACTGAGAAGTAGTCCAGCCTTGAGCTGGCTCTTGGACCTCTCGACCTCGACAGAAGTAGGAGCGATGCTCATCCGTGTCCATTCCTTGAGAGTAAAGTGGATAAGGTCATCCAAATTCATCAAGTTCTCCGAGACGAGGTAGATACCCCACAGGCCGGTGTCAGAGTACGATGTGGAGAAGGACATGAACGAGTTGGCGAGGTCGTTCTCGGAGACAATGTGGGAGAGGCGGGAGGAGTTGAGGGAAGATGAGCCAAGGCTGCGGTCCCAGTTGCCGAAGATGGTCTGCATGACCATCATGGGGAAGTAATCGGGCGAGCTCCAGCCGACACCTTCGACCGCCACAGCGATGTTAGCGGTGGGGATCTCGTCGTCTCGGATGCGCACTTCCGACCCAACAAAGGCGGGTTTAGCGTGTGAGAGCCTTCCGAGAGGAATGGGTTTGGGGGAAACTGGGAGAGAAGAGAAGTGCTTCTCGGCGAGCTTGACAAGCGCAGCGTGTTCAACACCCCCAGTACCAACGAGGACCATGCGGTCGGCGGTGTAGTTGGTCTTGATGTAAGATGCAAGGTCATCACGCTTTATTGAGAGAATATTCTCTTTGGGGCCGAGAATGGTGCGGCCAAGAGGTTGGCCTGAAATCATATTGTGAGCTCTCTAAGTTGCAAACGCAGACATCGTGTAACGTACCTTGGAAGGCGACTGCGTGTAGATGGTCGAAAACAACTTCCTCAAGCTGCTTATCAACCTCCTGCTGCTCTCTAAGAATGACATCCCGCTCCCGCTCAATAGCTGAGTTTTCGAGCTTGGAGTTTTGCAAAATATCGCTGATAATGTCGACGGCCACTGGTACATCCTTTCGGAAGCTCTTGGCATAGTAGACGGTCTGTTCCCTCGAAGTGTAAGCATTAAGATGTGCACCAATGTTCTCAACCTCCAATTCGAGAGAATGTTGTGTTCGCCGACTGGTTCCCTTGAATGCCATGTGTTCAAGGAAATGAGCAGTCCCATTCGTCTTGTCTGTCTCCGCCCGTGAGCCTGCATCTATCCACACGCCGACAGTAGCCGTCTGGGCATGAGGGTGTGCCTCCGTCGCGACTGTAAGCCCATTTGAAAGGGTAGAGACCTCGGTGAACGGCCCAGGATTGTGAGCTGTCGCGAAGCCCCGGAGAGAACGCTGTAATGCATCGTTTGTTCACATAAATAGCGACATATGTAGGCTTAACTGACCTGGTTGCGCGCTGCAGTCCTGAGGACACGGCTGAGGACCGTTCTTGAAACCATCGGAGTCCGTCTACAAGTTTTTTTGGAGGAACGAAAACAGGGAACAAGTCGGGAATTCACGGTCACGGATGACTAATAGTAATACTAATAGTAACCGGGTTTTGCCGTTGATAATTTGCCCTGCGTGCCACTGATTTCGATGGTCAACCTTTTCAAGAATTCATGGAATACCCAGCAAATATTTTGGCCTCGATATAAATTACTACAAGTTTTCATCAATATATCGCACTTCCTCAAACTTGATATTCAACGCCACGCACTCGACCTGAACATAATTTTTAAACCGAAAGATAGACTCATCCCGGCGTTTCATTGATAGGGATATGGCGAGCTCTCGGTCCATTCAAGCAGCCAGAACAATATGGCTTTCTGCAGGTCTGCCCGAGAGGTTTCTGTCCCACTTGATTCTCAATGGCGAGGTGACGAGCATCAAGTCCTCTTTCAGAGTAACGTCGGCAGCACAAGCAGCAGTCGGCCTCTCCGCCCTATCTGCAGCCCATTTCCACAGTTGATGAGTTTCGGTATACTGTGGATAGGCAACTTCCACAAGATGAGGTTTGGGACCCGCTTGCGGGCATATATGCAACGAAAGACCATGGATTCGTTCGCATTCATACCAACTTTCCTCAGTAGGTAATTGGTTTCTTACACTTTCGAACATGTTCCGATTTTTTCCCACTCAAGCCACCGACGCGGTATTCTAGATATTTTGAACATTCGAGACACGCCGGAAGTGACTCGTGCCACCGTGGGTGACGCGATAAAGCAGTGGAGCAAAGTCGAATTCGAAACCGCAGCCGCTGAGAAGCAGATGTGCGCAACAGCTTTAAGGTCGTTTAGCGAATGGGATACACATCCTCAGGCGCGAGCTTTGCTTGCAACAGCTCCAGTGACCATCACAAAAATTGGGGAGGCACCGAAGAGACACGTCGTTCCGGGTAATTATTTGCGGCCCCTGGACGGCATTCGAGTGGTAGATCTTAGTAGGGTGCTTGCGGGACCCATTACGGGCAGAACACTGGCAGGTAATCAGCTATTTTAACTCTTTCCATAGCGTGTTTATTGACAGTTCTGCACAGCACACGGTGCGGACGTTCTCCTCATCACCTCACCTAATCTACCGTCCCTCCCGCTTCTTGATGTGAATACCTCTCTGGGCAAGCGCACTACACAACTCGATTTGAACAAGCACGAAGACTACGCAAGGCTTTTGAGGCTAGCCAAAGACACTGACGTCTTCTTACAAGCCTACCGTCCAGGAGGGCTGGCAAAAAAAGGTTTTGGTCCCCATGAACTCGCTACCCTGCGTCCTGGTATTGTTTGCGCCAATCTAACTGCGTGGGGATGGGAAGCCCCTTGGAAGGATCGCCGAGGGGCATGTATTTGCCATTGAAAAAGAAGCCCTGCCGACTGATTGTTTTCTCCAGTTTGATTCCCTTGTCCAAAATGCTACTGGTCTCAATTTCGCTGAAGGTGAAGCATATCAACAATTTTTGAATCTTGACGAAACGAATACCCCTGAAAACCCCCAGCCCCGTCCGCTCCCAGTGCAAGCGCTCGACCACGCAGCAGGGTATCTCCTGGCATTTGGAATTAACGCAACACTTTGTAAAACTATCACGGTGAGCTGCTGATAATACTTCTTTACAAAATGCAGAGACCAGAAGATCTGACCCACGGAGACCATAGGAAGGCGGGTCATACGAAGTACGCGTCTCGCTAGCCAGTATTGGACAATGGCTCCGTTCCTTGGGCCGCCTCGATCCGGTGCAAGGTTTTGGAGAAGGCCAATCCCTTCCTCAGAGGACATTGCCGCTCGACAAGGAAATTGCCGACTTATCAGTCACTTGGAATCAGACTAGTCAAGGCAAAGGTCGGAAAATGACGGCGCTGAAGCATCCTGCTATACTTTCCGTGACACCCGTACGGGATGGGAGTAATGGTGGGGAGGCACCTATGGTGTTGAACTCACACGAGCCAGTATGGCTCTGAATTTGGTTTGTGTCAGGGTTCACTTTTTCTGTTCACAATACTGAAGTGTCGTTGGCCAGATGCCCAAATTGTGTTTTTGGTCATTTCATTTGCATTTCATCATCTGTCGATATGTTTTGATCACGTGATGAATGACTTCGATTCAACTTTTTGGTAGACTCCGACAGACCGTCACAGTTGACTCCCTACACAACGTAAATAAGTACGTATCCATAGCATTTAGTGCTTCAGGCAAAGATATACTGAAGTCGAGAACGCTAACTTTCTCAATCATTCTTTTCTTATTACGTCAAGGGTGTGCACATGGTACATTTCGACAACTCACAAATTTTCTTCACAATTCCAACATCAACTTGAAGTTGGACGTTGGATCTTGTTGCCTACGGTGGCCTTGATGCTCGACGTGTTCGATATTAGGAGGTCTTGCGAAGAGAACAACGACCACCTCGGACAACCCAGCCGCAATTTGGCCTCAATCCAAAAGGACGACTGGGGCGCCTATGGTTCAGGCCACAAATTCCTGTCCAAATTATCGAGAAGTGGAGTCCCATTGAGCTCATACGCGTAAATTGGAGAGGGGCCAGTCCGATTTCGTCGTTTACGTTAACATCAACGTCTCACTTCCTCTCACCTCCAAATGGCTCTTGCGCCGTGATTTTGACTGTGCCTGTAGGCCGTGGGTTCTCATTTACCACTCATGACCTTTCTAATGGCTAAATTATTTTTAGTAGGCTACAACGGCAATCTTGTGTTGAACGGTGATAGACTCTTGGTCTGGCTCGCCCCCCGACTTTTTGTATAACTCTGCCGCATAAGGGGACCTCGGATTCGCCTCTAGTTGAGAAGTGGCCCACCCGGGAGAAGCTGCCAGATTTTACTCAGTATTTCAAGCCAATTTTCCGGAGGGGATATATATACGTGTTGAGCAGTCCCTTAGTGGACCATTATCTCGATGGCCCCTCCATTACGACAGCTCCACATCCCTGATTTTTTCTCCTTCTTCAACTTTCCCAGCAATTTGAATCCTCATGAGGACGACATACGCGCGGAATCGGAAGAATGGGTTTTCAGCCTCTGTGCCTTCACCGAAAGTCAAAGGAGCCAGCTCCTCGCATCGGATATTCCACGTTTTGCGTCCCGAACGTATCCTTATGCATCATACGAGAAATTCAGGATTTGTTGCGATTACTCCCTTCTCGTGTTTGCCATAGATGAGATCACAGATGACGAAGACCTGAAGCAAGGGCCCGTCACCTGCACATTGGTCGGTGCCATGGGAGGCGATGCCCCTCCGTCTTTGCGAAACAACCTGATTGAAGAGTACGTTGGACTTAATAATCTAATCTTCAAGGAATCTATGTTGGACTAAATTGTCTTTTTGCTCTATCCAGCTATCGATCCCGACTTTCCGAATTGGTGGGACCAACTCTCTGGAGAAGGATGTTGAATGACTGGGATACTGCCTATCTTTGCTTTCAGCGAGAACTTCAAATTCGCGAATCCAAGGAAATTTTATCAATCGAGGAGTATACCTCTCTTCGCCGTGAAACAATTGGGGCACGTCTTGCTTTCAGTCACGTTGAATACGCACTTGGAATCGAGCTTCTTGACGAGGTCTACGAAAACACGGTCTTCATCGAGATATATCTAGCCGCGGTGGACATGATCTGGTTGTCGAATGTTGGATTGTTTCCCTCATTATTACTTCATCACATCAAATTAACATCCTTTTGCAGGATGTGTGCTCTTACGAAAAGGAGTTTGTGAAGGGTCATGGGGCGTGCAATTTCCTTAGTATTATCATGCACGAACATTCGGTCGACATTCAAGGCGCAGTCGATTACAGCGGCGTGAAGTTTCGTGAGATTTTTGATCGCTTTATGGCTGGAAAGGCACACTTACCGTCATGGGGGGAACCACTTGATTCTGATATTGCGGCATTTGTAGATGCGCTGGGTATCTGGGTGGTTGGATATTTGCACTGGACCTTTGAAACTCCGAGATATTTTGGTCCCTGGTATGAGGAGGTGAAGCGTACTTGCGTCGTGCGAATTGGAAACCTTGAAAATAAGAAGAGCTGGTGCAAGAGTTGTACGTCCATTCTCACTTGTTAACGTTGCTTGCTAACGGCAATCAAGTTCAATTCGTTATTGGTGCATCGATTATATCCGTTTTTATTATTGGCTGCGCTCTCGCCACATATCATGCTAATCCTTAGTGTTTTGGAACGATGCGTTGTTTTGTCGATCCTTTCTGAAGTTTTAGTGAAGATATTTTTCTTTTCATGGCTCAAGCTCTTGCTCCCACAGACAGTCCACGAGTCGGACGACATGCAGGGTACAAGAAAATCTATACACCGCTGCATGCATAACACGACATTTTCGTTGCAGTCGTATATGGACCCCTAAAGGACACTTTCAAAATCGAACCTTTTCCAATTGAATTTGCCCCATTCCATAATTTGCTGACCTGCACCGCGCACCTTCTTATGCTTACTCTTACAATCAGCAACTTGACATTCCTGTAGAATGTTGTCATTGTAAGAATCGAAATGCATCAAAATACATTGTCGAAGGCCGGGCAGGAACCTGATCAATGGGATTCACATTCCCCCAACGCGCCAAGCACGAAAGAGTGGTGGACAAGACTCATCGAATGCACATGATGAAGTCTGCGCACGATGCCATGGGACGCAGAATAACTAATTTATGCAGCGGCTGACCTGCGTTCAAGTTCTTAGCTGCGCGTGACATCAGACTCAATCATGACCGTGCAAGTCATATATTTCAAACACATCTATCGACACCGGCGTCGATGTTCAGGCCAACATTGTTACAAAACATTTCAAGAAGCATGCTGCGCACTCCGACGCGCTTAGACACCAAGAGTAACGGGGGTGCAGCCGATGACAACGAGTCCAGACTAAAAAGTTCATGCAAATAAAAGAAATTAATGAATAGACAGAGAAGCGACGGAGCACACTCACGAAGTTGTTATTCTGGCAGCAAACGGGCTGAGCGGTGCACATGCCACCTGTGCCGATACCGAGGAAGTTGATGGAGGTGCAGCCAGACCCAAGGAGCGCAGTGACGGGGTCAACGACAATGCCAAGGAGAGCGAGGAGGGGGGCAATGATGCTTCCGCTTGCCTACCCGACAAGAGTGGATCGTCAGCATCTTTTTTACAGAGGAAAAGGAAATTTACTCACAGCCTGAGTATTATTGCAGCACCAGAGAGCCCCGGTGTTGCACTGGCTTGCGGGAGGAGGGGTTGGAACTGGCGCGTACTGGAGACAAACGGTGAGGACAAGTCAGCTCGGCGTGTGGGTCGCCACTCAAGTATAATAACGCACGGTGGTGACGGTAACGGTCTGAGTAGCAGACACGGCAGCGCCAGAAGCTAGAAGGACGAGAGCGGTAGAGAGACCAGAGAACTTCATACTTGTTGAATGTGAGGGATCGATTGGCTTGTGGGCTGTTCGAATGAGGAGACTGAGGCGACTCTGGAGAGACTTTATACCTCCAGACCAAGGTCAGTGCACACTCACATGGTGAAACTCAGGGACTCACTCTACGCATGAAATGGTCATTGGAACATCGATACTTAATTGATTCCCATCGGTCCTTGGAACCCGCAATGATTCCAGAGTGTAGACTTGTCAATCATTGGCCAAAATAGGAATATTTTGAGGAAAAAATAACACTGAAGCTCGAGAAAACCGATTGGCTCATCTGTCCGAGTCTCGGTAGATCCAAGCGTGCGAAACGAAGAAAGGAGCGCGTGCGCTAGTGAACTTGAAGCACTGATATGTAGTAATGAAAAGTGTCAAGCCTTTGCTGTATGAAGCTAATGTTCTTTTCTCGTGAGGGGACAATCCCAGGTTTGCCAGATCTCGGAGCAAAAGCTATGACAATGGAAGTCCGATCAAGAGCCGCAAGGATCATTCTTGGAATTGTTTGTAGACCGTCAACGATTGAACTGCTCAAGCAAATTCAACGGTACCCACTAAAGGTCCGATCATGAATGTTTTTCCACCGTTAAAAAGAGAAGATGTTGAACCTGATCTCGAATTTTCAACATGTATGAATCCTGAGTTCAATGCGGTTTACTACTTACTTGTGATCTCTCCGACCCTATACCAGGGATATGTGAAAGACAGCGTGGCAAAAGCAACATGCATCATCAGGCGGAAATTCTTTGAACCACACTGATTGCGAACCATGTTTTCTGCCTGAGATGATTGATTTTACAATCCAAGAGGCTGACAATGCGGTCCGACACAAGACACTCCAAGCCAAGGCCATGCAGAGCTTGTCAGAAATGCCATATTAAGCGGCAACTGATCCATAGGGACTCGAGTCGGAACGGTTGGGATACTTCAAGTGCAATACCACGGGTGCCGCATGAGAATCCGTTCCTCATTTCAGTAAGCCAGCTGGGGGTATAGTGACAGCTGCACAAACGTGGTCGATGGGGGTAAACAATTATTGTCTCATGCGAAGAAGCCTTTGCTTCTTAGGATGCCCTGAGCTGATCCACACCAGAAGGTCGATACACATTAAGATAACTGTGCCTTGGGGTATAGCCATAGTGGGCACTTCCCAGATTGAATCATAGACGGATGTAAGGAAGCTGGAATCTCGCCCTGAAATTCATCATCGCAGTCAAATCCCAATTTGATCCCATTGGCGCTGGGAGCATAACATACTTTTTTTTTGGAAAAATCACCAGTTGTAGCCAAGTACGCCTTTCATTGACAGCCTGGTCTATTCCAGGGGCCCGCGTTACAAAGGCTTGGAGAATCGGCGATATAATGCGCTGCGTCCAATGGTCGAGCGCCGACTCGGGAAACACGTAGGGTCATTTTTGTTTAGGAGCTTTCAGATGCACTGATTCAGGCGGCCGTACCGGGCTGTCCATCCCAGTTTCCTTCGATTTTCCAGAACCACATTCGCGGATTTAGAGAGCAGCTAGCATACGATCGTGAAGCATTGACACTGGCGGAATGATTTTGATTTTCGGATCTAATTGGTTTCGAATTTCGGGAAATTCCCATAAGTTTCCCACTGAAGACATCAGTTTCGGCGATGAGAGTCGCAATGAGAGCTCGGTGGGCTTTGAGCGTCCACCACGATTACCCCTCAAAAAGTTCCTGTCCCAACCATAGCACCCCACCAACGATAGCTACGATCTTTGCTGGTTTTTTCTTGGATAACCCTCCTGAGGACTTGGAAGACGAGGATCCTGTGGCTGTCTCGGGAGATGAAGCCGCTCCGGGCAAGGTGGAGGATGCGACTGCTCCTGGGGAGGTGGAAGCCGAAGATCCTCCTGAAGACACGGAGGACGAATGTCCTACGAATGCGGAAGATCATCTAAACTTCACGCTTGACAAAATCCTCATTGGGGCATACAATTTCGAACCGGACGCGTCGAGCACGTACACGTACAACCACTCCGTGTTCAGCAAGACGGGGTTGTCGAATGGTGAGCATACGCTTGTAATCACGACGGGGGGAACGATGGCGGCGGTGTTGTTGTTCGACTATGTCATTTATACGTAGGCTCCTCTCTTCAGATAGTTCGTTTGTAGGGTTGCTGATTGGCGATCTTTTTCATAGGACTGACGAAGCGGCGGGTGTGACTTCATCTGGAGGACATTCGTCCTCCGCGTCCTCAGGAGGATGTTCGACTTCCACATCCCCTGGACATTCGTCCTCCCCGTCTTCAGGAAGATCTTCGACTTCCACGTTCCCAGGAGCAGTCGCATTCTCCACCTCGCCTGGAGCGGCTTCGGTTTGGGTTGTTGTGGTGGTGGTGAGGACGGGGGAGGTTATGAAGAATGCGTAGACTGCGCTTCCTAATCAGAAGTGAGTAAGAAGAGGATTAAGGGAAGGCAAACGAAAGGACGCACCATTGAAAGTGACGCTGACCGACTTAGGCGTACTACCAGGATAAAAAGTCGAATCATGCCACGTCCCATGAAACGCCTTGCTAACGTTCGGTTTGGTGGCACAATCTGAGCAAGTGGCGCCTTGCTGCCAGTCACCTACGGGGGAGTAGACGGGGTATCTGCGGGTGATGGGGTCCCCGTATTGGTCGTCTATTGTGCGGTTGACGAGGACGGCAGGGGAGAGGGTGACGAGGGTGAAAAGAAGGGAGGTGCATCGGAGGATCGCAGGCATTGCAGCGAGTTGGATGGAGAGCACCGCCTTTTATTCAAGATCATACAGAGCGGTCATCGCCATCTTGAAGGAAGCTGTTGACATTGATTGATATTGATTGAGGTGATTTTTTTGAGCGCACCTAAGGGATGACACCTATTAGTTCGAAGCCTTCTAAGGGAAACGGGTGATAGGCCTATGAGGCTTGCCACTGTCGATATGTAAGAGAAAGAGGGAGACCATATCATCAGGAATAGGTGCTCTGGAGGTCACAGTTAACAGGAAGCTAGGATGTAACAGGGCGGCAACCGACAGGAAAGGATGGCTCGTTGTTGAGGTTAGACTGCGTCCTTGTCGGCAACCGTACAGGTCCTGACTAAGGCTTGGAATCGTTGCCAAAGAATTGGGCTTCGATCGTCATGTGCTAGGTGGTCGAATGAATTCCTCTTCGTCAACTGCTATAATGAGCAGCATGATGGAGCTTTGCATAACGCGCCAGTGCTTTCCCGTTCTCGGACAGCGATTTGCCTTTCAATAACCCCAACAATGAGGTCCGCGCTGGACTACTCAAAGGCCGCCGCACAGCGCTTCAGATATATGATATCGCAATTCTCGGGTGTAGGATGGAAATGAGAAAACTGTTTCGTCGTGATTTGGAATGAAAAGGGTACAGATATCTATAAATAAACTTCATCAGCAAGTTCTGGTTATCATCAAACTGCCAAGTTTCAGACGATGGAACTGCTTCCCTCCCTCCAGTGCCCCAAGCCTCTTTTCTTAAAGGCCAATCGAACGGACGTCAACCGTTAATCAGCCATGTCGCAGGATCTCAGAGTCCTTCGACGCAGGCTAGTAGTAGCAGCACTGATCATATCCCTCATCAACTGCAACCACCACACCGCCTCCGCCATCCTCGTCAATCGCACAATTGACGATCAGTTCGGCGACCCTATCACTGGTACATACCCTACCTACTCTCCCGCGGAGGACTGGCAACCCGGCGCCAACTGCTCAGACTGTTCTGTACGACCAGATGTTACCAGGGCTTTTGACGGGACATGGCACGACTCGACCTATTACCCCGGTGATTCGCCGCGAACAGTGACGGTGACGTTTACCGGTATGTTATATTTTCTAAGGACTCGATCTGTCTTATATTGGTCTTATGCAGGGAATGCCGTGTACGCCTTCTTCATAACCCCGCCCGTTTTGAATGCGTCTTTGACGACCGCAACGTATCTAAATTTCACGCTTGACAATGAGCTCAGCGAACGGCCCTTCAATTTCATTCCCTATGGATCCGATACATATACCTATAATCAGACCGTCTACAGCAAAACAAATCTATCGAACAGCCAACATACGTTGGTGATGTCGACGGGGGGTTCCCAGGCCGGGTTGTTGTTATTCGACTATGTAATTTACACGTAGGCGTTCATCTTCTCAGTGTTCGAGGCGTGCTAAGTTTTCTTTTTTTTTTCAATGCTAGAGTTGACACGAGCAATACGACGACGTCTTCCGAGTCCTCTGGAGGATCTTCAAAGACAAAATCACCAAACATCGGAGCCGTCGTTGGCGGCGTAGTCGGCGGTGTAGCCCTGCTCGTTGCTCTCGCTCTGCTCACCTTCTTCTACAGAAGGAAGACGACGAAACGCCACTCTGAAGTAGACCCACCCACACGGGAACATCGAGAAGAAGGCCAATTTCCAGCGGACCTAGTCATCCCCTACGCCGTGGATGACTCTGACATACAACCCACCACCACCACATACTCGCATTCAAAGTCTAGCAGGCCAAGCCAACATCCAACCATTTTCTCAGCCCTTTCCTCCGACCCCCCAACAAGTCCTTCCAACACCGCTCTTTCACACAGCACCAAAGCCCTCGCCGAGGCTAGGCAGGGAGATATTAATAGGAGGATGGAAGCGGTGGAACAACAAATTCGGACACAGGCGCCGCGGTCTGGTGGTGGCGAGGAAGAGGATTGGAGGACGACGGCTCAGCATCTTAGAGCGGAAATTGGGAGGTTGGAAGTGGCGTTGCAGAGTCAGTGGGCGCAGGGTATGTCGGATCAGCCTCCACCGGAGTATCTGGAAAGACCACGTTGAAGTCTTGCGTTTCTTCGCTTGTGATCCATTCTCACTGAGTCTGGTTGGGATCCGTTGACTCTGTTGTCGCAACTTTTGTATAACCCAACGCAACCAGATACTAAACCTTTATAAAAACCTCGGACAAACCAGACGTTAATGAACGGCTTCGCAACTTGTGAGGCTATTTTCAAAGCCTTCCAGAACACCATACTGAAAAAAGGACTTTGGAGCCTGTCTGCTGCTCTTGATTTACTGGCTGGCTGGTATCTGTCGCTTTTTTCATGGAGTTCTGCAATGCGTGGAAATTGGCGCTTGCGATCTTTTTCGCATACGGTTCATGATATTCTGGAATGCGCAATCTATGATGATGATTCCCCGAATTTGGCGACCAGGACATTCAAGTAGGACATTTTCCCCGTATTTCAATCTGGTACTTCCCATCTCGTTCATGATCATGCTCGACTTCTCAACAAAACGTTTTGATCTTTATTCTATCCGCAGCTGGTACCGACCCGAAAAATTCACGAGACAATGGCCTCCTTCTTATCTTGGTATTTTGACCCCAACACGAGGCTCTCATTGGGACCTAAAACCCACCTAACTTCACCATTGCAAATTCAAGCAAGATGTTGTAGAAGGACAGATCGAGCCCGGAATACAACCCCCGCCTCGTGCTGATTTTTATTGGTCAGCAGAGCTGATGAAAAGAGTCCCTGGCCATTGTTTCGAATGCAAGTACCTATACCCGAATAAAGACTCAGACAAACTGGATGTTGATGAAGGGCTTCGCAAGCTGTGAAGCTATTTTTACAAAGCTTTCCAGAACCCCATAGTTGGCGTCAACTATTTTGAAGGGAATGCTATTGGATTAATGCGATGTCTGACTGGGGGTTCAACGCGTGGATGGAATTTAGCGCTTTCAATCCGAGTCTTTTTCGCATTGGGTTGAAAGCTTCATGTTCATAAGAGCGGAATCTATGTAGCTACTCAATCCTCGCAAACAGTGCACTGAATCTATGGCTGGTGAAAAAAACTCCTGCGGCCAACTTGAAGGGATACTACACAATTTATCGACCTTGCCGCCACTCTACTTCGCTTGCGGTTTAATAATCTGTACGGCGGGGAGCTGGTCGAGGTGGCCCGCTGACTTCAACATCCAGCAAGGTTCTCGACCGTCTCCCTATTTCGTTACAAAACTGATGAGTGGATTGTTTCCCCGTTATTAGGAGCACGTACAATCATCCAACCAGGGAATCCTAACTCAAACGGCTCCACCGCCTCCAAGAACTTGATTTGTTCGTCGCTCAGAGAGATATCGAGTGCTTCAAGGTTTGCCTCAAGGTGCTCGATTTTCCGGCCACCAATGATGGGGAAGACATAAGGCGTTTTCTGCATGACGTATGCGATGGCAACTAGAGTTGTGATCAGCTTTTTTTCTGTGAGAAACATGCGGCTGAGGTAGATACACACCAGAGGTAATACTTTTAGCTCCAACCTCAGAAGCGACCTGTTCCAAAGCTTTGCAAACCCTCTTCTCTTTGTCGGTGCGTTCCCAATCAGGACCGAATATCATGCGCCCTTTCTCCCCAGTCTGACGCCGTTTTTCTTCTTCCTCGTCGGTGCGGATTTTACCGGCCGCGAGGACGTTCCAAGGGGCTAGTGCCAGACCTGATTTTCAATTAGAATGGTGAGGTAGATGTAATTAGCCTTGTGGGTACCTTCAGATCTAGCCATGGGGATGATCTCGCGCTCAAAGGAGCGGTCCAGGACGCTCCATGCGCCTTGGTAGATGACGAATGGAGTCAAAGCGTGATCCCGCGCGTATTGGTTAGCCTTTGAGACGACCCACGCTGGCGTGTCGGATACGCCCTGTGAATTTCACAACAGTCGTTAGAAAATGCCTGCTAAAATAAAGGGGTAAAGCTTACGAGGTAGAGGACTTTGCCTTGTTGAACAAAGACGTGCAAAGAACGCATGACTTCCTCGACGCTTGTGTCCCAATCCCACCAGTGGAGGTATAAGAGGTCAATATAGGTCGTACGCAGCTTCTTAAGCGACGCTTCAACGGAAAGGTGCAGTGACTTTGTGCTGTTTCCGGCGTGAAGGATCTTTTGCTGCACGGAAGTGTCGGCGCGTTTGAAGTTGGTGCTGTACTGAATAATATAAATGTTGGGTTATTTTCTTGCCAGGTCTGGCTGTGAACATATATCACCTTGGTCGCAATGAAGAGTTCGTCTCTGATTCCACGACTTTCAGCCCATTCGCCGATGAACTGTTCTGATGTTCCATCCTGGCTTTGATTTTGAAAGCGGTTAGATTATGATTTAAACATTCGCAACAAAATACTCACTAGCCATTCGCTGTGTCGATGAAGTTGCCCCCCTTGTCGTAGTAAGCATCCAAAAGCTTGAAACTCGCTTCCTTGTCCATAGAGCCCATGCCAAATTCTTGCCACTTGTTCCCAATGCTCATGGCACCGAGCTGAAGCGGAGAAACGTGCACCGAGGCATTCGGGGACAAGAGTCTGTATCGACCGAGAGCTGTTGGCGGCGGCGGTACAGGTGCAAGGAGAGAAGACATCGAAAACTGTTTAACAATACATCGTTGACTGACTTATTTAAATGGCTCTGAGACGAGTGGATGATTAATCTATGACTTTGTTTTGGACGGAACCGAAAGTCAAAGATAGAACCCACCTAGATTGATCCGAAATTAAAATGAGATGGTTGAGGGTGTCTGCAAGTCGGATGACGGCGCGCTTCCTTCCCTGAAGCCTTCGTGTGTAAAAAAACCGGTGAAAGCTTAGAGATTAACTGAGCACCGTGTGTAAGTTTTTGTATTAACCATGGACAAGCGCTCTTACCTACACCACTGTTCCAAGCGTGCATGCCTCTGGGTGATGAAATGCCCATTACCTGAAAGCAAGATAATTTCAAACGTACTTCCAAGCATAAACGGACGCGTCAATCTCCATAATAGAGCGAGTTGACTCAGAGATACACCCCGATCGATGTTTAAGTTGACGTGATTCGACGTCCTGATCCTGAATTCCGATCTCGGCGTTGTAACCTGTTCAAAAGACGCGTCAGCCTGCCGAATTGCGTCAATCTCCAAAATGGGTGACTTTCCGTAACTCAAATTTATAAAAATGAATAAATCTGACCCTTATCGGAGTCTGAAATGAGAACTTCACACGAGAGTTTATTGGAGTGAATAAACCGTAACGCCAACTGATTAGATTCTATTAGATTTAATGCCTTCCTTGAATAAACTCACTTCCCTCCCATCTGGCCTACTTTGAGGTCATGCAGGCCCATGGTTGGGTGTATCATAGCTGATACTTGATCTACTCAGCCAACAAGTAAGGTTACACAAAGAATGAAGCCCAGAAAATGTCAAATGGGCTGAAAAGGGCCATGATTCAGTGAGTTGGTGTTGAGAAGAGTGTTTGTGGAGGGAAAAACATGTTCAGGGAGGGAACTTTGTATCCACAATAAATTGGTACTGCTAATGAACTCTGTAGTGGTATAAAACTATAACCAGAGAGGGCAGAATGTCCTCACCATAGGAGAGTTGCGTGAGGATGAGCCGAGCTGACTAAGCCAGGTGGGAAGGAAGCGCGCCCGAGAAGGAAAGGTTTCCTCTTGGCAGGGTTTATTCGTGCGTTTGAAATCTGTTCGAGGGGTCCGTACCCTCTGAATAGATTAAGGTTTGTAACTGGGTTCCAACCAGGAACTCCATCAAAGTTGAACCCTTACAAGACTCGGCATCCCGGCAAAGGACCCTAGATCTTGTCGATTTATTCAAATCTAGAGAATTTGTGTTACGGAAAGTCACCCAATGACTCAAAAGTCTAGAGATACGCCCCCATGTTGCCCAAGAGGTGTCAGATCGGTCGATCTGCTACGTGAATGATGGCAGGGTACCCCCCCACCTCCCCCCCCAAATAAGGAAATACGGCAATGCGGCAGCGTTGATGGCATCCTATCATTCTTCCACCATCTCCAGACGCATCGTAGGCAAAACGACGCGTCCTCCTCGACATATCCTACAAAAACATGTCAAGGCTTGATGTATAATATACTTGTATATAGCTTATTTTCAGCATCAAATGTGCCTTCATCTGTTCATAGTTAACTCGTCACATAACTGGGTTTCATTTTTCAGCGAAGAAACCAGCCTCTACTCGAGTGATGCATCTCCTGTGCCCAACCTACATCAAACATGGGTATGACCACACATCCAACCCCCTTTGTCGGCATCAAGCTAGTAGACCCTATAAACTCAGTACATCTGTGGTTGCATTGTTGCAGAGGATCCTTTCTTACTATCACCACATCAACAAAGAGCATGTCCAGCTCAAATGTCCTACAACAATCATGTTTTTTATCAATATCCTTCCTATACCAACACACTGTTATCTTTATTGACTTTCGCTGAACTTTTCTCTTTGTGAATCAGTCACTGCTGGTGATCCTATTGATGAGCCATCACCTTGCCGCTGACATACCGACCCTCGGAAATTACCGGTGTCAAGCTCGCGTGGCCAGATCACACGTCGCAAATCGACCGATCTGACACCTCTTGATGTTGCCCGTCCGACGCCGATTTGATAGTTCGTGGTTCAATGTCCTGACCCTGAATTCCGATCTCGGTGTCGTAAAGCCGCAGCGCCAATTCGATTGAGATACAGTCGTGGACAAGCAAAGCCCACTAATAAAAATGGAAATTATTGATGGCTACCAAAGTGCCCGGAAAACGTGCAGATACGTTGAGGGAAGCTTCTGGCCAAATTTCAGCCAAGTCTCACGAGCCGTTTTGGAGAAAATGGCCATATACAAAAATAGACCCTAAATTTTTGGCCGGACACCAAAAAGTGCCAAGAAAAATATGAAAAATAGCGGAATCGCTTCCTTTCACGGAGAACAATCTGCCCATCAAGTTTCGAAACAATTTATCGAGCGGTTCTTCTGGAAAAAATTGCCAAACATTGACCCAAATTGGGCACTTAGTCACTTTTTGATGTGACATCTATCACGGGACTAAGAAATTCCATCACACTAGCTTTCGAAATGCAGGGAAATCCCTTTCTGATAGATTCTTTGCCCTTTCTGAGTAGCTTCCAGCCGAAGCCCAGCACAGGTACCAACTTTCGATAATTTCTGGCCGGTTTCGACCTGTTTTTCTCCCCAAATGTTGCAGTTTTTTGGTCCAAAATTTTGGCCACGCCAATTCCTCGTGGGAAAAACTTCGGAGGTGCGTTTTTCGACGCATTTCGCAAATCTGAGCCAGAATCTGGAAAAATCTCAGCTCTAGATACATTATTTACCAAGATACCAAATTAGTGGGCTTTGCTTGTCCACGACTGTAGAAAGCGCTTTGCCAAGAAATTTAACGATAGGTTGTGGGAGAGTAGTTGGTGCGTCGATGACTCGATGTTGATACTACGGTTGTGGTTGAAGAATATCGCGCTTGAAATGTGTGATCAAGCGAACGAGGGTAGTGATGCCATCAAGTGTCAGGTGGCGAAGGACAGGACGCGCAGGGAGCTGAACTAGCAACTCAACCCCAGTCAAAAATGACTCGGGTTATTCCGAGGTAGATCTGATTGCCTAGAATTGAAGCGATGTAAGGCAAATGTAAGGTGTCGTTTTATCGACAGAATTCTATACAAATAGATTTGAGTTCGATCCAATTCGATATTACACGATGTAAGCCATGTACACAGTGCGGTTTTTAGTGTGGGTCAGCCTTGCAAATCGCCTGAAATATATCTAACTCGATTGATGCTCACACAAGCCACGCAAATCGGCCATAGTCACTGTGACTCGGCCTGATCGGAGTTGATTTTCACCGACTCAACCATAGGCCTCGCCATCGCGATAGTATACAAAAGTCCAGCAGATCATTGACGTGACGACGGGCGTCACGTGATCGCGTTATGGAAATACTTAGCCGACAAACATGTCCGCCGGACATTCCAAGTATACCTTGCAGGAGCTGAGAGAGCTCTACTTACAGCTATCGTTTCTCTTGCGTTCTTGAGACGCTGTAAGTTATTAACCGACGCTCCATCTGCATAACGCCCATGTTTATTCAAATTTCTCAACGTGTAAGTACCTCCAACTTTGAATCATGCACGAACTTGAAATCGATCTGGCAGCTCCGGCACAATCCTAACGTTTAGTGTCCGACGCGCTAGAACACTCAGATGGACACTGGAAACTCACAGTACTTAATCGCACCTAAGAGCAGCCTCCTGCTTCCCGTGCGTCTTAGTACTAGATTACTTGTTGCACGCTTTGAACAGATAGATCGCAATTCGAACTTGAATGAAGGTGATTCTCAAACCCACCTCTTCAGATAGTTTTTTTTTTCTTTGCTATTTTTGCTATCGTCCAGCCAACTCCCGTTGAAGTTGCAACAACTTTTTTTTGGAAATGTTGGAATCGAATAATGATCATTTGCCTTCTGTGAATTAGGTATAGTGCGCCGAGCTGCTCATTTTTTTTTTGGCTATTAGTTACATAACTATTGAGAATTTAGTAAAATTCCTCTCAAAACGTCCATCCAATCCATAACTAACATGTAAATTTCAAAGCAACAGAACGCCTCACCCCAAATGACACCAAACATTCCCCCACCGATCCTGCGCACCCCCGACCAAACCCTCCCCCTCATCCCCATCCGCCCCATCAACATACCCAACACCATAACTAGCAGCCGCATTAAACTTCCTCGTCGGGCACTGAAACTGTAAGAACGGCGGACAAGCCCTATCCACACTCGTACACGTCTCAAGGCACGGGAGGAGTTGCGTATAATCCATTTGTGGGAGGATGGGGTTACGTTGGGTGGTTTGTGGGAGGAGGGCGGATAGCACTTGTTGTTGTCCTTGATTTTGATTTGGACCGCCGCCCATACCGGGAATGGGAGGTAAAAGCGACTTGAGCGCACTAATCCCCGTCTGCGTAGGCGTAGCAGGAACCCCCGTAAACGCACTTGGACTCCCCACACTCGGCTCACCACATCTCGAGAACGACACCGCGCACAACCATCTCCTATACTCCCTCTGACAGTCTCCACAGTCTACTAACGGGGAGTATCGGTCCCGCCCGCAGGCGTGCGTGGTTAGTGTTACGGTGAAGTTTGTGAGGTAGGTTAGGAGGGTGGATGTTAGGTTTGTTGGGAGGTTTGTGGTGTCGTAGATTGTGTTGCCTGTGGGAGGTGCGGGGAGCGGGACGGCGTGGGATACGCCTGGGCAGAAGGGGAGGGATGCGACGAGGGGGCAGGGGAAGGATGCTAGCGAAGCGGTGGATGAGGGTGAGTGGGGTGGATGGGAGGGTGGGTAGGGAAAACGTACCTGATTTAGTTGCGAAATAGATAGGACCAGCGACTTTGGTGCCGTTTTGTATAGCGTAGGCGGTATAATTCGTACTAGGCGACAACCCCTCCAAAAGCCACTGTATCCGCCAACCTTCTTCGTCTCGGAGCCATAATGATTGATTCGCGATTGTGCCAGAGGTATTTTGAGAAGAGAGGAAACAGCCCGTTTGCGGGCCTGACGCGAGAGAGGAAGAGGAGGTGGGGGAAAGGACGAGGGTGTAGTTGGGCGGTGAGGATGGCGGTGTTTCTGTGAATGCCAAGGAAGCTGTGGGGAGTGTGTAATTTGGGTATGTGGGTGGTGGGATGGAGGGTGTAGCGAAGGGGGGAGAGAAGAGGAGGGCTTGGTTGGATGTGGTGTCCCCGAAGAAGGGGAGCTCGTTCAACACCTCGTGTATCGGACCTGTTCATTGTTAGAAGTACCCAGGAGAGCATCAATGTCAAGACAGACCACTATCAGAAACACCAATCTCAAAGGAGACTTGGGCGCCGTTACTCTCCACCGCCAATATACCATTCTCAAACAGCCCCGTCCAGTTCCCATGTCCGTTCTGCAACGCTATCTCAAAAACTCCCTCACCCCCACCCGAACCCGGATTTTTAGTAGTACTAGCGTTCGAGAGGAAGAATCGTGGAGCGGTATTTGAGTTTGTACATAGCGCGACTGATATTGTAAGTTGGTTGTCATTCGAGGGTATCGAAAACGAAGGCGGGCTTGGGAGCGTTTGCGTGTTGAGCGAGGCGACGGCGTTGATCGATAATTGCTGTGCGTGGACGATGGCAGAGATGAGTAGACAGACCAGCGCTTCGGGTAACATCAAAGTTGGAGAGAGAGAGTCAAGGATTGCGCTAAAAATAGATCTCCTCCGTCTTCCCGTTCAACCGCTGAAAAGACCCGCTTCAATCTGTATTAATCAAGGCCAACTGCTTCCAGCTGCTTCTTTCAAGATGGCGATGACAGCTCAGTATGATCTTGAATAAAAAGCGGTCCTCAATGCCTTTCATCCAACTCGCCAACGATGCCTGCGATCCTCCGATGCACCTCCCTTCTTCTCACCCTCATCACCCTCTCCTCTGCCGTCCTCGTCAACCGCACAATAGACGACCAATTAGGAGACCCCACCACCAATACATACCCCGTCTACTCTCCCGTAGGTGACTGGCAGCAAGGCGCCACTTGCTCAGATTGTGCCATCAAACCGGACGTTAGCAAAGCCTTCGATGGGACATGGCATGATTCGACTTTTTATCCTGGTAGTACGCCTAAATCCGTGAGCGTTACTTTTAACGGTCTGTCCTTTCCTTGCCTTCCGCCGTCATTTCTCTTTTTACTTACTCACTTTCAAAAAAAAAAATTAGGAAGCGCAGTCTACGCATTCTTCATAACCTCCCCAGTCCTCACCACCACAACAACAACCCAAACCCATCTAAACTTCACCCTCGACAATACCTTCGTTTGGGCATTTGATTTCACACCGGACGCGTCGAGCACGTACACGTACAACCACACTGTCTTCAGCAAGACGGGGTTGTCGAATGGTGAGCATACGCTTGTGATGACGACGGGGGGGACGACGGCCGCGTTGTTGTTGTTCGACTATGTCATTTATACGTAGGTTCCCTCTTCTTCGGGTTGTTCGTTCGTTGGGTTGGGTTGCTGATTGGTGTTTTTTTCTCTTTTTCGTAGGACTGACGAAGCAGCGGGTGCAACTTCAGCTTCATCTTCCGCATCCGTAGGGCATTCCTCCTCCTCTGCGTCTTCAGGAGGGTCTTCTTTTTCTACGTCCCCAGGAGCAGTCGCATCCTCCACATCTCCCGGAACGGCTTCTTCAGAAACAGCCGCAGGATCTTCGTCTTCCAAGTCCTCTGGAGCGTTATCAAAGACTGGTTCAGCAAAGATCGTAGGTATCGTCGGTGGGGTGCTATGGTCGCTACAGGAACTTTTTTGAGACGCATGTTGGAGTTGTGATTGAAAATGTTACATTGCATATACCCGTTTTTTCTTCTGCCATCTCGCCTTGACAATGAATGAATACCTTGGCTGTTCCTGACCCTGACATCATCTCCTACAAAAATTCTTGTACCGTCCCGTCCACTGAATGTTTCTTGAGCTCGCTTTTCAACAGTCCCCCACCATGACATCGACAAGCCTCAAATTGAGCCGAACTTCTGCCGATCGACGTCTTCGGATAACCCGGTCCATCCATACCACTCATTCAACATTCTCCCTCCTTTCCCTACCTCCTTTCCATCCCCACCACCCCCTCATCACCTAACCACCAATGGTCGAAGTTTCCCCCACACCAGGACCAGTCCACGACGGATTCGCAGGCCACCTCGGACACCTCACACAACCCCAACAAGCCTTTCTAGAAACCTTCCGTGAGAACCTCACTTCTGCCGGACTATATACCCCCGCCTCGAGCGACGGAACCTCGCCTGCGTCGTGTGACGATGCTACGCTATTGTGCGTTCCCTCTCTTCCTTCCTTCCTTTTTTTCCTTCAACCTTCAGAGCTGATTTGAACATACTTACTGTAGGAGGTTCCTCCGCGCCCGAGGCTTCTCACCCACACACGCCCAAACCCAATTCGCCGCTACCCAACAATGGAGGAAAGACCATGATGTCGATAGACTATACCCCACTTTTGACGGTGATGAGTTTGAGGAGGCCAAGAGGTTTTATCCGAGGTGGACGGGGAGGAGGGATAAGGTGCGTTTTTGTTCCCTTTTTTTCAATATCTTACATGCTGAATGAGGGATTGGGTGGGGTGGGTAGCATGGATTACCGCTATACGTATACCGTCTCGCCTCGCTAGAATTGGTGCAGAAGGAACTGGACGCTGTACCTGCTCCAAGACGGTATCAACGGATGTACGTCCCCCTCCTCCTTTCCTTTCCAATCCCTTTCTAAATCTATCCCAACACAGAATATCACTCTACGAATACATGACCCTCTTCACATTCCCCCTCTGCTCCTCCCTTCCAAACCCCTCCTCCTCTTCCACAACACCCACACCCATATCAAGCACAACATCCATAATCGACCTCTCCCACCTCTCCTTCTCATCCATCTGGAAACTCCGGCATCACCTCCAAGAAGCCTCCCGCCTCGCAACCGCAAATTACCCAGAAACGCTAGGGATGGTGGTTGTTGTTAACTCGCCTTCGTATTTTCCTACTATTTGGGGGTGGATCAAGGTTTGTTCCTCCCTTCATTTACCACGGTCGAGAGTTCATTTAACACGAACGGTAAACGCAGGGATGGTTTGACGAAGGCACCCGAAACAAGATATACGTTCTCGGTCGGGACCCAGGTCAGACGCTGCGTACCCTTATAGACGCACAGAACCTCCCCAAGGCGTATGGAGGTGAGCTGGAGTGGACGTTTGAGGATGAGCCGAGCTTGGATGAGGATGCGGGGAAGGCGGTTGGGGGGGAGATGCCGAAGGGTCCGGCGGTCTTTGTGGATGGACGGGTGGAGAGGTTGGGGAAGAGTAAGACCTGATTAAGAGAACCTGCCGGAGGTGTGCACGATATATTAGAGATAGATTCGTGTAGATGTAGATGTATCGGATAATTGGATTTGTTGGAAGAAAGATCGTTGGTACATTGAAACGAGATCAGAACGTTTATATTCCATGTTCTTCGATACAAAGAGATCGTACAAACTGCCAATCCATCTAATATACAGATTACATTCCAGTCCAAAAGTCCATTCACGCACTAGCTCGCTTGGGAGGCAACTTCCCCGCACACACCGTCACCTCCGTCGCCACCGCCTCCGTCTTCAAATACTCCTGCGTCAACCTCACAAAATCAGGCATATGCTGATAATCATCCAACTCAATCGTAACTTTAGCCCAATTCTCCGGCGTAAAATGCTCAATCTCCTCCGGCTTCTCACCCTTGAACCATTTGGAGAACAAATCAGGCTCGACTTTCTCCACCCACCGCTTCTCCTGGATCTTCTTGCCTACATTGAAGCGGTAGTATGTCCCCACCGCGTTTAGTGGTTCTGCCAATTTGTTTGCGTGCTCTGCGTTGGTGGTGAGTGTTGCCATGCCTTCCAAGAGGACAGCCGCTCCTACGACGTTGGTGGCCAATTCGACGCCTTGAGGTGCCAGGGAGACGTTGGGTGCCATTCCGGTGCCGATGGTCACTAAGCAGCCAAAGGGTCGTGCAAATCCGTAATAGAGGTGGGCTTCGCCCATGAGTCTGTAATGCATGATTAGAAACCCTGGAATATCCTCAAACCAAAAAGATAGACGCACAAAAGGACGGGATTGTTGAAGCCCATGCCGCCGTCTATATATTCATAATCACCGAGCTTCATGCGCGGGAAATACGTGGGGGCTGCAGATGTTGCCCTGCTCGCTTCCCAAATCTTGTAATCGGCCCAAGATTTCTCGACGTTGCCATTGATATACGTACGCAAGTGGGTTGCGATACGGTTGCTAAGGTCGTCAGCACGGCAAGCGACGACAAACCTAGCAAAGAACGATTGATAAACGAATGAATGCACTACAAGAGTGACAACATACACTTTACACCCATCGACGGGGTCACGCATAGGTGTGTCCTCGCTGCCAGAATACTTCTTGATGACGTCCTTGACGGCTTGTTCGAGGACCTCTGCAGAGTATCGTGCACCAGTATCCACACCATCCTTGATTTTGTTTAGAAGACCGGCGGAGAAGATCTTGGAGGCCAGGGTGTTGTAGGCTTCGATACATTCGTCTATCGACATTCGCAAACGGCCGAGCATCAGCGCAATAAGCCTGCATCAGAAACGAACTTAGTTTGGAAATTGGGGGTAAAATTAGAGAAAAAAGCATACCCTCCAGTGCTAGTTCCCGCGATCATGTCAAAGTAGTCACATGGCTTCGCATTAGGGTCACCAGTGATCTTGTTCATCACAGCCTTGAGGACGTAAAGGGAAGATATGCCACGGACACCACCTCCATCTGGACAGAGAAAGTGAACAAGACAGCGCACAACAACGAAACTCGGCGTACCAAGGGAAAGGAGTCGGAGTGGTTTTCCGCCAGCTCCATACTGCCAATCTGAACGCAACTCTTGTCCCAGGAGAGTCGTTTCAACGGAGTGAGCTGCCTCGACACCTTTTGGAGTCGCAGCATCCAAAAACTCCTCAAGCTTCGCCTGAAGTTTCTGATTGGACTGCGCGACGCCGTTCCAGTCGACGATTGGCTTGGCAGGTGCACGGTGTGGTCCTGATCCCATGTAAACTTGACAATGGATCAAAAGATGACTACAAACAGACCTATGTTGGAGATTCGGACGACGAGACGAGCAGAGTGTCCATGGAGCTGCCAGCCTGGGAATCGAGCGCAGGCACGGACACCAATGACGTTTCCTGGCTAGACGAATGATATTAGTTACCCTGTGGATTATCATGGTATGCAAAAATCACCTGGAGGAAGCTGAGAAGGTCTTGCTGATGCAGACTAAAGAGTTTTCCTGTTTGCTCTGTGTGTTCACTGGAATCTTTGGTAATGTCGTGGCTACGCCATACCAAGGCCCGACCATCTTTGACATTTGGTTCTGTTGCTTCGGGCGTTGCGAGAATGACGAGATCGAACCAGGTCCAAACACCCGTCGTATCCTCTCCTTGGTTCCCATGCGCCTGCGTAAAGAGCTGAAGGTCTTGAATCTTCGCGATAACGTCTTCATCTAAAACCTAATGCGGCATGAGTCCAAGACGATAGACCTCGCTGAGGAGAATGCTGACTGGGGTGGTAAACCAAATGGTTTGAGCCTGATCCTGAGTCAAGGAAGCAACCTGACAAGCCGAGGTAGGGACCAAAGTATAAACGCCGTCTTGAATAGTATCCGGGATGTCTTCAGGCGTATCCTGGGTAGAACTCAACGTCCATGACATTGGCGTGAACAGATCTTTGAACGACAGTCAGTTTCGAAAGATGGTGAAATGAATGGGATATGCAACCTTCGTCCAGAACCTTTGCAAGTAATCTACCAGCTCGAGCGTTATTCACCCAGCCAGGATACCTGGCGCAGACTCGTACCCCAACAACGTTGCCGATCTATGGTTTTTATGAACATGTCAGATCAAGATCAAGTCTGCTAGGGTAAAATTACCTCGAGAGCATCGAGCAGATCTTGGCGACGATCAAAGACAATTCCAAAGTTTCTTGCAATAGAGGTTTTCAGGTCCAAGGGATCAGTTCGATTCCCATGGCTTCGCCAGACCAGCTCTTTTCCATCTTTGAGGCGCGGCTTATCCGTATGAGCGTCTTCGAAAATCACGAGCTCAAACCAACTCCAACTTCCGGGCTCTACTGCCGTTTCATGACCTTGGTCAGAGGAGTCGGTCTGGAGCTGTAGCTGTACGGCACGATAACAGAATGGTCGATCGATTGGATCTGTCTTGAACCAGATTTGAGAGACAATTGCCTCGCTTGTTGCTTCGACGAGTACTGGAGTTGAGGTGCTCGCTATTTCTTTGACGGACATGGTAATGGTGGATCCTGAGCAGTAAATTGATATCTACCCCCTTCCTTTATACAGTTGGGCAGGTGTGCGAGCGCTGGCTAAACAACGGCGCTCAGGTAAACTCGACGCTCGAGATGGGCGGTGGGCGTTGACAACTCCTTGTGGTAGGCGCGCAGACCGTAGACGATAGAAGGACAAGGTCGGCCATTTGTAGCCAATTGTTCTGCGGTTCCTGTACACGTTGGACATGTCAGGAACGAAGCGGACAGTTGTGCCTCCGACTTGGCAGGACACCCAAAAGAGTCCTCTTCCGCTCAGCGCTGATTCGGCTGAGGTGGGTATGTAAGTCTGGGGTAAGTTACTTTGCAAAATTATACATGGATGCCCACATACCCTAAATTGCCATTGAACTAAATCAATAAAAAAGCCTCTCCTCATTCTAAGTCAGCAATAACCTCCGCGAATAACCGCGGCTAGTCCTCTTGAGGCAAGAAGCGCAGACGCCGTTCTATTTCATCGACAGACAGGGCATCCCCACTCTGAATCATTTGAATACAGAAAAAAAAAAGTTGAAATTCGAAGGTTCGCTGTGACGCCCGAGAAAAAGGGTGTGTATAATGGGTCCAAGCGAGCCTTTGGTTGTAGAAAAGTGGATTTCGCGAGAAAGCTTGCCCTAAACTGGACTAGGAACTGCGAACATGTGACTTGAATTGGGCAGTGACCACACCTTGAACACTCCACGATGTTTAACGTTCAACTAGAACACCCATGTCAGCAGACACCAAACGAAACGATAGGGAAGGCGATTGCGCCGACTCACCCATCCTCGACGGTGACTTCGTCATGACTGAACTCGTGCCCACACCCACCACGTTCACCTCTAGCTGCAAGCCAGATGCCCTATTCATATCCGCTGTGCCACCATGGAGAGAATCTGTCTATATGCACGGCTCACCTGTTCAGTGGCCAAGAATAGTGGTGAAGATGATGGAAAACGAAAAGCAGATCAAGCGTTTCCAAAGGCCCTCGGAGACCCCTAGAATTCATTTGAAGTTCTTTAGACGCCATCTGAGTAGTGTTCGCGCCGAACTCTGCAAATTCTCATCCTCAAAGCAGCTCATGACTGTAATGTATGACGCCATGCTCGGCGCGCAGCTTGCTTTCACCCTAAACACTCTAATTTATTCCCAAGCCTAAACAGCTCATAAGGAGGCGTACAACAGGCTCGGTTTGACTCATGGCGACATCAGTCCTGGAAATATCAAAATGACGAGAGATGGGAGAGGGTTGTTACTTGACTGGGATAGTTCTGCGTTGTACAAAGATGCTGGAAAGTTGTCGTGCTAGGAAATCCGTTGCGCGATCCCGCACTAACTGTAAGAGGTTAAAATGCCGTTGTGGGACAGAATCGATTAGGATAACAATCTTACCCCATAGACCAGGGATTGTGGAGAGTATGCTCGGCCGTTGGGATTGACAGAGGCAAGAGAGTACGGGGTGTGGGGAGTGAGAGGCCCGTCGATCTCGGATCACCTCATGTAGATTGCGAGCTTTATAGTGGTTGGGGCAGTTTCTCGACCCACCAGCTGGAAGATGGAACTGGAAGTTCATGGAAAGGAGTTCGACGTCCAATGTTTGACAACATTTCAATATGATCTCAGCACTCAGCGCTCAGCGGGCCAATGCGTAAGACGCTCGAGTTCAATGGCGTACGCAACAAGAGGTGTCCAATGATTACGGACGTTAGATCCACCCCTTGTCAGCACACTCGCAAGTTCACTGGTACACGGGAACCATCTCCAACCAAACCTCCAATCTCTCGCCGAATTGGTGTATCTAACCTCTCCAAATTTGATCCAACTCGTTTACTGACAACCAGTCGTAATCCCCCCTGGGCAGTGTGCCGCCGTGTCAGCCATTTTCCGAAAATTTTCACTTGTTGCTTCACGGTGACTGCAGTGTTTTATCGAAGGAATTTTGGCCACCTTATTAGGTGGTGAAAGGCCGATAGTCGTCGACTGATTCAATAGATAATCTTCGGGATTATCGTCCATGCTTCCATCTTCAGCACGGTCCTCTGCTGCGCTTGATCAATCCCAAGTAGCGGTGGACTCCTGTCCTGTGTATGTTTCACGTCAAGCCTCATGAGGCTCTCGTTCTGACTTTGAGAAGCCAGTATCTGTCTCGAATCTGGTCGCCAGTGCACCGCCGTGCCAGTGTCGGACTCAGATGCAGCCATTGTCCTCCACTCGATCATTGCTTCTTGGTTGTAGCAAGGAATTTTGGCTGCCTCAAGAGGCAGTGATGCGCCCACAAAGCCTACTAAGTAAGCCTAAACGATTAGATCGATAACCCTGGAAATCGACGACGACCTGGAGCTCCATCTCATCCCGATTATCAAGGCTTTCCGATGTCCTTTTTCTCCGCCTAGTAGGCCCGAGAAACTCGACCGTCATTTCGTTAACCCGATTTGCGATACAATGGCCCCTTCCTAACTTGGTATATTGCAATTGGCGAGGCTGCCATCCCCGGAAACCGCATTTTTTATGCCATCGTACCACGCCTACTACCACCCAATAAAAAGTCACTGGCCCTGAGATTCGGTGAGATTTTGCAGAAGGACAGATTCACCCTGGAAAACAGTTAGTGCCCCTGCCTCGTGCCGATTTCTACCAGTCAGCAGAGGCAATTACAATGCCCGCTAACAGGTGGTTCAGAGTGCTAATGCATAATGTCCCAGCATTAGGTCTTCCATTTCTAGCTGAAATATTTTCCGATGAAGCGGGCTATGATTATGGACGACACCGTTTCAAATTCTAAAATTATGCGGCGCAAGGTCGTCACGGTTTGAGTCCAGTATCATCGCATTACGCTGCTCTGGCCCGTTTGCCTCATTCTTGGAGATGACTGCATGGTTTACATGAAAGGGTTAAATAGCTTATGCAACACCACCGCGCCCCCGCGATACCTTCAAACCCACGAGGCTCCTTTTCGATGAGGCCACAATCAAAGTTCTTGGAAACCATTCCAGCTTGCCCTCTCTTTTGGGGGGAAACATTTTCGCTTTTTGCGGACTATCCATTCGCATGGCGTATTGTGGTATACATAATTTACTGGGGGCTTGAAGGCCTCCTCCCAAGTATTCGCGCGCTCAGTGGGTGTACAACAAATCAATAAAGATAGCGGGGCAAAGCCCAAAAGGCCCTAAAAGCCAACGTATGTAGTCATCGTAAAACTAGTCGTAAAAATCGTAACTTCGTAAAAAAAATCGTAAGCATGCACATGATGGAAAAAGACAGAGGCGAGTAGAAAGGAAAGAAAGGTGACGGTACACAGTACAAAAAACCACTCCATCTCAACTCTGCGCCTTCGTCCTAACCTCACGCCAAAACTCTTCCCACCTCGGCGCCCTCTGCTGGCGGACACGCTCATGACCGTCCCTATCGCCCTCATCATCGCTCTCCTCCGCTACCGCTACAGACTCCCGATGAGACCCAGGAACGACAACAGGCGGAGATCGAGCCCTATACGCCTCCTTCCTCGCAACCGCTATTCGATCCACAGCCTTAATTAAAGAAGGCGTCGCAGGTACCGGTACGGCGCCTGGCATAGGCATAGACATAGGCGGCGAAGAAGCCTGAAGCCTCCTCAAAAACCCCGGACTCCACCCCTCCTCCTTGCCCTTGTTCCTTTCCCCGCCCTCGCCCTCATACTTCTGAACCGTTAGATCCTCCTCCTCCTCATAATCCGAATAATCCAAAACCCCCTCCGTCTCCCCAAACCTCAGTTTCTGAGACTTGAGTTTCGCTAGTTCCTCGTCGTAGTCGAGTTCGTGCGGATAGGGATAGGGATAGGGAGCGCGTTGCTTTCCCGGACCTAGACGACCTTCTACAAGCGTCGGCGTTGATGAGGTCGAGTAAGACAGCGAGGGTCGCGAAGGTGGGTTCGACAACGATGGCGATGGTTTCTCGTCGATATCGGAATCAGAATCAGAGCTCATCTCATTGATAGCACCAAACCTGACTGGTTTCCTCCCTTTCGTGTTACGCGACACCCTGACGTTTTTATTAGATCTGGATTTCTTGAGGAAGGTGAGCGGGGAAGAAACGAAATTGGCGTCGTCGCCGCCCTTTGTTGTTGTAGAACTCCGTTTGATCTTCAGGGGAGAGGTAGATTGTGGGAGGTCGTGTAGTGTGAGGGGTATGGTTTTCTTCATGTCGCTATCTGAAGGGAAAATAATGTCTTTCGAGGGGTGGTACAGAGGCGCTGACGAAGAAGGGAACCACCGATCCCAGAAACCCGTTAAGGGTTGGAACGTCCCCGCGCGGTCGGCTTGGTTGGGAAGGTTGGAGGTGTAAGTGGCCAAGTAACTGTCCCATCTCTACGGAGGGAATCAGAAAACGCATTGGACGACATTTGAGAAACGTACCTCGTCAGGACACTCTCCCAGCCATCGGTGGAGAGCCCAGTCGGCTATCATGCCAACATTCAGAAAGACACCCCACGCAGCGCTCATCCCCTGCTCTTTACCGGATCCCCAGCCATCTCCGTCTTGGACCCACAATCGCTCCCAGATGTTCGCCCAGGGATCGACTTGTGGTTTGGCCAGGAGAGCAATGGAGAGTACGAGGCCGAAGGCCCCTGTTGATGCGGTGGACAGGCGAAGTAGAGGGTGGAGGAGGAGAGTGGAAAGGCGGGGAATGACGGTGCTGATTAGGACGAGGATTGTTAGTAGGATTGTTATTACAGTAGTAAAGATGACTCGTGGTGTCAGTGATGGGTGGAGGATGACGCAGAGGGAGAGGGAGAATAGAGTACTATTGTTATGCTGTTTGTTAGGCACAAGAAGCGACGAGTAGAGAGATCGACATACCCGCCTGATATACTCGCTAATAGCACAGCGGCGTACCTGTATCGTCCGGAAAGGAAAGTGGTGACGATACAGGATAAGATCCAGACGGCAACGAATGATTTGGAAGATAGCGCAGCGGAGGAAGATGTCGCAGGTATGAGAAGGACAAGGAGGGTAGAGAGATGGACTTCAAAAGACGCAATTTGTCAATATACAATTGCAGATATTGATGTGAAAGAAAAGACATACGACCAAAAGCGTACCCGCTCGCCAGTCCCCCAATTCCACCTTCAAGAAGCCATGAGAATCTTCGCTTCTTTTTAGGAGAGTCAAAGGCACCAGGAAGCGAAGAATAGTTGGAGGCGTCGCTACGTGGAGTGAAGGAGCGCGATCTGTCGATGGTAAGGAACGTGCCTGCGAAGGTTAGTAGGACGGAGAGAAGGAGCAGCGGTAAGGAGTACGCTAGGACGTAGGGCGTGGTTGGGAGGAGAAGGGTGAGTTTGGAGGGAGTTGAAGACATGTCGTTAGATTCGTAAATTCGTCGAGGAGGGCATTCGACCGTCAGTAAAGGCTGATGGTACGAGGAGGACGAGGAGATTAGTTTGGCAATCACTAGATGAACAAAGGATGTCAAACACGTCCCTCAAATTCACGACCACAGTCGGACCACTGCGCGTATCGGTGATACCTTGGAAATACACTTCAAGAGGTTGTCAAGAGGTCCTCTCGAAGGTAGTTGACTCCTACATTATGTTTGGGCAGGCAAGCTGACGCGTTGTCTTCAGTCTTTTACCAAGCTTTAACTGTAGATCCAGATTACAGCAAAAAATATCGCTATGCTGAAGCGGACTACTGACAGTTGTCACCCGTTCCTCGCCGTTTTGTTTACTGATTGGGACATTGGAAAACGTACTATCGTCTTAGACCATGATCGCGACAACGTCATTGGCCAATTGTCTACAAGTCGGTCGACAATATATCATTGAGAACCAGTTTTCAATGTTTTCTCTCTTCGCACCTCGACCAGCTCTCGGTCGGCATCGATTTTTATCACCCAATTCCGCGATGCACATCTCTCTGCTTCAGCTCGGCGCCATGAGCATTGGAAACAAATGGCAACAAGTTGGCATGAGCTCCATGACCAAGAAGGCGAGTTTCAAGCTCTTGGACGCTTACTATGACAATGGGGGCAAATTCATCGATACGGCGAATAGCTAGAGAGTGTTGCGTTACGACAGTTGCTATGAAATTACAGCCAAGACGAAACGTCTGAGGAATTTATGGTGAATGGGCTCAGGCTCGGTGAATCAGAGACGCAGTCTTCATTGCGACCAAGGTAAGCCGGGCCTGGCAAAAAATAACACAACATTTTACATTATCTAGTATAGCTCCAACTTCAAATGTGGCGACGATTCCGTGCAGCAAAAGATCCTTGACCCCGGAAACAGCACGAAATCACTGCACATTTTCGTGGAAGCGTCGCTCAAGAAGCAGCGTACGACCTACATCGACCTCTTCTACCTCCACTGGTCGGACACGAGCCTTGGGGAAGTCATGCGCTCTTGCACGCCCTTGTTCAGCGAGGCAAAATTCTCTACCTCGTATATTTCAAAAAGCACTTTCTAAGGACTGTTCGGAAAATTGCAGGGTGTATCTTGGATCGGCTTTAAAAGCCAGCCAATACGCACGAGACCACTCATTGACTCCATTCGTCATCTACCAAGGCGCATGGAACGTCCTGGACCGCTCCTTCCAGCACGAAATAATTCCTATGGGTAGATCTGAAGGTACCCGTTCCTTCAATCAAACCCATCTCACAATCCTAACATCAAAAAACCAGGCCTAACACTTGCCCCTTGGAACGTCCTCGCGGCCAGTAAAATCCGCACTGACGAAGAAAGCATCGGACAGGAGAGAAAGGCAGCATGTTGTTTGGTCCTAATTGGGACCGCAATGATAGAGAGAAGATGGCATATAAAGCTTTAGAAGAAGTCGCGTCGGAGATGGGAGCCAATTTGAAGAGTATCACTTCTGGTATGTGCGACGTCTTTCCTTTCTTCCTCAACTGAAACTTGATCAAGACAAGAATGCGTAGTTGCTATTGCATACGTTGTGCAAAAAACGACCTACATCATCCCCATCATCGGTGGCCGGAAGGTTGAGCATCTACTAGCGAATCTTGAAGCGCTCAGTATATCTCTGAGCGAGGAACAGATCAAGGAGTTGGAGGTGGTCGAGCCGCTCGATCCTGGCTTCCCTGGGTGGATGATTGTGCATTTTCTGTTTGTATCACCTCAGCGAAATTAATCAAAACAGGGAGATGGCCGAGAGTGTAATTGGTTGATGACTTCTGTGGCCCACATCGACATCTGCCGGCGATTAGACCTCAGGTGATGTAGAAGCTGGATCCAAGGGAAAAGGGAGTATCAAGGGATTTTGTGGAACGATTTCAGAGGGGACAAGTGACAAAGAGCAGGCCCAGCCAACGTCGGATACTATTATAAAATCAGGAGATTCCATTGGAGGCTCACGAATGGTAATAGCAAATAAATTCCGACACGACATTTGAGTTCAACCTGAGGCAGACATGTTCGCCTATCCAACTAGCAATGAGAAGTAGATATGAGATGGATACATGCCAGTTGCGTTCTTGAGACCACTCCTCCTCGCTTCACCATTCCTTTCGCGAGTATCCTCGTCCGAGACTGCGGCTTTAGTAAGCTTCCCGTGGACTCTGGCCTACAACTGGTAGAGCATTCCTAATCGCACCCTTGGTAACCAATTGCGAGCATAAAGTAAGGCGGTAACCGTTGTCTCCGAAAATCTAGAATGCTGGGTGATTGTAGAAATTGATCAGGACAGGGCATCTTGGAGCCTTCTTTCTCTACACGCGCGCGGCGCCCGAAACATTTTGTAACCGTTTTGTTCTTGGTCGTAACCTGCGTCGTCGGAATAGAGCGCAACTACTTAAAATGGAACAATGACCAGGGACTGAACCAACTTTTCGCGTGTGTCGCTCTCCTGACCAGTAAAAATCAGCATGAGGTGGGGATCCTGAATATTATGCTCCAGATTGGTATGTCCTTCTGGAAAATTGTATGCATGGGCTAGTGATTAGATAAATTTGTTGGAGTTAGCCAGGTGGTAATGAAACCGATTTGGGAGCCTCGTGCTAGGATCGAAATACCAAGCTAGTAAGGAGGCCATTGTCTTGTAGGTCTATGTGCCAACTGCGGAGAGAAGAACATCAAAACGTTTTGTTGATCAGAATGAGAGCTCGAGGCACAGACATGAACGCGATGGGAAGTACCAGGGTGTAAAGCATGGATACTTATTGTCCGAGTCAAATTCGAGGATTATCGCGATCTAATCAGTATGGGACCTATCGTTGGCGCATCACTGTCTCATGAGCCAGCCAAAGTTCCTCAGTCGAGCAAGCATCAAAGCCGAGTGAATTAGTAGACTAGTCAGGAAGACAACTAGATCAGACGCAGCGACACTTTGTAGCGATGAAGGAAATTACAGCGAGAGGCGGGACTTAGGGGCTCTTGGGGTCGACACATATTACAAAGCTGCCGTGTGAACTTTGCCCTGATTGGACCCTGTGCTGTGGCTTCAACTCTGTGGATGCAATGCGACCGAGGGTTCTGGTACTTGCAAACCGCAACGTTGAAGGCCAGCTGCCACTCGCCGCTAGGCCATTGTCTTCTCCTTTGGGACATTCTCTGGGCTTAAAAGGTTCAGCAACCCCCAGCTGAAACGGTACGAATCTCTGTAATGCCCCGTTCTACCGCTCATGATGTGGCTCCTTACGAGCTTTCTTCAGACTCAGAGACCTGCTCTGATACAGGAGCGACTACGCCATCCACCAGAGCCATGGACATTGGTACACCACCAAATGCGAAAGTTCGAGTCGACGCCGTCACAAAACAATTAGACAGTAAACAACGCTGCCTCATTACAAACGTCGAGTGCGACGAAGTGACTGAGTATGCCCACGTCTTGGGGCATGCTTTGGAGGACAACGAGGACTTGGTGAGTCACCTGTTGGAGCCCTTCGCAAACACGGTGATGACAAGTTGCTAGATGGCCAGGCTTGAGTTTTCATGGAGTAAGAAATATAGAGCCCAGAATATCCATACTCATGAAAACATATTTCGGCGTAGGGCTCATCTTTCGTGTTTCCGATGTCTTGCTGAATATCAACACTTTTAGTGAGCGCCAAATTCCACCATCTTTTCGACAAGAACAAATGGCTTTTGCTCCCCGAAACCCGCATTTTAGATCGATATGAAAGGGCTTATAGAAAGCCGCACTTGTTTCCTAAGATCGAGGTGAGATTGATTTCTGCTCGTAGAGGAGCTGAACTTACGCATTTATTGTCTTTAGAAAGAGACGTACAGGTATAGACTTGTTGCTCACCCTGATATGAAAAATGTCCCCATTCATCGAAGGGACGAGACGCTTCCGAAATCTCCCAGTGCTTTCCAGACGTTCGTCTATCCATTTGAAGGGTTTCCCACAATTGTCTCTCACGTTCATCCACGTTTCGCAATCCGCAACGCTGCGCTTAAACTTAAAGGCCGCGAGACGGTCCATGCCTTTGCTAGAGGAGAAGAAGGAGCGTTGTATGATGCGCTCGTCAAGATCATCAGCATATACGAAGGGTGGTCCAGTGTAGATCTCCCAAATGATTTTCGTAAAGAGAGAAATGTACCCAAGTTTGAGCCCCGCGACAAAATTCACCAGGGAGTCAAAAGGGATGTTCCAACGAATGTCCCGGATGCTGAACATTCAGATGACGAGGGCGACGCTCCTCCCACCATTGCCGCAACCTCGGCTTATCGCAGTGTACGGACTTACTGTTTGGCAAACGAAACACCTGCCGACCGAGCGGGCGATTTCGATCTCAAGAAAGCGAAGGCTAGAGTCGACACTGTCGCCGCAAAACGCTGCCTCATTGAGAATACCGACGAGACCAACGCCCTGGAGTATGCCCATCTTCTTAATAGGGGAAGCTCCAACAAGACTGTGAGTCTAGATCAACTACCGTGACCCCTCCATGACACCTTTTAGTTGACAGCTTTGGAATATTCGTGGGGAATGGGTTACATGACTTTACATGTCGATACACGTTACAATATATTCCGCCGTAAGACATCCTTTCCCGTTGACTACGATGATTAACGTCCTCCCAGTCAGCCGAACTTTGCATCGCCTTTTCGATGTAAATGCTTGGCTTTTAATTCCAGAACCAGCTATCATCGACGAATATCATGCAGAGATCACAAAACGTGCAGAATTTCCTTCGCTCGAGAACGTATGTCGTCTGTCTTTTCCCCCTTTCGTTTTTGCTGTGACTGATAATGACGTCTAGCATCAACCGCCGTACAGCTATACTTTGGTTGCAAATCATTTGATGGAGCAAGTCCCTATTCATGTCCAGCGTAGCACAGAGGACGCGAATGATAACGAGGTCAACGACATGGTTGACTTCAATTTAGAAGACGCATTCGTCTGTCATACCCTTCCCTTCCACCAATTTCCTGTTATCAAATCCCACGTGCATCCGCGCTTCGTCATCTGCAATTCTGGAGGTAAATTGAACAAGTTCGTTTACTCGACATCGCGATATAATCATTTCAACCCTTTGCACGAGACTGCCCTCCTCCATATCAAACAAATCTATGAATCGTGGACCAAAGAGGACATTGTTCCCCGGGAGTTCACTGCTTCGGGACCTTTGCATCAAGAAAATACACCATTCGACTTCCCAGATGACAAGACCGAGCATCGACGTTTACGCTCTCACACAAAAAGGAAGCGTATCTCCTCCCCGCTCATCGAAGATGTACCTTCCAAACCCTCGAGGCGAGCAAAATCTGGAGGTGCCAACGACTCTGTCTGGCTCGACGACGCGACGCTTGGTGAGCTTGAACCAGATCAGTCGCCTAAGAAGGCTTGGCACGACAAACTTGCCTGGATTCAATCCTGGGTGGGGCAGGTCCCGATGGACGCGACCGTGGAAGAGGATATTGAGGTTGTGGACAAGCCAGCTTGTCAGACTTGTGACGAATGCGTGTCGGATTCAGATGACATGGAATCTTTGTTATCGTCTTAGGAGATGAGGGAAATATGTCGTTTTTATCCATTTATTGTATGTTCTGGGCTTTTGAGACTAGATCTCGAAATGTAACTATCTGTCTCTGTCATCTGAATTTTTACTTGAATCAGTGATACGAAACGACTTCATGTTGTCCTAATCAAAAAGCTGCTACTCTTACATCCAACGGCCTCACTCAGGTAACGAGACCGTCGGGCTCCTCATTACCCTTTTGCCGGCGGACGTTGTTGTCGTTCTCGACTCTGTTCCACAATCCCCTCATAAGTGATAGTGATATATCCGTGACTGACAAGCAAAATAGCCTGGTTTTTAGGGTTTTCGGTCAGTGGATGAACACCACGCAGTTTCCAGGCAGTGCTGCGGTCAACAGTTGCCTGGTGGATGAATGGCAGGGACCAAGCATTATCATTGTTACATGTGACCAAAAGCCTCGCTGGGGTATATGACGACAAGTATGAGTGGGTGATGATACAGTCCAGGAGAAGTGCAAGAAGAGAGAGTAATAAGTTATTCAGGGGCAGGCGGGGGTGGGATTTATAAGAAGTCATCGTCGGGTTCAGCTGTCAAGCCATCTTCATTCCAGATTTCCAAGAACTAAGGAATGAGGTCAGGACGAACGCAAGACATCGGTATAGCAACACTTACTCTGATTTTCTGCTCATCAGCGTCGTTTGTCGTAAGTAATGGTGTGGTGGCGAAGGGAAGCCTATCCCAAGAGATCGAAGTGTCATTGCGTTTCGTCGCAGGTTTGTCTCCTATCGCGCTCTTCTTTCCAACTACGAATTTGCTGCATTTGCTGATGTGATGCGGTATCAGTATGTATTTGGCAAATATCACTCGGTTTGCTCACTCTTCAGATAAGGCGTAGCGAGTTTTCAGGTATGCTTTGAGCAGCATCACCATGGCAATGATAACAGAGGTCCTCATGAGAGCGGGTCTATCTTGAACAATTCCTTGTGCGTCTAGAAAGATTAGCATAAAGTGAGAAACATAAGAGGGAAAACTGACCGTTAGAAGGTGGACCATCGGCACTGACATCCATTGCATCGTGAGGAGCGTCAGACAGTACCGTTATTTGAGTTTGCGAGCTTCCATGTAGGTGTGTTAGTAGATGAGAAGGTGATATTATTTCCAGAAGTTGCATTCCTGTAGTTGACAGTACGGTCGTAAGATACTTGATGACGGTGAGGACCTCTTCTTGGGTTTTATACTCGAACGCTGAGAAGTTTTCAGCCATATATCGAGTGAAATTGATGTCATCCTACAGCAAGAATGAGTACAAGTGGCAAGAAACACCCGAAGACCACAGACCTGAGACGATTGATAGGTTGGGTTCTCTTGGAAAACTTTGACCAAGGATTTCAAGAAATCTTGACGTGTTGGCCGCTTTTCACGAACGAGAGAATACCATCGTTGGAGAAGGGCGACGGAGGTACCCTGTACTCTGAAGCCTGGACGACGATATAAACAAGATCGGAAAGTGGCATTGAAGGCTGTATACCATGAATAACTCCAGACGATATCTTCTTTTGATAGTCGAAAGATGTTCTGGCGCTAACGGTGTATCTCGTGTTCAGGAGGGATGCATGCTTATTGTGAAGAATAGAATGCAATGCGCTTGCGCGATTGCTGATCTGAGGTGACGGACTAGTTTCCAGAGCCACGATCACAGGGAACGACTAAGTGCAAAAGTAAGTTACTACCTGACAAGAAGGGATGCTGTATACCTGAAGGGGATGAGCAAGGCCCTGTTTTATGGTAAAGCTCAGCACGTCGATGGCGGTTGCCTGGATTTGAAGATTCTGAGAAAGGGCGGCATCGAGGATCGGCGTCAAATAACGTTGAACAATCGCTGAGGTGACTCTGAAGGTGGGTAAATTCAGCGTTACGCTCGCTCTGTATTACGGAACAGATATACCCTGAATCTGCGAAATCATCTGTATTGCCAACAAGTTCTTCCATATTCACGTCTGTAGATTTATTCTTCCCTTTCACAGACTCTGAAAAGAGAGTCAGACAGTTCTTAAACCGGAACATTCGCCTTACCTTTTTCTTTAGCACTGTGCTTTGAGGCTTCTGAGATAAGGAAGTCTTGCATGATTTTGAGGAGTCGGCTCCGTCCTTCCTCTTCGGGAGACGCGAAAATAGCATCCATGATGACGGCAGAAGATTCCATTGTCATCAAAGTTGGCTGAGCACGAAAGAGGAAGCCTAGGCGGAGATATCAGACATGCCGAAAAGAAAGACGAAATGAGAAATTGTACCAAGGCACTGTAAGATCCGCCCTCTCAGCTGGGAGTTACTATGCTTGTTGTATAGTTGCAACAATGTTTGGTATATGTGCTCGGTGATAGGGCCCTACAAAGCATAATTAGTTGCTGAAGAGGTCAAGCAAAGCAAAATCACTTTGGAGATGCTGTCAATATCAGGAGCGAGAGCTACCAAGATGCTGCATGAGCTCAAGACCTCAATAAAACATGTAGTAGGATACGCACAAGAATTCTCCTGGCGCAAGCGATCAAAATTACAATTCTCGCCGAGAAGTGAAACGATCAAAATGAGAACAAGCAGAGCGCGGAGTTCGTTCGGAGTCAGCTCCTTCGCTGCTGGAGCCTGAAGAAATTGTTGGAGTCGGGCTGTCGAAGAAAAAAGTCGTCAAGTGATATAACACAAAATCGGGGTCGTCGTACCATTGAGTGATTTGACAAGATTGACCAGGCGAACGAAATCGTGCGTCAGATGTTGAACAACGATACACATGCACCCCACAGTTTCCTGCAAGATCTTCCCAGAAGGTTGAGCGCACTACTAATGCAGAAAGATGAAAGAAGAGCACCTGTATGCCTCCTCCACCGGAAGGTTTAATGATCATAGGTTGAAGAGAAGTTTGAAGTTCTTGTCCAAACTTTGCAGCAGTCTTCGGCATATGAGGGATCGAAACGCGGAAGATCTTCAACAGATAGTCCGACGTGATAAGCTCCTCGGGCTGGATGTAAGATTAGCGTGATATTCCGCAACCATGCAAGACTCCCGTACTGTCGAAGCATTCTTGAGGTAAGGCAAGAGAGTTGATGCATTGGAACCAGAGAGGATGGAAGGATACGCAGACGTAAATAGGTAGATGGTGCGGATGCAGTTGATGACGGTCTAGCCAGTAAAAGTGAGCAAAGTGTCTTATAAATGCCGGACTAAACTTACAAAGCCAGGCAAGTCAGAGGCGTCGACGAGGCCATCGATCAGCGTTTCGCATATTTCGGTATAACGAGCATGGAGAGAAGCACCCTCATGGCCCTCCTTCTCCGCAATGATCTTGTGCAAAACATCCTCCAACGGTGATTGACGATCTTTGAAGTTGGCGGAGGTGGCCATGATGATGGCAACCTTGCTCAACAGTGCGCTCTTATCCTGAGTGTTGCTGCTCGTGCTGCCCCGAGATTTCAAGGCAGAGGGCAATGGGACAGGAGGGAACCAGAGCTCTTCAATTGTCTTGATAGCCAGGTCCTTCACTGACTCATCTTCATCCATCAAACGTATTACAAGCCTCGTCGCGATATCAACACGACGAGCATTATCATCCGTCACGGCATAGAAAGACTTGAGAAGTTTGATGACCCGCTTCCTAACGCCAAGGCCAGTATCCTGTTACAAATGTCAGTAGGGATCTTTGGTGACGACAACATCACTGACCGCCATACGTTCCGCAATCTTCTGGTAGTAATCCCCAGCCACTTCAGGAGAATCAATCATGTACTTCCCAATGAGCTCCACCGCGGCATCGCGAACTTGAGGTGAACTATCGAGTAGATGGCTCTCAATACCACGACGAACATTGGGCTTGCAAAACAAGTCAAAACCCAAATTGCAGCAAAGTACAAAAAGACGTACCGCTGCAAGGATCGTAGCATCACTGGTCACAATTTGACCGAGTGCACGCAGAGCTTTAGTCCTCATAAAGATCGCAGGTGCATCAAGAGCCGTCAAAATGATGTTCAAAATTGGCTGGAAAGAGTTGCGCAAGCTCTGAACATTGCCAATCTCCTCGGCGAGGCGATCAACGCGTGCAACTTCTTCTTGGGAGCTGCTCGTTATCGACCTCAGAAAGTGAGCTATTGACAAAAAGACAAAACATTACCCAATATCGAACACATCATTGGAAGGATCCTTCCACACTTCGCGTAATGCTGTCTTGATTTTTTGGCCAAAGGCGAGGGTTTTAGATTCGTCTTTAATGTTCAAGTCGTCATCGTCTTCAGACTGGTCGATCCAAGCGTTGACCTGCTTCAAAGCACTAGCGAGCTCTTGGCCTAGAGTGGCAGCTGTTAGTTCTCTTGCGCTCTGGTGGATTACGTAAGAACAGAAACGAATCGGTTGGACAATCGCAGCTTACATCGTAAGCCTGGTCTTCTGAAGAACGTTTGCAGAGGTGTGACGCAACATCCTTATGAGCATCTAGGAGCTTGTTGAGGCTCTTTGAGCTGAGGGTGCTTACGACCTGGTATCAGACGGTCAGCACATACATGAGCATTCCAGCAAATATCTAACCTCTTCTAGAGGTTTGAGACCTTTAAACTTCGGACCAGCCTCACCACCATCTATCTGCACTTTGAGCGCGCTCGAACGAATGCGAGCAGCAATGACGCCGAGGTGATCGAGAGCAATGGTTTTGGCAGCATTTGTATCTGTCTGTGAGTTCGCAGACTTCACGTCGTCGAGGGAGGCAACCTCAAAGGAAAGTCAGAGAAAAGTGCCGGTGGGTAAGATTCCCAACACACCATAAACTTCGACGCAATGCTCAAAAGAAGCCCAGCAGCGGGCCATTCAGGCCAGTACAACACAACGAGGAGATCTTCGATTAAGTTGTCAAAGATTGCACGATATTCGGCTTCATTAGAGTTCTTGGTCGCCTTGTTCTTCCCCGATCTCTGCGTAAGGAAAAGAATGATCGTTTTCGCGGCCTTGTTAGCTGATTCCATTCCGCTTGTATATAGACGAATTTCCTATCCAGCATCGGTCAGTTTGATGATACTTCTATATTGAAAAAGCAGTGCTTTACCTCGTGATCGTTTTCGTCAAGAAATGGCTCGGGCGGTGCCTGTTGACTTTCCGTAAAACTCTCTTGCCTTCGAAGCGCAAACTTGTTTTGCCTAGCTTTTTCGATTCTCCTGGATTCAATACGAACATCGTGTGCTGAAGTTTGAACCAGTTGAAGTAACAACGCGGAGACAGTTCGAATCGAACGACCATCCCGCAATCTAGAAGTGATATTGGCCTAAGAGATCAAATGGAACACGTTGAAGAAACTATACGTACCGAAATTGACCTGCTTTTTGCTTGGTATCCGAAAGTTTAATCAAAGAGGAGAGGATCTCTTCAATGATCCACGACCGTTGGTCTTCATGGTTCGCAAATATCTGTAGCGTGATTCTGTATGAGCTCCACGTCAACATTGAAATGGCTTATCTTACACTGCGAATCAATGACAAGGCATCCAAACGAAGGCCCCTCATCGCGCTTTTCCCAAGGGTCTTAATGACAACATTGTCTTTCTTACCCTTCGCATCCCCATCGCCCCCAGTATCAATCACAAAAAACGGGCCTATGGCGATATACACTGCCTGAATAATGATCGAGTCAGACATGGCAACACTCTCAGAACCAACGAGAGCATTGATGCGCGGAAGAACGGCGGAGAGTGCTTGGAACGTCTCGCTGAGTTGTCGTCGATAGGTTTGAGCCATAGATGACGAATTCTTGACGACGTATTGCAATAGTGGGGTGTGACTGAGATTAGCGCCAGTTTCTGAGGATGCTTCTACAAAGGGATATACGATCTTCGTCAGCTGGTTCTTGATTGTACTGAGGCAGGCCGTGATCAACTCTTCAGAATAGAGCTGTACATAGAGTTCGTTGTAAGCTACAAATATCGGTGATAGGTTGATGACACGTACCTGTTTGCTCAATCTATCGCTGGCAAGCAGTGCAATGCAGCAATCCGCAGCCAGAATGCTGTCCCGAGCAACATCCAATACCCTGCTTAGCTTGTCAAAATCTATCTCATTCAGCTCAGTACTCTTGGTTGGGCCACCTTCATCCTTGTCCGCGTCTTCAGCCTCATCTTCGTCGCCATTCGGTGTCCGTGATTTTGAACGTTTTTCATTCTTCTTGCCCTTCTTTGCAGACGGTTTTCGAGGAGAAGATTTGGCTAAACTAGGTGGTGCCACGATAGCGACAAACGGGTCGATATCCTCGCCAGCTTTGACGCTTCGATCAAGATGTTTTAGCAAACGGGATAATATTTGGGTATCAACTTCCGCAAGGCCCCCTCTTCCTCGACCAGGTGTGCCGCCTGCCGTGGTTTGGCGGAGACGTTTGGTCGGACGGGCTACATTTCCGATGTATTTCGTCAACTTTCGAATGACGGTGGGGCTTAGTAAAGGTCTCGAGCAATGAATAGAGAGATGGGAAAATAGCTCTGGTGGCAGATCCTTGGCCTCAGCATCCGCAGGTAGCGCATCTTCAGCCTCGAATATCTCGTCGATTAAAGCGGTCAATTTCTCAAGTGGAACTGCGCATATATTTGGTTCAGTAAGCAGCACAGGTGATGAAATATCAATTCACCTCGTTCATCTCGATCGCCTGTGCGGCGGGCGGAAGACTTGACAGAGTCGAAGAGACCCCTGCCTCTTGTTGGGCTAGATGAGAAGTCGTCATCAGAGCCGTACCCTCCTAGGTCGTTGGGCGTGTCGTTAATCTTCATTTTCCCCTGTCGTTTCTCAGACAGCATTGAGGCATTTTCGGAACCCTTGCGAGAAGAGAATGGGGTTAAATATGGACTGGGAGGCACAAATACGTATGCCAAATTCACTCGTTTGGGCGTCAGCGTCGACGTAAAAGAGCCTTGAGACATTGAGGACGTGGGAGCCGTTGATATGGTGGTTGGCGTTCGAGGAACGGAACTGGCAGAGCTTGAGGGGGTCACTGGATTCGTAGTGTGTTGGAACGAGGGCAATGATTTCACGGAGTGCACGCGTTTAGATGGCGAAACAATCTCAACCACAGGCTTGCGCTTCCGTGGAGTAACAGCGGCGGTACTTGACGGGGCAAGCGCCAGAGGATCTGGACTCTCCTCTGGAGGACGGTTTTTTGAGGGTGGGGTCGTGGGACGAGCTGGTGCAGGGAAGGGAGGCATAGCTTGAACCATCTCTCGTGTTTTCTGTTCCAGAAATTGGTTGAAAAATGCGGGTGACTCCTCTGGTCTGTATACCTTCGGCTGTGCGGCTGACTGGAGTTGAGGTGGTGGTTGTCCAAGAGCATATGCCAGAGATGACGAAGAAGGGGTGATACCAGGAGGGGGTGTTGGGTATGCCGTGTTTGGAGCAGTTCTCTGAAATACCGACTGCGCGAATGGGCTGGTCTGGAAGTGCGAAGGAGCAGTGGGCATCGGCCCCCAATGCTGAGGTTCCTGATACTGATAAGATCTAGTCCTTCCAGTTAGATAGTGTCTCATATATGCGTTAGTTTTCTTGAACATACTGTTGATTCAACATCCGAACAGCATCATCCCGAGTATCCTCCCAATAACCTGAGTCGTTCATAGGAACATGTGGGGAAGCCAAGTACTCTAACTGCTGATCATATTCAGAGTATGGAGGAGGATATGCAGCATGGTGCGTCGAGTAGTAACTTGGCTGAACGAATGTCGGAGGTGCGGCGGTTAGGGTCATGTTGCTAATATGTCGAGCAACTGATACAAATTCAGTTCCAAAATTTCAAGAGAAATATAATATGAGACTCACCGTGATTCGTAGGGGTAGCAGATGCCATTGGATAGACAGCTAACAGCTGCTGAGCACGCTGAACAGTATCGGCGGCAGCACCGGTAAAGTGCGAGGGATCTTGAGGAGGGTGATGGCTGCTGCTACGACGGTGATAGCGATCACCATTCTGAGGCAACCAGTGGTGATTGTGGTCCATTGTCAAGGAGTCTAGCAATGGTCAAAAAATGAACCGAAACAGCCAATAATATGCGCGACTGCAGACGCGGTACTATGAACACGAGGTCACGCGTGACACCTGCCATTTCGCACAGTGTGTGACAGTTTTGTGACTCGGAATTTTTCAGGCGAAAATGGAAACTCTCATGCCGAGGCCTGTTCAACTTACCATTTCGTTGCTCTTTTTTTCTCCATCAAAAACTAGGTTATCGCGCATATCGTACCGCGTGGTTTTGGTATAATGCCCACCGCTATCGATAAACCAGTCCGGATCTTCCAGGACGCACGTAATGATGGGGGGGCTGAGAAACGTTCCAAACCCATACCTTGGGTGGAAGTGGACGATGATGAGAGGGAAAGACGGAAGAAAAACTCGTTAAAGCGAAACGGACCCATGGCCAATGGGGATGATCGCTCCCAAAATGGTCGTCAACACAAGAAAGCTCGTCTCTCCTATGGAAACCCATCCAACGACCATGGCAATACTTTCGGTCATACCAACGGAAGAGAGGCGAACCACGCGGGTCCGAGCAGTGCACCATTGAATCCAGCGGCGCAGGCCATTCAAGAGCAACGCAAACAGCTGCCAATTTACCTAGGCGCGTTCGCCCCTCTACTTTCTCGTTCTCTACTTACCTACGTGTTCAGGCAGAGATGCTCTCATCGAGGAGATCAAGAAGAACGACGTGACCGTTCTACTTGGAGAGACCGGTTCCGGGAAAACGACGCGTACGTCTACTTTTTCTGGATCAATCTCCTACATCTAACCCAAATACCTTATATCAGAGGTCCCGCAATACCTTCTGGAAAGCGGTTTAGCAGGGAACAGGATGATAGCCGTGACTCAGCCTCGCAAAGTTGCTGCAACCAGTCTTGCACAACGCGTCGCAGCGGAACAAAACGGTCCACTTGGCAAGGTCGTTGGATATGCCGTCCGCTTCGACGAAAAGTCAAGCCCCCACACTCGTATCAAGTACATGACGGACGGGATGATCATGCGGGAATTGATGTCCGACCCTTCGTTGTCGAGGTATAGCGTGGTGATCGTCGATGAAGCCCATGAACGGACACTTCGCACGGATTTGCTTATCGCAAACCTGAAAAAGCTTCAAAAAGAGAGGAATGGATCGTCTAATGCGAAGGGGAAGGGGAACTCTAACAACTCCAAGCCATTGAAGATAGTCATCATGAGTGCGACCTTGGATGCCGAGAAATTTAGCAAGTTTTTCGACAAGTGCGTGCAAACACTGATAAGCTGTGCTTTGCTAATAACTTCTTCCAGCGCGAAAATTTTGTATGTTAAAGGACGGCAACATCCAGTCAAGATTTTCCACTCGGCGGAGGGTCAACCAGACTACGTGGATTCAGCTATGCGGACATTTTTCCAAATACACACCGATCAACCCCCGGGGGATGTGTTAATTTTTCTCCCAGGTGCGTGTTCCCCTTCCTTTTGGTGTTCAGGGTCTAACTTCGTGGTCTAGGTCAGGAAGACATTGAAAGTCTCGAAAAGTCAATAGACATGTTCGCAAAGCGTCTACCCCAAGATTCACCAGAGGTGCGCAAACCTGTCTGTTGGATTGCAAGTGACTGACCATGTCGTAGGTACTGGTTTGCCCCATGTTCGCGGCTCAGGCTCCAGGAAAAAATGCGAAGGTTTTCCTGTCTCCACCACCAAATACACGGAAATGTATATTGGCGACCAACATCGCAGAGACATCTATCACGATACCAGGCGTAAAATACGTCATAGACACGGGGAAGTGTAAAGAAAAACAATACCTAGCTCGAATGGCTGGAGGTGGTACGTCGAAATCCACCCCCTGACCACATGTGCTAACTTGATCTCCACTTCAGGTTTTGACACCCTACTTACGAGAGACATCACAAAATCTTCGGCGATGCAGCGAGCTGGTCGAGCTGGGCGAGAAGTGAGTTCACTACCAGATATCTCCCTCACACGCATTCTGATCAACTCGTAGGGATCGGGTCTTTGCTTCCGTCTCTACACAGAAGATGCATTCAATTCGATGGCACTTTCTGGAGAACCAGAAATACTACGGTGTAGTCTCACATCGAGCATATTACAGCTGCGATGCCTTGGCCAAGATCTCATGGAACTCGATCTTATGGATGCCCCAGACACAGATACTAGTAAATGCATCGATCTCAGTTCCACTTCCCTTTTCTGACTTCGTCAATAGTCTGTTCTGCTTTGAAAACCCTCTTCATAATCGGTGCCTTCGATAAGCAATCCCAACTCACCCCAGCAGGCCGTCACATGGCTTCTTTCCCTCTCGAACCTCAACACGCCTGCGCGATCGTTGCTTCAAAAGAACATGGATGCTCATCAGAAGTGATCGACGTCATCTCAGTACTTTCTGCCTCATCCAAACTCTTCCTCGACGTCACGGAAAAGCGAGACGCAGTCTCGGAAGCACGCCGCAAGTTCCGTCATCCAAGCGGAGACCACCTCACCATCCTCAACGTCGTACGCGCGTACCAGGCGATCGCTTCGTCAGAGAAGAAGAAGTCCAGGAAAGACTGGTGTCGGAAACATTTTTTGAATGAGAGGACACTGATTGAGGCGAGGGAGATTAGGGAGCAGCTGAGGCAGACGTGTACGAGGGTGGGCGTGGATTATACGACTTCATGTGGTGAGAATGAGGGTCCGGTGATCGCTTGCCTGGGACATGGGCTCGTAGCCAACTCGGCTTTTCTCCAGCCTGATGGGTCTTACAAACAGACGATGGGATCATCAGTGAGTGGATGCTTCACCGCAATCATTACAATCCCGCTAACCATGGGATTGTTTCCAGTTTGTTAAAATTCATCCTGGCTCCACCCTCAGCGACAAAAAGGTACCAGCTATAGTCTACGACGAGCTGGTTAGTAATCCCTCTTGAATGTCAACGTAATCGACGTAGTTGACCTTCTCATCAGGTATACACCAATCAAATCTATGCCCGTGGAGTATCCTCAATCCCCAAGAGCTTCTTCGCAAAACATCACGCACTCTCCCAACGAGCAGCATGAACAACTTACTTATAGGCGACTTATCAATATTCACCTCTATCTTCTCGTGTGTCTTTGTTTCTAGATGGTTGGAATTGGAATGGCATGGAGAATCCGCAATACATAAGTTCAAGTTATATACGTGTCATAATAAATCTTCACGGTCGCTCTACACTGACTCCAGCTGGTTAGCCGCTCAGTACAGATCTATTTCCAAACTTTTCCCCCGATCTTTTCAATTCTAGTCTCAGATTTCAGGTCCCAAAGCGCTCAAGAACGACCTCCGCAAACATGTGCTTGCTATCTCCTGCCATTTCCATCCACCCTCCATCTGGACTGTCTAAGAAAATCAGGAAACTGTTCAAGAAAGACAAGAAACCGCCGAAGAAAGAAGGTCTTGGTGCCACCGCCATGGATCTTTCGAGTCCACTCACACTTAACATTTACTCCCATTGCATCCGTCTGTATCCCACAGTACCATCAACGGTTTCCGACGACAATCTCGCCATCCTACCCCTGACCTCTGGCATTGACTCTCCGGACACCACTTCAACCTGCCTCCTCAGAGGGTCTCTCGCCGACTTCCTTCAATATTCCCGCCAAGAGGCGTCGAAGTGGTTGATTGACATCGCTCATGATATTTGCGATCCTCTCAACCGCCGTGGTTCGTTGGTAGTGTATAAGGAGCAGCAGTGGATTCTGGTTGCCAACACAGATCCATTAACTGCATCAATGTACTGCTACGATCTTCCGCCTGGAGTTACAGTCAGTCTTTCGAAAATCAGCCAACGTGCGGGTAAATCCGTTACCAGCTCGGCTGCCAGTGCGGATGAAAACACCTTGGCCAACCGCCTAAAGGGGCGTGATGGAAAATGCTGGATGTCAGGAATAATCGCTCCACTTGCAAACAGTCATATCGTCCCCAAGCGCATGGGGGATGACACTGCACGAATCATCTTCCAGACGTTCACATCTATTCCCCCTCCTCCGAACCTGACGCTCTCGGACGAGATTTTTTGCTTGAGTTTGAGCCTGACTCTCGATACCTGGTTTGATGAGTATGAGTTGGGCTTTCGCTTTGTGTCTCCAGTGAGGAGTTCTGATCCTCTCATCTCCACATTGTCCATTAATCAACTGTTTAGAATGTTTATGAGTGCCATTTGTTCATTAATCCAGATCGTGAGGACTCAGGTGCTAATGAAGATCTTGACTGGACAATATTCGGAGCATTTACAAAAGAACTCAGAGTGAACTACCCCATCATCCATGGGCGCCGCGTAAGTCCTCCCCATCCCTAGCAAGACAAAATTCCTCCTCCTGGCCTACTTCGTTGGCACTACCTCCAATGTGTGCTCCAGAGGTTTGCCCATGATTGCTACAAAGATCTTGATAATATATTTTTCTTTGAGTTGCCTCTTCGGATGGAAGGGGACTCTCTCTGATGCTGATGGCATGCCAGAAAGCGAGGTGGAATGGCCATCAATGGCTTTAGATCTGGGGAGGGATGTAGAGAATATTTTAGAGGAGCAGGAGGAGCGCCACCAAGCGGTTGCAAAGTGGATTTTAACATCCACATAAATCAGCACTTTTACATGTACATATATTTGAGTCAGTCAATCTGCATTCAAGTTACCCTTGGTAACTCTCCACACCCTCACAACTTATAATATTAATAGATGGTATTTTGTCCCCAATTACGATAACTTGGAATTTGAGCTCAATTGCGACATTGTTAGTGGGTGGAGTTCTGGGTGGGAGGGTTGCTTCCAACCCAATGAATTTTAGACACTCCTTTAGGAGTGCAACGCGAATGAGCTAGCCCTAAATGAGAAACGCTCACGTGATGAGAACAATGGTTCTTTCGAACTGTGAAAGACTGCCATGGCCACTGGCCCACCGAGCCACAGTGACAACGCGGTGGCCTCCCTCGCATTTATATATCCTGTCTTTGGTACGTACCCCAACATGTCCGAATCCAAGGCGGCTAATCATGTCGCGTCTAACACTAGAGCAACCGTATCAGGCTCACCCGTCAAAAAGAGCCTTCAAGGCGGCCTCCCACACAACCCCACAAAACGAAAGTCCGAAGACATCAGAAGGGACATGGAGAGGGAACTTAGAGGCCTATGCCAGTAGAAGATTTTATGAAAGAGTTTCTACCTCTCGGGAACAACTCAGGGCCTATGCGCGAAGTGCCCCCTGATCTTTTCCAAAACTTGCCGTCAACAGAGGATAAAACGATGCCTTCCAAGCTTGTGAGTTGCCTTATTTTCTCTTTACGTTGCCGCGCACAATCTAATCGAACCGTCAAGATCGCGATCGTCGAACAGGGGGACTGTTTCCCGGCCTGAAGCTCGTCGACACATCGGATCATCATGACAACAATGCAGACGACCACAAGAAACTCAGGCCTGACATGTCCGCATATCTCAGTACTGTCACCACCTCTGACAACGTTACACAATTCGAGGCCGAAGAGTTGATGTTCGAACTCAAGCCTCCTTCGGCACCAGCACACCCGTTCAAAGATCCCAAATCTAATGCGAACGCAGAACAGTTGCTCAGGCACTCTTTCGAGACGAATACGGATGCCGGAGTTTTGTGTCGTGGACAGATTGCGTCATACCTTACAGAGTTGTTCAATCGCCAGCACCGCAAGCACGGGTTTGTGGTCGATGTCGCAAACGACGGGATGCGCTTCATTAGGGCCGACCGCTCTGGAGCAATTGTTTCGCGGCTGTTCAACTGGCGACAGGAGCCTCAAACCTTCACTGAATTTCTTTTGCGATTCGCTCACCTCACACCCGGACAACGTGGACATGATACAACCGTGCGACCCGCCACGGCACATGAGAAAGGACTCGCCGTACTTAACCTCCAACCCTGGGCGCCTAAGAGGGAACGGCCCATCGTCGTCCTTCGCGTGCCCGAGGACGACGGTAGATTCCATGAGGTCATTGCTTGGGGTGCTATGGCGGGCGCAGATTCGTTGACCGGAAAAGCAACACGCGCTTGGCCGGTTTATGATCTCAAGCTTGAGAAAGTTGTTTTCCTGAAGGATGCGTGGCGCTCACTTATGCCGGGGATGGAGAAAGAGTCGGATATCTTGTCGCAACTGAACCAAGCGGGGGTGCGCAATGTTTCAGGGCTCGTTTGCGGTGACGACATTGCAGGTCACCTCACACGCACTCATGAATTCATATCTAAGCCTTGGAACGTTGGAGGAACTGTGATTACACCTCGGGCTCAGCATCGTTTCCTTGAGGATTTCGTTGGCAAACATTTGTGCCACTTTACTTCATCGAAACAACTCATGCAAACTGTTTATGATGCGTTTATCGGTATGGACTCCGTCGAACCTCTCGATAACAACAGCTCTGACATTGATTTTAGCTCACTAAGATGCGTATGAGAAGTGTGGAATACTCCACCGCGATGTCAGCGGAAACAACGTCATGATGTCAGTAGATGGTCGCGGCATCCTCAATGACTGGGATCACGCGAGAAAAATATCCGACATGGCCAATGGTCCACGGCAATTCTCTCGCTCAGTATGTCCTTTACTCATCTCCAATCGTCGCGCGAATGTTGATTTGTCTAACAATCAGGGAACTTGGCATTTTATGTCAGTCTTTCTTGAAAAACCGCACAAGGTTCAAGATTTGCAAGATGATATTGAGTCATTCTTTTACGTCGTCCTTTACCACGTCATTCGCTATATGAAACACAACAAGCTATCCGAGGTAACGAACATCATGGAGAAGGTCTTCGATGACTATACCGAACATGCCGACGGGCAACTTACAGGCGGTAGCGGGAAAAGCGGCATGATCACACGTCGGCTACACGTAGAAAAAGACTTTGAGATCTCCAGCAACAGACTGTTAAACTCCTGGCTTCAATACATGTTGAACTCTCTCAAAGAGTGGCTATTCCACATAGAGAGTTTTGACAAGCCCTGCTACTGGGCTGAAGATAAGGATGATGACGGTGGCGAAATCGTGAGCGCCAACCAGGACGAGACTGGCAACATGGGTGTGGGCCCAAACTCGAAGGCTGCTTCGTTCCACCAGCGAGCCGTGAGCCCCCTTGCCGCTTCTGAACATCTCAAGTTGCACAACCATCGTCTCATTGAGGCAAAGTGGCGTGCTCTGCTCAACAAGGGAGAGTGGCCTGCGAACGATGGTCCCGTCGACCACCTTTCAGATGTATCCCTCAAACGAACGCACGATGGTGAACTCGGGCTTCCTTTCAAGAGACGTCGTACTGGCATCGATACAGGCTCAGCCTTGGTCAATACCATGCCTGACATTTTTGGTCGGGCGACTCTCTCGCAACAGCGCGTTTCTCCACGAAACTCAGCTCGCCCCAGTCATAAAGCAGCCCAACGATCCACCCCATTCCCATCTCGAAAATTTACTTTGTAATTGCATTAGATTTTTTGTTAATTACCACCAGCCATTGTAAGATACTTACCACATGCACGTAGTTTGTATACTCCATCGTTTTCTAGAGCAGAAAAGAACTTTGTATGTATACCAGTATTATCTAACACAAGCGCCGTTTGCTTGGAAATTGGGATTGCCTGCAATTCTGAGTCTTGGGTTGCCGTAAAAACCAATTAAAACCCCAATTTTTGCTCACATTATTGTAAACGCTATCGAGTCAGTCTCCACCTAACTCTAAGCTTGTAAGGGTAGGGAGTAGATACTTGCTGAGATATGCGCCCTCAAATGTTGTGTGTCATGTTTGTATTTGTTTCTCCGGGCCTTTCGATGATTGCGAGCACAAGTACTACAACTTCAGGTCCTCCACAGCTGCGTATTCTCGTACCCCTCCCTCCGTTAGTGACTCCAGGCTGATGTCTCTTTCTTTTAGAAAAAGGATATCCGACCTGCCCGGTTCGAACGGGCGACCTCAAGATATGATTTTCCTATTACAGTCTTGCGCTACTTCCAACTGAGCTAAGGTCGGATGATAGACTGTACGTGGATTTTAAACATAACGGAAAGTACCTTTGTACCCTCTCCTCTCATAAGTTATGACCTTTTCCTTTGCAACAAATCAGAACATTATCATGTTCAGAGCGGAACATTCACTGTACAACCAAAAGCAATGCACAATTCAAGTAGAAATTGATAGGTTATAATTACGAGTGCGCTGAAATTCGATTTCAAAGATAGATAGATAGATAGATTTATCGGAGCGGTCCAACAACCGGTTCCCGACACACGACTATTACAACCGTGCTACGGAAGCCTGAAGGTGTGTCACTGTGGGACATATTTGATTCTCACACTCAACTCTCACTCAACTCGCCATTTTCTCTCAACGACGACGAAGCGAGTCGCCAACCGTCGCCTGTGTCTTTCCTCATACACTACTTCGTATGAAGGCTACATGGAGTCTCCTCACCTACCGAACAAGACCGTCGAACTTGGTCGCAGTCATGCCAAGATCTTTCGCCTCCCCACTAGATCATCATCTGCTTATTTTCTTAAGCGATCGATAGACCGTGCTCGATCTATCCTGCTCCTGTTATACATACTCCCATCAATCCTTGACAGTAAGGCCATCACTTGTGTAGCATACGCTCCCCAGCTGCAAGCGGTTAGGGGCCTCGGTGAGTGTGAAATTCTCAGAATGGTGCTGACGATATAAGAAAGCGGATGCAATGGTGGATAATAGTTGGAATCCGCTCCCTTTTCGCCATCTACTATGTCAGATGCCGAGGCTGCAGCTGCTTTGGAGGCTCTCGTGAAGTACCTGCACCATCAGCGTGAGTTTGGCGATGTGAGTAACCTTAACCGCCCACTGGGATATTGCCTAATCTATCACATTCGCCTAGTACATGTACAGTAAGATCGTCTATACAGTATGATCCTCCGTCACTCACCGGTCCCCGACACAGTATCGGCAGTGGCGCTAGCGGTAAGTGTTGGAGCTATCGTCGAAGTTAAACATCTGACGCAAAGCAGGTGTACGACTATCTATTGAACTTTGGTCGCGAGGTAACCTTGATCTGGCTCTCGCCATGGACGTATACCAAAGTGCTGTATCTTGTGGTTCGATACCTCCCCTTCCTAGCCTTTGTCATGTTCCTTCGATGTGGGTTCTCTCAATTTCCTTTCTCTAGTTCCACTATTAATATGCGGATCAGACCAGCTTTATCTTGGGGTTACGGTGGCTTCGTGCGAATGGATTTTCCCGGTGGTCGTTTGTAAGCACCCCCTCAAATGCATAGATACGCCTGCTGACAGTGTTTAGGGGCCACGACGGTCTCCACATTCACAGCGGAAGGTGGGTGTTAGCTTCGCATTCTCTCATGGTCCGTTCTGATTGCGCAACCTTTCTGCAGTCATCATGATGATCAGAACGTGGGCAGTCTGGGGTCGAGACAAGAGGGTTGCTGCATTTTTCCTCACTCTATGTTGTCTCTATATTGGCCTCGCGACTGCCGGCAATGTCAAGTTTAACAGGAGCGTGGTTCGTACGTTGTTCACCGCCAGCCATCCGTCGTTGTTATCTGATCATGTGTCGTCCCTTTTGTAGTTGCGGAGCCACCATATCCAGGGTACAGAGGCTGCCTTTTAGTTCAGGCTTCCACCAGTTTGACCTACGATTATGTCATGCTGGTGGTAATGGAGTTTTGTACGTTGAAAATCCATTTATCGTCTTCTGGGATCAAACCTTTATGATAGTCGTATGTGTACTCACGGCCTGGAGCGCCGTCCTATCATGTTAGTGCACATTCTTCAGCTGTTGTTTCTTCCCTGATCCTCTTTCCTGACACAGCCAAAACTGGAACTACGAATCGGCTCTCGGCAATCATCCACAGAGATGGTGAGCAGCATTCCGGCTCTCCTTTGGATATAAATTGACCTGCGTCAAGGTATTCTGTTTTATCTATACCTGCTAGGTTCGTTTCAGGTTTTATCTGTGTTTTGCGGTTCGCTCAGTCGCAATGAAAGTCGGCTCCGTCGCAAACGTAATCTTTTTCACTGCCCCAGTTATACCGGTACGTCCCTCCTGTCCCAACAGCGACGCGATGTACTCAACCTTACCCCGCCCAACAGCCTGAGCTTCACGTTGCTTTTGTGCCGTAAGTTTCCCTCGCTTACTTTACTTGGTATAACATCCAACGGTGCTTCATTTGACAGAATCTGCTTGGCACTCTACACAAACCTCACCAGCCGTGTGGTGCTTAACATCCGCGAGGTTGCCCGTGAGGGATTTGCGGTGGAGACCCAGCTGCATGAATACAAGGATGATGAGGGGGAGCTTGCGGTCATTCCGCTGTCGCTTCGCACACGGCAGAAGGAATTCCGGTGAGCGATTGGGAAGGATACCAGATTACTTACAATACACCCTTCTCAATCTAAATTAAATTAACTTATTGTCACTTACCCAGCGGCCGTCTTTGTCGTAGTACAGAACGGCTTTCTGTTTAGTGCTACCTTTGCTTCCGCCATGCAAAACATATGATTTTTTTATTGTGCTGCCATATTATAATATAAACGTAAAAGTGGTGGAGGAGGAGGTCAAGTAAGGGAATACAATTGAGAGTTGCGCCTGTAAAGACATTTTCCAATTACAGTCTTGCGCTACTTCCAACTAACTGAGCTAAGGTCGGCTTACAAGGTAAGCGCTTAAGCGTGCATGTTTGTATCACATGGTAAAAATAGAGTTGATGCTTCATATGCAAACAGTTGGGCAAAACAATTCGTTGAAACTTGAGGTCTGGTCGATATAACAGAAGATAAATTATAGTACATGGGCGTTCAGTGATGAAACGGTCAGTCTAATTCTGCAAGCAGAAGGAACCAAGACTAGGTTGCGCGTGCACAAGAGCAATTCCACCCACAAACTAAATGAGCTTGAACCTGCTCTTCAAAAGTTATAAATTTTGCCCTTCATTCCGCAATCATGACCAAACCCCGTCACCCCCTCTCGCTCTATCAGCCCACCACTGGAAATGTGTGGGCTTCCCTACGCGCACCATACAAAATCTAGCACCGTTGCTCATCTCAATCTCCTCTTTCCTGTTGACTTTCGTATGGTGAATGGTCAGAGTAATCCGAGCATCCTCCGGTAACGGAGCGAGCAAAACATGGACTCGGGAGTTGGTCACGGCGACCCAGGTGTCTAAAGTGTTAGATGTTGCAGATGGCGGGTATATCTCTGAAGAGAAATACTGTAATGAAGTGAACTTCTTTACGGGGAAGTCCTGACCAATGGGTTCGAGGAGCGTAAGGTGTGTCAATTGTGTGAATAAGTGTGATACCGTGGATGTGACAGCTCCCAGATCGTCATGGTAGAAGAAGGACCAGTTGAAGAAGTTGTTGAGGAGGGTCAACTCTCGCAACTTTGTATGTTTAAAGGTGGAATCTTGAACTGATCCCCAGTCACGTTCAGACGAGAGCGACCTTGGTATTGTGACGTTCGGTGAGGAGCCAAAGTTGACGTAATGCAATACGGGAGTTGAGCACGACAAGGTGACGATGTTCGTACACAGCCTGGCTACTCGGACGGCTGGACTGGAAGGACCATCCTCCCAGTTAAGCCCAGCATTTGTAGCCGTCATTCGAGGAGGGGTATTGATCCAGAGATGACGCACACGAGGGACCAAGTCTGGGTATAACCCAAGAAGCAGACGGAAATTTTCTATGTGGGAGTTACACTGGAGTCGAACGGGGACGAAATGAAGACAGTCGAACTTGATGAGCAAGTTTAACCGCCTCGAAACGAGGAGAAGAGCACGATAAGACGACTGCGAGGCTGCGCATGCGAAGGACGCGATTTCGAGCACGATTTCAGTCGGAAGAAGGGTGAGGTGGTCGGGTCCTGTGTATCGTACGACGGGCTCCAAGACCTGTGGGGTGGGAGGCGTGGAAGGACGGGGTACACGATCTGGTGGTGGGTCCCGCGTTGAACTTGTGGGCGGGCTATGACGCCGCGGAGGACGCTTAAAGATTTGCAGCAACCTAAGTAGTGCAGATTAGAAACTATTATATCGGCAAAGTTTGAGTTGAGTGAAGGTACCTGGAAGCGAATGTGAACATTAGTTCCGTCCACGTCAGTAGATTGAAGGTGGCCATTGACATGGTCGACTTATTCAAGAAAAGCTAGAATAGTTTATACACTGCACTGCCCTTTGCGATGATGTCTTCGGGTCATGATCAAGGAGAGCCTGGGGAGAGCTTTCTTGGGCAATCGGTGACTAGCCTGAGAGTGTTGCGGACAAGTTGCGGAGCCTGAGAGTGTTGCCGACTCGGACGGTGACCGGTGACCTTGCGGTGACCTGTGCGTTGCATGGCCTCAGTGTGAATTAGTGATACAGCAATACACTATTATTTTCAGCACATAAATTTACAATCCTTTCTATCTCTACAACTCAAGGACAAAGTCTACCAGCAACCTCGTCAATCAGCTTCCTCACTTCCTTCTTCCCAACACCTCCCTCCCCATTCCAATGTTCCCCTTTCATAAGCTTCCCCTTCAACTTATCACGAGTTTGCAGCGCCTCCAGCAGATCCTGATGAGATTCGTGGAATGATGAAAGACGAAGAAGGAACGCCAGACACGCCGTCAGTCGATGGACTTGGAGAGTAATGGAGTCAGAATACAAACATAATCACATAAAGCAAAAGGGAAACCGACGAACTCACCAACTTCCTCATTATCCTTTTCTCTATCCAAAGCTTCTACAACAGCACTAACCATCTCCACCTCCCAATCCCCCACATCATCAGGCTCGTCTAAGCGTCTCCCTGTCCTCACAGCTTCCACCCTCGGCTTCTGGAGCACCGCAGCAACATTGAACGCCAGACTCGCAGCAGCCGTGCGGACTTGGACGTCGTCATGCAACAAACTCGGAACAAGAACCGCCGTCACGTCCTGGCGCATGGAGGACTGCAGGAGCTTCTGCGCCAGAGGAGCACTTGACGTTGCGTTGCATAGGAGGCGCAGGAAGGTGAGCACGTAGTTCCGAGATGACTTTGATGGAGTCTGGAGTGCGGAATTGGCTTGAGGAAGGAGTAGGTTGATAGGGTCAGAGAAAGATGGGGTCGCCGCTATCCACGCACCAACGGCTGGATCTAGAAGTGCCAGCCGCCATGTGTCGACGAGGGGAAACAGAGTTTCGATTGGGAGAGCGGTGGCGAGAGAAGCGGTTGCTTGAGCCCATGGAGTCAGGATTGCTGGAGTTGCAGATGGAAGCGGTCGAGCTGGGGCTTTGGGTGCATTTGGAGGCACTAAGAATCGAGCCTTAAGGTATGGGGTGACTGTCGTGGTGAGAGTTTGTTTGACTTGAGCCTGAGATTGAGTAGCGGAAGCGGGCCACGTCGAGGCGTCGATCGAGGCATTCAGCTTTGTAAGAACTGTATCAACAGGCGGGATTTGAGAGAATAAGATAGGCTTCAGCTCGAGAGCTTGGATGGCAGGAAGTGAAAGCTTGGTGTGTGGGTGTGCTATCTATCGATGAGAAGGAAGCTTAGCAACTGAAGTAAGGGAAAACATACGAGGAAACGCTTGAAAAAGCAAAAGATCGACTTGGGCTCTCAGTTCGTTCGCGTCTGCACCCTTTATTTCCTCAATCTGGCAACATTGCTGATGAGAAAACATACTGAATAAATTTCACCAAACGCACCTTTTCCCCATCCAAGAAAAACATGAAAGTCGGAGTAGCCCTAACGGAGTACTCTGCTGCGAGATTACGACCCATCCCCACATCGATATCGACCTTGGCAAAACCAGCACCATCACGCCCTTCCTGTAATCCTTTTTCCTCAGAGAGACGTTCAAAAACTGGCTCGATCATTCTACACGGGGGGCAGGTGTTACTCGTGAAAAATGCGACAGCCGCCCTATGGCTCTTGAGGAACGCGTGGAAAGCAGGAGGATTCGTTATAGCGTGGATTGGAGATGTAAGAGACTGGGTGGCAGGGAGAGGAGGGGGAGGAGGGGGACGGTTCTGATATGAAGGATCACCATTTGACTGGGCTTGGGCCGCGACACTTTGTAGAATGGAAGCTGCCAGTTCTGGGTTAGGGGGGGCATTGGCAGGTATGGCTGGGACACCGGGGGATGGTCTTCGATACATTGCATCTATTGTTGGGCGAAGACTCTGGCCGAATGGAGTGGATAGGAAGTCAGTGGGTAGGTCTATCAAGCTTAATTCAACATTTTCAGGCAAGCCGAGATCGGGATGGTTAGTTACCTGAAATGAAGGAGGGGATGGAGCCTCCGGTAAGAAACCCGACGCAATCATTTGTAAATGAGTTGCAATTGAATTCTAAAGCTCGTTACGCCTCTGCAAAAGGTTCACAGAACTGCGTCACATACCTAAGAGGTGGTACTGTTACAATTAGAGTTTGCTCAACGGCGATAAAGATACGACATACTTTGTCCGCAGTATAATGGCTTCTCATCTCTTCCAAGTATTCGGTAAACGTCTCCTCATCTATTGACGTTTCTCCCATATCTAAAACCTGCATAGGGGCGCCGTGCTACATCCTGAAGGTGAGCGCCATGGTTTGAAAACCGACTACAAACCTACATGCGATCTCCCAGGAGGAGTCGTGTTGATGCCTAGACCATAAAAGATCTCTTTTCCAAACACAACGACAGATGTATGCCTGGATTATTTCGCTTTCAAAACAGATTTGAGATAAGGTTGGCGCAGATTGGGCCTACCAGATACCATCTATCTGTCGTCCGGTCAGCTGCCGCGAGAGCTGGCGAGCCATGCCCTTGCTGAGATCGTATACATATAGTTTAACGGTTGCAGACATTCGCCTGACTTGTGGGTATTGCTGAGAGTGGTGATACTGTAGTAATCGGTAAGAACCAAGCTCGACGAAACCTGCGACGCGTCATTGGAGCCACGTGACCAATATTACCTGCCTGGTCCTGCTAGAGTTTAGAAACTGAAAGGTCCAAACCTTGGAAACGTTGTGGAAACGTTCCTAAAAATTTTGGAAACGTATACTGATGCGTAAGGGAAGAGTTTTTACGAAAATATGTATAAGTATGCTGGTGGCTTAGCGGCTAGCCTCGCGGAGGGGCACTGTGGAGGGGTGTTTATGATTATTGACGTGTCCTTGACTGTTGTTTCCCTTGAAGTTTGAAAAATGGCAAGTTCTTCAGCGTGCGCACCCTTTTCCCTGCCTTCATTGGGATTGAATTCATTCGCGCCCACGGCTTACTGGTTCTCTGGTCTGGGCGATTCCGAATTCGAAAATACCCTGGATGCGACCTGATGCGACTCCACGGAACTCTGAGGGAGCTTCGGCCCCTGTAACGGCTCTATAGTAGGACTCCCTCACAGCCATACATATGGTGCTTAAATTCGGCTATCTCCTCCTCAAGAGAGCCACCGATGGGATAAATCGCCCTCAAATAGCAGCACCCTTGACGGCAGGAGGCTCCCCAAGCCTTCCCACTTCACTTTTTCCCCCTTGGATACTCACTGCTAAGAGGGTGGTTGAATAGGGCTATCACTCTTCAGCCCTGTCGTTTCATGATAGTTCCTGTGCACTCCGAAAACGCCTACAACTCGCCTACACCGCAAGTCTCTAATAAGACAAACAGAATCGCAGTAGGTGTGGTTCTGTTGTCTTCAAAGTCTCCGGATCTACAACTCTACTTAACGCGATGTGTCCGCAGCATCGGGGCAGTTTTAACACCACGTTTATCGCGTCGCTTGGTAATTTGAACTGACCCCGATGTTCGGGCTGTTACCCCAGCGAATGACAAATCGTATTCACCAACATCAGAGGGCCTATTTTTGAGGGTCGCCCGGTTTCTTTTAGCACATTAGATCTCCGGAGCCCGTTCTCATTTGGTTCTCATGGTGTTTCCCGGAGGTGATTTGCTTCCCTTGAAGGGACGCATGTACAACAGTGTACAACGCATGAGAATCGTCAAGCTTCGTCTTTGAAATCCCTTGATTCCACAAACAACACTCTGTTAACTTAAGACCGCCCACACAGAGGTCAAAGAAGCACTATATCCCGGTACTACCACAACGTGCGTCGCTCCGCCATACCATTCCTCGAATGACTCGTCAATCCCTTCGCATTCCCCAGGAAATTTCCAATTATATCGTCGGCTACTTACATAGCGACGCCTCCGCTCTACTATGTTGTAGCCTTGTTTGCAAGGCATGGCTCCTATCTAGTCGGGAATACCTTTTTCAAGTGGTAGCCCTCAACCACCAAAATGTCGATTCCTTCACATCACTCATCATCAGCTCACTTTCTACCATTCCCCCGCATGTCAAGCGCCTCCAACTTGTCCCAGAACACATAGACCGTCGGTGGCTACGTCGGTTGGTACCATTCCTCGAGGTATTGACATCCGTCACCATTCTGCGTCTCGAGAATGTTGATTGGGTTAACTTGCCCCCAACGTCTCGAGCCAATCTCCTTTCCAACTTTCGGCTTACCCTCACTTGCCTACATTTACGGGATATCGTCTTCGAGACATTTGGCCAGGTGGTCGACATCATATGCGAGTTCCCTCTCCTGCGCTCCGTCGACCTGGAGAGAGTCCATTGGGGAGATTGTAAATCCGTGGTCGTTAAACGTCTTCCCCCACTGGTAACAAAGTTACGATTGCAAGCATGCCCCCTGCGCAAATTCCACAGTTGGCTCATGTCCCAAAGGCCCATACCCATTATCGACCATTTAGACGTCGGTCCTATTGACGAATCTGATATATTGACAGTCGCCAGATACCTAGTGTTCCTTGGCCACAAGCTGCGTACTCTCAAAGTATCGTTCAAATGCGGAGAGAACGGACAGAGGTGTCCAGATAATGTCGTCTTTGATGCAAACACCTCTCAGACACCCACCTCACTCGATTCCAAAGACAACTCAAGCTCTATACTTAACGCTGAGTTTAGGAAACGTGTCGGGGGCGGAACATGTTCAAGTGTGAGCCGGTTGACAGGCCTTCGCTCCATTCACATCAAGGATTTCGTGCAAGCTAGCTCAGGCGCCACCCATCGCGGTGTCAGGACCCTGGTCTGTCAGGTCGTTCGGTTTACAAGAAGTCGTTATGGAAGTCACGCTTGGAAAAGTTGCAGAGCTCGACGTGCTCACCATTGACTGGGATTTTTTGGATAGAGTTTTTGCGACTCCAATCTATGCGAATGTAAGGATGGTCAAATTTCGGGTTCGGGGTGCCGTAAAAAGGCATGCGTTGGCAGCCTTGCTGTCTTCCAGGCTACCTCGATGTGTTGAACGGGGTATCCTGCATTTTGAATGATCCGGGCAAGTTTCCTTTTCATTTCTGTGTCGTCATTACTGGTGTGTATAGTGTACAATGTAGCTATCCTACATGGAAACTGTTAAATGTTATGGTATATGAAGAATGTTAAGTGCTATATAAGAAAGACTAGGAGCGGCGGGGGGCTTGTGACTGCTGGCGAGTTGTCTTTGTCGGGAAGCCAGCTAAGGATCATGCAGGAATGGGTGGCGCTGGAAGGCTTGCCCCACCTACAATCTTCGGAACTGAGGCATCAGGTCGGTGCCGAAGTCACATAAGGCGTAGCTATTGTTCGACATTTCTTGGAAGGAGGACGGGCTTCGAAGGGATCATCGTCGTGTTCACGTTTCTGAAAGGATGAATTTTTCATGTGATCAAGAGCTTTGTCATCCTGAGGCCAGTTCTTGTTAAGCACAGCAAGCCACTTCGCCGCTAGAGAATGGTGATTATGGAAACGAAGATGCTGGGTCGAGGAAGCTGGATCCGTAACATCAGGCTGACATGATTCCACTTCCTCCTCCTCGTCTTCGAACATGCTTTGCAGTAGGTCTGACTCTTTGTCGTAGAGGATGTGGCACCTCGTCGCATAGGAAAGCCACTCGTCCGTAGACTCGAGTGTATATCTAAGCCAATGACGCATGGGCGAGTTACCCCGGGAAGCAAAAACACGCCCAAGGTATGCCCAATTGTTTAGGAGACATCTCTTTCCAGCCCCTCCTATACAATTGCCGTCAAGATCTATTTTGTAGTCGTCAAATATCCCCTCCATGATGATAGGAACTTTATCAGCCCCAGTATGACCCATATATCGGATGACGTGGTAAAGAACAACGTAGACGAAGGACTCAATATCGTCCTGTAGATCTTGAAGTTTACCCGGTCTTTCGAGGAGCAGAATTGACATGAAGTACCAGGTGCCCTATTTGTCCAAAACTGAACTTGAGGTGATAGTCAGAGACTGGTAAGAATCTTACTTACCGAACGAAAGAGAGGCCGAGAACCGTTGGCCATATCAGCAATTCTCCCGGCTTGATCCCAGTCGTTGAGGATCCCACCGCCATCATGCTTCATCATGACATTATTCCCGCTAACGTCGCGATGAAGTATTCCACACTTCTCGTATGCATCCTGGTGAGCTATTCATCGTGTCAGCTCTGAACTATCGCAGGGACCGCCCGATAGAATACACACCAACAAATGCGTCGTAAACAGCTTGCATGAATTGCTTCGATGAAGTAAAGTGACATAAATGCTTGCCAATAAAATCCTCGAGAAACCGATGTTGAGCCCGAGGGGTAATCTCCGTCCCTCCAGCATTCCAAGGATTGGATGAAAATTCATGAGTGCGTGTGAGGTGACCGTCGATATCGTCCCCACAGACGAGCTTCGGAACGTTCCGCACACCCGCCTTATCGAGTTCTGACAAAATCTCTGATTCCTTCTCCATTCCTGGCACAAGGGAGCGCCAAGAATCCTTGAGGAAAATGACCTTCTTGAGTTTAATATCATACACTGGCCAAGCGCGTGTGGCTCTACCGGCCAGCGAATCCACGTCAGCCATCGCTCCCCAAGCAATGACCTCACGGAATCCATCTTGGTCGGCTTCTGGTACTCGGAGGACAACAATGGGCCGTTCCGTCTTGGGCTCCCAGGGCCATAGGTTGAGAAGGGCGAGACTTTTCTCGACTACTGTGGCAGGGCGCAGGGTTGTGTCGCGTCCGCGTTGCCCAGGTGTGAGGTGAGCGAATCGCCAAAGAAACTCAGAGAAAATTCGAGGTTCCTGCCTCCAATCAAATAACCGCGAAACGATTATTCCGGAGCGGTCAGCTCTGATGAAACGCATCCCGCCGTTCGCGAGGTAGACCAAAAACCCATGCTTGCGATGTTGACGACTGAACCACTCTGTAAGATAAGCCGCGATCTGTCCACTATATAATATTCCGGCGTCTGTATCTGTCTCGAAAGTGTGTTTGAGCAATTCTTCTGCTGTCGCATTGGGTTCAGGATCGTTGAATGGGTGCGCCGGCGCCGATCGAGGCTTGAGGTCGAATATCAACTCTTCGGCCTCAAAATGCGCGCTGTGCTTGGAGGTGGTTATCTCGTCGAGATATGTGGATATATCAGGCCTAAACTTCTTGTGCTCGTCTGCGTTGCTGTCGTGGTGATCCGATGTGTCAACCATCTGCAGTCCGGGAAACAGTCCCGCGATTTTGACCACCGCCGCCTGATTCTTTCCGTAAGATCATGCGCTGCAACGTCAAAATGAGATCACTATACCAGTTGGGTCGGCATCGTCTTGTCTCCTGTTGATGGCAGGTTCCGAATGAGGTCCGTTGGCACCTGAGGCATAGGGCAGCAGTCACTGAGGGGTAGAAATTCATCCACAAAATCTTGGACAGGCATTGGCCCAACCCAGAGACCTCTGAGCTCTCTGTCCAATTCTCTCCCCATGTCTTCGTACTTTCCTTACGCGGAAGTATGTGGAAGGCCACCTGAAGTTGTAGCCTGATACGGTTGCTCTGATAAAGGCGTTATGATTAGCTGCCTTATATTCGGCCATGGTGGGGAACGTACCCAGCAGAGGCTGAACACAGGACTTATAGCGCCAACGCGTTGGCCTGACAGACACTTGGAGTTCCGAATTGTTCTCGTCACGTGGACGTCCTTTTTAGTTTAGGGCTGGTTCATTCGCGTTAAAACTGGAAAAGGGCTGGAGCGTGAGGACTGTTCGACAGTTCACAAGAGTCGTAATTATATTTTCGTTTCGAAGGGGATGACAAGAGAAGGTGATAGGACTTCAGATCGTCTTGGAGTTCTTGAATTTTATCCGGTTTTTCGAGAAGCAGAACTGATGTGAACTGCCATGAGCATTGAGCCCTGATCGAGGGATTGAAAATTGATACGGTATTGAAGGAAGGGTAGAATTCTTACTGTACGGGGCAATCGAGAACCATTAGTTATATCAACAACTTTCTTGGGTTGATCCCAACCATTGAGAATCCCATGGCCATTTCCCTTCATCTTGATATGCCACTGACGTTGCGGTGGTAAGCCACACTTCTCCTATGCATCCTGATGGGCTAAAAAATATGCCTGAGCTACCCTCGTTGAGTTTCAGGGAGGACAATCAGAGTACACACCAACGGACGCGTCGTAAACCCTTGACGACTTGAAGCAGCACAAATGCTTTTCAACGAGTTTCTCTAGGAATCGATGCTGAGTGCGAGGCCGAATCTCAACTCCACGGACGTTCCGAGGCTTAAAAGTAAACAGATGGGTAAGTGCGAGATGGCTGGGAATGTCATCAACCCAAACCAACTTTGAGACCGCTTCATCTGGTAGTGACAGAATGTGACTCTTTCGGCATCCCTGGTAAGAGTGAGCGCCACGAATCTTTAAGGAAAGCAGCCTTCTTGAGCTTGAGATCATATACCGGCAAAGCGCGCGTTGCTCTACCGGTCGCTCCCCAAGCAATAATCTCACGGAATCCAACTTGGTTGTCTTCAGATACTCGGATAACGAGATGGACCGTTCCTCCTTGGGCTGCCAAAGTCATCTGTTGAGACTTTCTCAAATGGTGGCAGGGCGTACAGTCGGGTGTTTTGGTGGTATCGAGACACATTTCCGAGGGATAAGGCCAACGGCAGACGCAGGCCCTAGAAGACGCAGTGGAATCAGAGAGACGACGTCCGAGGTAATGTCCCAGGACCAGGACAAGTCGTCAGGCTCCAAGTGATTTGTGGTGTTCAATGTCGTGGTCCTCCCCTGGTCTGCGCAAATCATGTAACATGTGTCCTCGCCGAAACCGCCTCCACCGGAATTGCGTGCAAGACTACAGAGACCCGCTGCCCAGACTACAAAAGGTGCTCATCGCGCCAACATCGTGCACAAAGGGCAAGAGGTATGTTCATTGATAACATTACGTTGCTCTCCGGGATAAATCGCACAAGAAAACAAGTGACGCGGATGATTACGAGCTTGTGGAAGAACGTCGGGCCTTGGGGTGTGAAAACGCCGGTTTCTGCAGAAGGTCATCGTAGCAAGGATTCTGAAACACGTGCACTGGGGAAGTAGAAACACCGGAGCCGGTCAATGATCGGAAATAAAATCGTCTCTTCAAGGCTCTTGCTCACTGGATTACACGACATAGACTAGACGGCCTACTACGGATCCTTTTCTCTATATATCCACTCCTAATTGATACAGGACACACTCTTGTGCCATTTCCTTCCAAAGCTTCCCTCTGCTGATGCTCAGACTTACGGCCAAGCGTATGATCGTACGCCTGCTCAATTTTCTCCCCGTAAATCAACTGACAACCCACTCACCAGCGTTCCACCACAACCACGACAACCGTCATGTCCAAACCCCGTCACTCCTCCACCACAGCACCGCAGGATCCTCCACCAGGCTACGCCATCGACCCCACTGCTCCTCCAATACTCCGATACCAAGCTTCCCTCCCCTCCCTCCCCGTTCCAACCCTCCAATCCACATGCGCAAAATACCTCGAAACAGTGCAACCGCTTCTAACTCCCTCCGAATATAACAACACCCAATCCTCTGTCTCCCAATTCCTTGCCTCCTCACAGGCCGCGGAACTCCAACGCCGTCTCCAAGAAAGGGCAGCAACGCCCGGGGTACAGAATTGGCTCAGCGACTGGTGGAATGAAGCAGCGTATATGGGGTACCGCGACCCAGTGGTGGTGTTCGTGAGCTACTTCTTCGTGCACGTGGATGATCGTATGAGGAGGGACCCAGCCAAGAGGGCGGCGAGCCTGATCAAGGCCATGTTGCCTTTCCGGGATCTTACTGAGAGGTGTGTGTGCCTTTTCTGTGTGGGTTGCGTGGTATTGACGGAAGAGAAGTGGAAAATTAGAACCTGAAAAAGTAAGAGGTGCACCACTGTGCATGGAATCCTATAAATGGCTCTTCCACGCCTCGAGATACCCCGCCAAACCATCGGACACAGCGGCAAAGTTTGACCCCCCCACGAACAACCACATCGTTGTCATTCGGAAGAATCGCTTTTTCGTTGTACCCCTTGCGCACCCCAACGGGGAAGAATTATCCTATTCTGAGCTTGAAGCGTACGCTACCCTTTATTTTGACATGTGATTCTCCGCTAACTCTTTCATTTTTTTTTTTACACAGACAATTCAACCACATCATCTCTGTTGCAGGGCCAACACCGTTCTCTTTCCCAATCGGCGCCCTGACATCAGACAGCAGGGATCTATGGACCGACGCGCGTTCTGCTCTTATAGCTGCGTCTCCAAAAAACGCGGAACTTCTCCAGAAAATTGAGAGCGCAATGATCGTGGTGGCGCTGGACGACTCGAAGCCTGTTACGCGGGACGATATCAGCTGGGCAACGTGGGTGGGCAATGGCAGGAATAGGTGGTATGACAAACACCAGTGTAAGTTTCCCTTTTTCTCTTCTCCTTCCTCTTCCTGATGAACATCGCGGGCAGTGATCGTGTACGAGAACGGCCGCTCCGGATTCCTAGGCGAACACTCCTGCATGGACGGGACACCCACACTACGGATGAACGAATTCGTCCTCGCCTCCATCGCATCTAACAAAGTTCCCCTCACTCCCTCTTCCGTCCCCATCGACATCACCTCCCTCCCCCCCGTCTCAGAGCTCCAATTCACCCTCAACGACACCACCAAATCCCTCATCCGCGCCTCCGAAAAACGGTTCGACGACCTAGTAGGCGCACACGACCTGCACGTCCTCCACTACGAAGGCTTCGGTAAAAACCTCCTGAAGAAACATAAATTCTCACCCGACGCCGGCGCCCAACTCATCCAACAACTCGCGTTTCACAAAATGTTCGGGCGGCCCGGGGTGACGTATGAATCTGCGCAAACGCGGAAATTTAAGTTGGGGAGGACGGAGGTTATCAGGAGCGCTAGTAAAGAGTCGAAAACATGGGCAGAAGCCATGCTTTCTACTTCTCCTTCTTCCCCTTCCTCTTCCTCACCACGGGAATTGAAAGCGCTTTTCGGGAAAGCCGTGGCTAGGCATATGCAGTACTCTGCTTGGGCTGCGGATGGTCAGGGGGTGGATAGGCATTTGTTTGGGTTGAAGAAGTTGGTGAGGGAGGATGAGGAGGTGCCTGCGATTTATAAGGACCTGGCGTTTGGGAGGTCGAGTCATTGGGAGTTGAGTACGAGTCAGTTGAGTTCGAGGTTCTTTGATGGGTGGGGATATGGAGAAGGTGAGTTTTTTTGTTGGCATTTCTTTCTTTTACTTTCTTCTTGTTTCGCGTTGTTTATTTTCATTTTACGTTTTCCCCTCTCGTGTTTTTTATTCTTTCCTTTTCTTTCTTCCGTCGAGTGTCGAACGTCAAGCTGACAACATAACTTCCAATCCAGTGGTCCCTGACGGGTACGGCCTCTCATACTCGATAGGCGACAACTATATCCGGTGGACAATCACGTCGTTGAAGAGGGACACGAAGGTGTTGAAGCATTACTTGGCAGAGGCGGCGAGTGAGGTGAAGGCTATGTTGGAGGCTGCGGAAAAGGCAGAGGTGAAGGCGGTGGAGAAGGAGGATGCAAAGTTGTAGGTAGGCGTATTTTTGGCGGTGTATATATCATGATATTGGAAGCAATGTTCACTGCTCTAGTTATCACTAGCTGAAGGGATTTAGACACGCCTGGTCAAGGGGCAGGCAACCGAGCATCCGGTCAAATCAACCATACCGTTGACCCCCGTGCGAACTATCACATGAGCGCCTGTAGTCACAACTTGTCACACTGATCTTATCCGTAATCTACGCCAAATCTACAGCGCTTCCAGAAAGTAATGAGAATCACGTTTTTTTTTCTCGCGCTTTCCTGATTCGGAATTCTCCTAAGACTCCTCAGAGATATGAGGAAAATCATCTTATTGTGCACAGAAAAATTCGCATTTTGTATCCAAAAGCCCTTCCTTCCTTTGTGTCTGATAGAATCGTTGTGCAAAGGTGAAGATGCCGCAGGGCGAGACGCCGACTGAGGGAGCGGGTTTTGCCGGGAATCGCTTAGCTAAGCTTCCCGCTATCCTGACCATTCGTCGGGCATACATTATCACACCAACTCGCAGCGTAAAGCACAAGAAATATGTCTTTTGAGCATTATGAATCCATTTAGCATGTTCTCTTTGTGGGATTTATCTTATCTGAGCATCCGAATGGTGTTGGGGCACTTTTCATTGCCCAAGCCAAATAGGGTAAGCCGTGGAAAAAAAACAACGTGATTCTCATTACTTTCTGGAAGCGCTGTAAGCACTTTCATTGATGCCTCCTCTTTCCTGTTGGCTCTACCACACTCAGTGTTGGGGCTCTCTCTCGCTTCAACTCCTCCTTCAACTCCTCCACATCATTGCTTCCTGGAAGCTGGTAGGTATCTCTGTTTTTTAGGGTAGCAGCTCCTGCAACCTTGAGGAGGCTCTCTTCCCTTTGCAAGATAAACATATCAACAGCCATCACTCCGGGGATTTTAGGTAAGAGCATACCATCAGGATCGAAAATACCATCAAAGGGAGGAGGACCCCGGGCAATGGTAGGAGAGGCCTGATCCTGAAAAAGCACGTTTCGTCTGGACAGAGGTTGAGCCAATTTGTCCGGATTGCACCTGGCCTTGCCAAAATTTCCTGAAATTTGTCCAGACATCAGTATCTAGCCTATTTCCCCCCAAAATTTGTCCAGATAGACTGTATCTGGCCTAAAATCACCACGGATGAGGCTTGGGATTTCAGAAATTGAGGAAATGAGGTACCAGGCATCATCACAGTAATAACACCAAAAGGCAATGACTACAATAGATAGGCCACTTGTATTCAACCTGGTATCTAGTAGCACATAAACTAGCGTAATTTTCACACTAGCACTTCTGCAAGAGCTTCAAGTTCAATGTCACTTGTAGTTGCTTGTCAGTTTTTTGTAGGGTGTGGAATCAATTCAACTCATTGGGGAAGAGCTCAAGGATAGAGCCCTGTTGTTGAGAGGGCTCCTTGTACCAAATAAAATATTTAGAGCACATAGATCCAGACAAGCTAAAATTTTTGAGAAAACTACTGTACTAATACAACCATCTCTTCTGGCCCTTTTGGGTGTGACACATTTTGACCATCTCTTCATGACTTCAATATCCGATGTGATGTGTGACAAAGAGTATGAGCTCTTCGTCCGAACAGGGGCCATCGTCAATTTGAAATTTAAAACAATGTTGGACATGCAGAAAAATCTTAGATGGTGGGACAATTCTTGTTAGAAGTAGATGAAATATGCCGAGTGCTGTTTACATGGCTAGGGTGCTGCAGGCACCAGAAAAATTAGAAAAAATGGATATTTTAAAATGCCAGGAATGGCTTCAAAAGCCAGTGTGATGTGTGACATCATGCTCACTTCACTTCCTTCAGAGACCTCTGTGATGCGTGATGTGAAGGCATGGTCGTATTAGTACAATAGTACAGCAGGAGATTCGAACATGAGAGCTTTACAAACTCTGGAGCTGGTGACTACTGGTGCTGAGCCACTTCACCACAGCTGACATATGTCCGAACATCTCACCTGGGTGACCTGGCTGACATATGTCTGGACATCTCACCTGGCTACACAGTGAGGCGGAATTTTTGTCCAGATCAAGGGCGCTGGCTGTTTCGAAAATTTCGTCAATTTTGTCTGGATTGGCTCCTGGCCTTTTTCAAATTTTCTTCAAAATCCATCCGGATTGTGACCTGGCCTCCCCTACCATTGCCCAGGGTCCTTCAAAGGGGTGCTCACTGAGCAAATGATAGATGGCATTGTAGTTCTGATTGTGCATGGTTCATCTGAGATCCCCATAGGTGAACATAATTGACAGTGAATCGTAGTGTTTGGAAGTCCAGTCTCATGACTGGAAAAAGACCATAACCAGACTGGACCAAGACTGCAAAAAACCGGACCTGCAGTCTGGTTTTTTTTATTTTTGAGAACTAAAGACTGCAAAAAAAACCGGTCTAAATATACCGGCTTTTTGTAGCCCACTAAATACCCTTCAAAACGCACCCAAGCACGTATTAATTGGCTCAAAATTGACAAAGATATAAATAAAAATGTAAAAATTTGTTAAAAATAGTAGATGTACAAGACTTTTTTTATAGAAACACTAATTCTCAACGGAATTTAATGTTCTTGGGCTCTTTTTAAAGCTACTAAACACGTTAACAAATTTACCGATTTATAATTTTAAAATATCGGCCAGAAAACCGGTCTTAAACCAGTTAAAACCGAAACCGAAGAAGACCAAGACTGGTCTATAGACCGCAAAAAGACTGCAGACTGTGGTTCTTTGCAGTCCAGTTCGGTCTTTTGACATCTGGGAAAAATGCGGACTGGTTACGGTTACGGTTAAAGCCCAGGGGCATCAAAAAACCGGACCAGACCAGACTTAAACACTAGTGAATCGGGACATTTGTACAAGGGCTCGTTTTCAATGGCTCTTGCACAGCCTTATACTGCATCTTGTCTTACCGGACATTGTGCTTTGGTCATTTGAGACTTGAGTGTAGACTGGGAGGTTTAAAAGATGTCATTTGCTTTGCTCTGGGTACTCAAATACAAGCTCATTTATTTTTATGTGTAATAGGGTCTACCAGGCAGAGTACTTAATGTGTTGGGGAGCGCATTGGGAGCATGTGTCCACTTGCGTGACAGCCCAATCTGGGCAGCACATGATAGTTCACATGGGGGTCAACAGTATGGCGGATTAGGGTTGCGTGTAAAAGTTGGGGTATTTTACAAAGTGTAATTTACATATGTAGTTTACAGTAACTTACTAATTTTTTACCAAACCAGATATCAGGCATGTAAAATATGTAAATAATTCCTGGTGCGAGTGCACAGTTTTCAAACATTGTTTTTGCAAACCTGATTGTTGGGACAGACCTACAATTTGACACTTCTACCAAAAACGTAAGGATGGACAACCCCTCGTGGCGACAACAGGGTCACCAGTTCAATGACCTTCCTGTGCATTGAGATGGTGTGAGTTCTTTGTCTATGGGCCCTCGAAGGTGTCCATCTCTCTGCTTTTTATCTCAACCCAAGTGTGTAACCTCCTGTTTCCAATAAAATTACATCCTTGTGTATCCCTACAGACTGCATGCTGCAGCATGCAGTCATCAATCCTAAAGAACCCCAACCCTCTCACATTCAATATTACCCCCACCAGAGTGCCACTCAAGGTGCCACCTGGTATCCACAACCGGAAAACCTTCTTGGAGGTTGGCTGATACCTCCATACATTGCTTGTCGCCAAGATGAGCCACGGGTGCGATCCCTTTTTAGCCGAATGGAAGGAGAAGCCAAAAGCATTTGGGAAGGCTTACCAGGTGCAGTTCATTGTCTATGCACAAGGGGCCTATCCATTTAGTGCCCCACTCATGGCTGGCCAGACTCTGCTTTGGTGGCAGTTTGAAGGGACCAAGCATGGAGGGATTCTGGCAGTGGGTCATTGTCAGTAAGTATTTGTGCTTGCACACAGCTCATCCACACCTCATAGGCCATCACCATAAAGCTCTTTTGGGCTCTTCCGCACTCAATGGCTGATGAACACACAATGTACGCTGTCACAATGATTAACATGGCACAATTCCACAGGTGGAGAAATCCAAGAGGGCAGCCATCGCAAAGGACAAGGTGGATGGTGAAGGTGGCAGCATCTTTGAGCTAAACAATTGGGTGTAGGAAGCCATGTGACCTGGCGAAAATTTGTAATTTACACTGTAATTTACCTTATTTACCCTTCCCAAAAATCACCCTAGTAATTTACATAATTTTATACCTAGGTGGAGTTTTATATGCAACACTATGGCAGATGCTCAGTTGCCTGCCCCTTGTGCCTGGTCCTGTGAATCAAGGTGATCTACCAAACTACAAAGCCTTTGCCAGTCCTATGAAGATGCATACTTTTCCTTCAGCCAGTTCCAGTCCAAGGGGTGAGTGCAGTGCTGTCCTGCATCAGGAAAAACCCAACTTGCAAATGTGTAGTAATTTGTGCTAATGAGTAGGGCTGCTCACTGTACTTACTTATTCCTGCTACTGGGTCTTGTGGGTCAACCTCGAAAAAAAACTTTGCTCACGTGGACAGTCATGTGAATGTAGATCACATGCACACTTCTCCTTTCTATATCTCCATCAGGAAATTGGGGTTCAACAGGCAAGTGATGACTAAGCCTTACAAAAGCTTTCAAATTTCAAAATGTCAAAAAAGTTTAAAAGCCTTGCAGGTCTCTTTTTCAACCAATATAAATGGTGGTGAAGTTGTGACTTTTTCCCATGTACAAAAAATATTTTTTTCATTGCAAAACATGTGCTGAGTGTTGACAACAATGAAAAGAAAAAGATCTAGTGAGATGGCCAGACCCAGAAGAATGATTGGTTCTTAGACAAGCCTCCAAGAAGTCACCACATCAGTGTTTCTACAGTTTACTTGTCACAGCTTGTTTCAACTCGTACGAGTCCAAACGAGTCACAAGCCACGAGTTGACAAGTAGATCCAAAAATGTGGCAAGTTGCATCACAAAATTGCTCGACAAGCTGTAACAAGCCGGCAAGTTTAGAAAAGTCATCCAAATATGAATATTTTGAAACAATTGTAACAAATGGTAGTAAAACTAGTAAATATTATGATAATAATGAGTGAATGAGTTATGTCATGGGTATCTAGTGATATGAGAGGTTACGAAAAATGAATGTTGATTAGGAGTGTGAAGAGGTAGTAGGGAAACCCAAACATCTATCCTATTAATTGTCTTTGGGGGGTGGACTGCTTGGGACATAAAGAACTCAGCAGCTCTTCTGGAGGGAAGATGTGCTGGGATTAACCTTCTTGAGCTTTTGAGACTCTATCACATAACCACATGCTGTCATCAGCTCAGACCATCGGTGCTCACTGAATGACTCAAAGTTAGCCATGTAGTCAGCGACAAGGTGACCAACGTGTTCTTGTGAGAAGTCCCCTGGCGGTTTGACAAACACCCCAGTTGAAAAGGACAAGAATGCACATTCAACCTACAAACAGTTATTAGATGTCAGATAAAAGTAAACTATTCACGTACTGCTGCTGCCATGAGCGCGAAAAGGGCCTTCGGGCAACCAAAAGTGCCCAGCGATGTGTTAAGATATTGAACAAGGGGGGTGGCAACGTCAATAATGAACTTTGATTGAAACAAGCCATGTGGAGGCTAACAGAGGTCAGCGGGATATGACAGTCATAACAAGCATATTTACCTTATAACCAGGATCGTCCTCGGTGTACTGTGGAGGTGATGGTCCTTCCCACAACGCCGGCCCATCCTCCCTAGTTGCCCACTTGACGTACTGGCCGATCGCTGTGGGGTTGCGGTCATACTCTGCTTGTGCGAAGAATGTTTTGATGACCTTGATGCTGTTCCTGTCGATGATTGAGCGCTTGTCGCAAAGTCAGTCATAGGCCTGAACTCAAATCATCAGTGGGATGTCAATTCCAAAGGCATCTTATCTTACCAATTGGCAGAGCTTGCTGCCCCACACAACTTTGTAGTTATGACCGGGAAAAATGAGATTCAAAACCTTTTGAATGGTGTTGACAAGATTGGGGCCCTTGGAAAAAAGACTAAAGGGGTCCTCTGATGCAAAGAGGCAGTGATAGAGAGTTGGAAGGAAGCAGGTAGTCCACTCAGCTTGGACGAAGTGGGGAAGTTCCTTAAAGGAATCAGATGAAATGACCATGGGCGAGGAATAAACAATGTCTGACAGTTCAGGGCTAGATTCTTGCTTCAAGATGTTGGTATGACTAGAGGAGTGCTTCATGGGTTTGGGGGCTTTCGGCATTTGCGTCTTTGATGGCGTCGCATGGTCCTTGGGTACCGTGACCTTGAGTAGCTGAAATGAAGTCAGTGAGTGCTGGGAAAAATGAAATAAAAACACACATTGTTCATCCGTACACCTTGTCCTTTCACACCAGCCAGGAGGTCTTATCAGTGCCCCCCCTATTTCTGCAGGATTCCAGTCATTCCTGTGGAATTCCGGTGGATTCCTGTGGATTCCGGTGGAATGAAATTTAGCAGTAAGCCCTGCTAAATTTGTCATTCCTGTGTTTTCTCATTCCAGAATTTTCACCAGAATGGTCTTCCCCGGAATGGGCAGGAATGGTGTTCCCCGGAGTGGTCAGGAATGTATTATAGTCCAATCTGTTTATTTTATTTATTTGTCACTGTATTATAGTTTATTTATTCTCGATGGATAACAAACAATGTTTGTTTGGCAAAGATGCTCACCAAACATCACTCTCTTCCACCACCACCACCACCATGCTCGTCACCGCCACCAACACCACGCCATCACCATCACCCATAGCCACCACCACCCACATCACTCGTTTATCATCCATGGCCACCACGACCACCAACATCGACCACGCCGCCCTTCAACAACAACGCGGCGACGCCATGTCACGAAACAAGGAGCATCAGAACCCACGAAAACGCCCCCCTCCCCGCCCACGAAAACACCCCACACCCACGAAAACGACACCCCGCCCACGAAACGACGCCCAGCACCCACGTACACCACCAGCGGAAACGAAACAATGGCCAACGGATGCAAAACAGCACCCGCGGACACGAAAACGCCCAACAGACAGAAAACAATGACCAACGGACACACGTACACCGCCCATGGACACGTAACAACACCCAGCAGACACGAACGACACCCACCGCCCACGAATGACACCCAGCGCCCACAAACGACATTCAGCGCCCACGAACGACACCCAGCGCCTGCAAAACGGTATAGACCAGAAGCGAAAACAAAAATATCTTCTTGCGAAATATTGCTCCGGATTTTCGTTTCTGGCTTTTCGCTGCCGAACCAATTCCGGCCACTTTCAAATTCAAAGATTTTTATAATTATGGTATTTATTTGTATTTATTCAGATTACTGGTCTGTCAACATGTCACGCAGGACACTCTCTTCTGCAACAAGCGCCCACCACGACCATTGACAATTGGTCACGAAGACCCACCACCACGTTCGAGGAACGGCGACGACCGCCCAGCAATGTCCACAGGCGCCCAGCACCACCATCGACGAACAGCGATGACGGCCCGCCACGACCTCTGACGATTGACCATCAGGACCATCGACAAGCGCCCACGGACGGCCACGAAGGCCCACCACCACCATCGACGGATGACGATGAGCGCCCATGAACATTGATACGGATGAAACCATTTCACCCGTATAAAATTCAATTTTAACGATTTTACCGATAAAAGGTCATCTCTAATAAATACACTACATACAATTGCAATGATACAAAGAGTCAATGTGCATACCCGGCGCAGTTGACTAAAAATGCAAATGCGTGGAATCTGAAAATAGGACAAGGCTTTGGAACTGGCAGCAGTACGTGTCGTGACATTATACTTGGATCCTATCTAAGATTCACCTACCATGAAATAGAGCACGAAGAGGTTCTAGAGTAAACACCCAACGCAGGGAGAAGAATTGCATTACTACCAAAGGGTTTAGAAACACATAATGGATTTATTGTGAAAACTCGTGCTTATACAAGAAATACAGAAAAGACGACATAGACGCTTAAACGGCATGTCTGAAACATGGAAAGACTAAACTACACCTAGGTAGTAAACGTATGAAGACTTAGCGTGGCTCACGGCCATTCAGAAAGTCATGTACGGCAGTTCCCGCGTACGCATCAAAGACTGATGCGTCTGAACGTCACAAGTACCAACATGAGAAAAAGACACATTCTATTATATGAAATATAATAAGAACCCCCTGACAATTAAGAAAGACATTTGAAAACACCTTCGGAGTGTCTCCCGACCTCCGTAATGAAAAGACGAGCCAAGACAAGGCATTTTAATTAAAAACTCGGAAGCGACGGAAGGCCGAAGACTATTGGTAAACACGTACGTATGCGCATCAACGCATCAGGAAACATTAATCATTTTGTGATGTCATCTGTCAAACCGGTAAACCGGGCCATAGAAAGAAACACGCGAGATCATGCCAAGCTAAGAATAGCTATGTCGGCTAACTCCGCGTACGCATCAAACACTGATGCGTTTGAAAATGAAAGACGCGACACTACAAAATCTGTAGTGTTCACAGAGATAGACTACAAAATATACCACACGTTCATTAAATTTCATATTTGTAATTCGGACCGAAGTATCCCGCATTAAAACACATGTAAAACGTAGATAGGGGTTCCTGGAGTATATAAGGAGCGCGCTGGCAGGTCAAAAGGCAAGTAATCGCCCCCCCGTTGACCAGCTAGTTGCACTCCAAGTAGAGACTTAGGAGGTGGACAGTTATAATCAATTAAAAGGAGATTTC